GGCCCCTCACATCATCAACTTGACTGGAGCGATGCTGCTGATGACGAAGATTTCTTTCTGGCCAAAGTGCGCCATCATTTCAAAAATTCTGGCGGCCCTCACCGAACCCGCCTTCTGGCCGATCTCTTGAACATGTGCACAAGTCAACAGCTGAGCTTTGTTCACCAGTTTGTCAGCCCCCTTCTCAAGAAGGATCCGTTCACAAGTCTTCCAGATGAGTTGTGCTTACGCGTAAGGAGTGCTCAATGCCCACTAAGTTTGCCATACTAACATTTTCTACCCAAGATCCTCTCCTTCATAGATGACCCAAAGGTCTTGGCTCGTGCCTCGCAGGTGTCCCGAAGATGGCGAGACTTGTTGAGTGATGATATGACGTGGAAGAACCTTTGCGTCAAGCACGACTACGGCAGACGCCTGCCCGAAGTGGCTTCATCGATGGGGAGCGCATCTCGACCTGGTGCCCTGCCTCTGTGGGGAGATGACTATGTCAGCAGTAGTTTCCCGGGTGCCCTGCCTATGACAGCCCACGCCTCTGGGTCCCGCAGTCTAGATGGATCCGGTAATCCCAGGCCCAAAATGAGGTCTTACAAATCGCACTTCAAGCAGCGGTATCTCGTTGAGGCAGCCTGGAGATCCGGTGGCACCAGCACCACTAGGAACATTACTCAGGAGGGCGGCGTAGTTACGAGCTTGCACTTGACGCCCAAGTACATTATCGTGGCCCTTGATAATGCCAAGATCCACGTCTTTGACACAAAGGGCAATCAGCAGCGCACTTTACAGGGACATGTCATGGGTGTATGGGCGATGGTCCCTTGGGATGATATCCTCGTCAGTGGTGGGTGTGATCGTGATGTGCGGGTATGGAACCTGGCTACAGGGTATGTTGAATTCGAACGCTATACCAACTCAGGTGAGCTAACATTGCCAGTGCCTGTCTCCACACGCTCCGCGGACATACGTCAACGGTACGATGTCTGAAAATGTCTGACGCAAACACGGCGATATCGGGCTCGCGCGATACGACGCTTCGAGTATGGGATATACGCACCGGTTTATGCAGAAACGTTCTCGTCGGCCACGGTGCCAGTGTTCGATGCCTAGAGATCAAGGGAGACATCGTTGTTTCTGGCAGTTACGATACCATGGCGAAGGTCTGGAGCATCTCCGAGGGTAGATGCATACAAACGCTTCAGGGTCACTTCAGCCAGATCTACGCCATCGCCTTCGACGGCAAGAGAGTAGTCACTGGAAGCCTAGACACCAATGTCCGCATTTGGGACCCCAGAACAGCGTAAGTTCATTGCACACCATGTATGTGCCTCTACCTTTATTTGCGTGCTAACCAGTCTCAGTGAGTGCTTGGCTATCCTGCAGGGTCACACGTCGCTCGTTGGCCAGCTACAGATGCGCGGAGATACCCTCGTGACAGGCGGCTCAGATGGCTCAGTGCGAGTCTGGTCACTGGAGAAGATGTGCCCCATTCATCGACTTGCGGCGCACGATAACAGCGTGACCAGCTTGCAGTTTGATGACACCAGGGTCGTCAGTGGTGGAAGTGATGGCCGGGTTAAAATCTGGGATTTGAAAACAGGTCACCTGGTCCGAGAGCTCATTGCTCAAGGAGAGGCTGTCTGGAGGGTGGCTTTCGAGGATGAGAAGTGCGTCGCTCTGGCTTTGCGGCAGAACCGTACCGTCATGGAGGTAAGAGTTATTGCATTATCTTGTTCAGGAAAACGAATTTTACGCATTGCTAACCAACTTTATAAAGGTATGGTCTTTCTCTCCTCCGGAGGATGTCCTATATGATCGTCCGCTCTCCCTTCAACAGCGAGTTCTACAAGAGGCGCCAACTCGACCCTTGAGCGCCATGCAGCTCGATTATAGACAAACCCAGCCGACTATCGCTGGGTCTAGTCGAGAAGCTACCGGAAGTCAAGACGTTGATATGAGGGACGCTGGTCCTTCTACAGCCCCACTTCAGGGTGGCAACAAGACTTTCTTCCATGACGATTAGACGCGGTCGTACCTTGAAGCCATCCGCATGTCGAGGTGTTACGGTTTACGTGGTGATTGGCGAGTCCATACACTTCATGGTATGGCCATCTTCGAAATGCTTCCGAGCCGAGAATGGGGCGGCCAGCGAGAAAAGGGTGTCGTCTTTCGGCGTTGGTCAGGAAGCATCAAATGCATTTCAAAGGACGGCCGGCATGGTTTTGATAGCATTGGGAACTTCATTTCAGTGGTTTAAAGGGTGTCAATTGAAGGATTAGGGGTTCGGGACGCGAAGTCATGCAGCTTTGTAGTGCGGTTGGCCTAGCCGCACCTTAATATACCCCGAGGTAGCGTATTGTAGAACTATACACCATCTCAGAACGAGTGCGACAGACCGTCTCTCGGATTTCCGGTTTGATCAATGACAAGTAGCCTGACAGCCAGCCATGTTTACATTACAAGATGTAACGGCCAGACCCGAAGCCGCTTTCACTGTGGTCTTTTACTCCTTCCTACCTGACCACTAGAGATGTGGCATACAACACGATTGGGAAGAATTGCCTCGTCGGACTTGACTATCTGGAGCGCAAAACCCATTCGCGCGGCTTTGTTATTTGTTTTAATTAACCCTGTACGGACGGAGTAGGGGTTTGGGTATTTGCGGCGATTGGCCCCTGGTGCTGGCACTGTTTCCTTGTTATCTCCGAAGGCCGCTCTCGCTGTCCACTGAATGAGAACTCAATGGGACCCGTGCGAAAATATGGCCGACCGTTGGAAGCCGGGCCCGCCAAAGTCACAGCACATCGAGGTGCACGCCTCGCAGATCCCGTTGAGATAGAGTCACGTGAAAGAAAGCTAGCCTCAAACGGACTAGTAGTTTTCAACAAGCAGCAGCTCCCTTCCCAACCAACGCCGCGATTTTTCGGAGCTCCAGCGATCAAATAATTTGTTATCACCCTCCTTCCCCCGAACCCTTCTCATCCTCATCGTCCGGAGGCTCCATCATCAACACCCCCACGATGTTCTCCCGCGCAATCAGGTTAAACAGAGCGGTGCCTCTGCGCACTCGCGCCCCCGCCACTTTTGCTGCTGCGTCCCGGTCCGTCACCACCAACGCTGCATCGGCAACTTTGGAGAAGGGAGTTCCGCAGGTTAGTTTGCGCTCTTTTCCCGCCGTCACAGTCGTCAAATATCCTGCGGCAACAACACAACAACAACAACACTCTCTCGTATATATAGACATGATCAATTGCATCGTGCTAACTTACCGCGCTATCCCAGTCCGACGATGAGCCTTTCCAGATCACCCTGAGCGATGAGAGCTTCGAGACCTACCAGCTCGACCCCCCGCCGTACACACTCGATGTTACGAAGAAGGAACTGAAGCAGATGTACAAGGATATGGTTGTTGTCAGGTACGGGCTATCCTGTCTCTGCAAAAGTGCTACGTTATCTTCGTTACTCACCGTCTGCATAGACAACTCGAGATGGCCGCCGATCGTCTGTACAAGGAGAAGAAGATCCGCGGTTTCTGCCACTTGTCTACCGGTCAGGAGGCTGTCGCTGTCGGCATTGAGCACGCTCTCACCCGCGAGGACGATTTGATCACTGCTTACCGTTGCCACGGCTTCGCTTACATGCGTGGCGGTACCGTTCGCTCCATTATCGGCGAGCTCTTGGGCCGCCGCGAAGGTATCGCGTACGGCAAGGGAGGTTCCATGCACATGTTCACCAAGGGCTTCTATGGTGGTAACGGTATCGTCGGTGCACAGGTGCCCGTCGGTGCCGGTCTCGCTTTTGCTCACCAGTACACTGGCCGGAAGAACGCCTCCGTTATCCTGTACGGTGACGGTGCCTCCAACCAGGGTCAGGTCTTTGAGGCTTTCAACATGGCCAAGCTCTGGAACTTGCCCGCTCTGTTCGGCTGCGAGAGTGAGTTCTGGGACCTGTGAAAAGCTCATTAGTTCGTCTCACTAACCATTTCACCAGACAACAAGTACGGTATGGGTACCGCTGCTGCCCGTTCCTCCGCCCTTACGGATTACTACAAGCGCGGCCAGTACATCCCTGGTCTCAAGGTCAACGGCATGGACGTCCTTGCTGTCAAGGCCGCCGTCAAGTACGGAAAGGACTACACTGTCGCCGAGAACGGACCCCTCGTCCTCGAGTACGTCACCTACCGGTACGGTGGTCACTCCATGTCCGACCCCGGTACCACCTACCGTACCCGTGAGGAGATCCAGCGCATGCGTTCCACCAACGACCCCATTGCTGGCCTCAAGCAGAAGATCATGGACTGGGAGGTCGTCACCGAGGACGAGCTCAAGACCATTGACAAGGAGGCCCGCAGCTTCGTCAACGAGGAGGTTGCCGCCGCTGAGGCCATGGCCGTCCCCGACACCACCCCCAAGATCCTCTACGAGGACATCTACGTCCCCGGTACCGAGCCGCAGTTCATCCGTGGCCGCACCCCTGATGAGACCTACTACTTCCACTAAATTCCTGCGCATGACGAATAATTGTTTCCTAACCTTTCTGTCCTATTGTACAATACCTACTAGCTAGAGAGGGTGAAGTGGTCACAATCTGAACATGGCCAGGGTCTGCAGATATCCTCCTGGTTCGACAAAATATTTTTGCCCAAAGTGAAAGGTGGCGCACTGTGATGTTGTCTGGCTGTGGAAATAAAAAGCTCCTTGGACCAGTGCATTAAGCCCAATCGGGGCGGTTAAGAAAACTTGCCCGAAGCGGCACAGCGATGGCCACTGCCTGGAAAGTTTATATGGGTCCGTGCAGTTACGGGCCCTTTTCGCGTCACCAGGCAGGAGCTCTTAACGCGATTATTCTGCTCCCAGCGCGTCGAGTGTCCCCAAAGTCCTCCTCCAACCTTCATGTCCGTCCTTCCCCGCCTTCTGAGCAGCTCAATTGGTCAAAGAAACGCATATCGGGCAGCGTTTCACAACAGCTTTCGACTCTTCGCTGTATACACTCGACCAGACGTCAAAATGGCGCCGAAGCAGGCGACGCTGGGGTACGTCAAGCCATCTCAGACAACGTTGGGGTGTGTAAAGGACAATGTTTCTAGGACTACCACAGACGTAACGGAGCTTTGGACCTCCAGCTTTCGTGTGGTTGCAAGGATATCTGCTGACAGAGTTGTATAGAAAGTTCTTCGGAGCGAAGGGATCCAAGCCTGAGCCTCAGCAGAGCAAGCTGAGCTTCGCCACCAAGGCGGCCCCGAAGAAAGATGTCAAAAAGGAGGACGATCCCGTGGATGTCGCCATTACGACACGGCATTCCCCTAGCAGTAGATTTTGAACTCATACACCAGATGTCTTTCGTTTCAATTGACTAATAAATTGACTACAGAGCCACGGAAACGTACCAGAAGCCCGAGCCCAAAGGTCAAGAATGAGGTCGTCGAGGAGGAGGAAGATGATGAACCTGCCACAAAGAGGCCGCGCAGAGGCCGCAAACGTGTCATCGAGGACGAAGACGAAGATGAAGTGATGGATGAAGCTCCGACCAAGTCACCTTCAACGTCACCGAATACTTCCAAGGCCAGGAAGAACAGTCCAGTGAAGTCCGCGAAGGCTGCAAAGCCTAACTCTGACGCACCAAAGACGTCCCGATCGAGGAGAGTAACCAAGTCTCCTATACCTGCACCTGCCGTCGAGTACGAAAAGGGGGATACAACGGAGTCTGCGTCCGAAGACGACGTTGTTGAAGATGACGAAGAGGAGGCCAAGCCTACGGTAGCGAAAAAGACCTTGGAAAAGGTGCAGATGAAACTGAAGACCCAAACAAAGAACCCATATCCCGACTGGAAGGCGGGCGAACCAGTTCCCTACGCCGCACTCTGTACGACGTTCTCCCTCATCGAGCTCACGACCAAGCGGCTAGAGATCATGGCTCATTGCTCTCTGTTCCTTCGGCAAGTTCTGCGTTTGACCCCCGACGATCTTCTTCCCACTGTTCTGCTCATGATCAATAAGCTGGCTCCTGACTATGCTGGCATTGAGCTGGGCATTGGGGAGTCGCTCATCATGAAGGCCATTGGCGAATCTACGGGACGAAGTCTCGCAGTCATCAAGCAGGACCAAAAGGAGATTGGAGATCTTGGTCTTGTTGCCGTCAAGAGTAGATCAACGCAGCCAACCATGTTCAAGCCCAAAGCTTTGACAATACGAGGAGTTCACAAGGGTCTCATGGGCATCGCTACTGTTTCCGGGAATGGTGCCCAAGGCCGGAAGGTGGACGCCATCAAGAAGCTACTGTCAGCAGCCGACTCTCATTCCTCCGGAAGGGTGGACATCACTAAGGATAAAGGCGGTCCCAGCGAAGCCAAGTATCTTGTCCGGTTCCTCGAGGGCAAGCTTCGATTGGGACTGGCTGAGAGGTCTGTTTTGGTATCTTTGGCTCAAGCTGTGATATTCCACGAGGCCGACGTCAAAGGTCAGGCACCCAAGACGACAGACGTAGAGCAAGCCGAATCCGTTCTCAAGACAGTCTACAGGTTTGTGGTTCGCTCCCGTATTCCTCAACAGCGTTGTGCTAATCATCAACAGCGAACTCCCGAGCTACGATGTCATCATCCCCGCCATGGTGGAACACGGCATCATGAACTTGCGCGATCATTGCAAGCTGCAGCCCGGCATACCCCTGAAGCCCATGTTGGCGAAACCGACGAAAGCTATCACTGAAGTTCTTGACCGCTTTGAAAACCAGACCTTCACCTGCGAGTACAAGTACGACGGTGAACGAGCGCAGATCCATTACGTTGCGAAGTCTGCGGATGAGGAGATTTGTCAATCTTTACCGGGGGCTACGACAGCTGCGGCAGACGGTGTTGCCGCCATCTTTTCCCGTAACTCGGAAGATCTGTCCAAGAAATACCCAGACATTCTTGCCAAACTTCACACTTGGGTCAAGGCGGATACGAAGAGCTTCGTCCTTGACTGTGAGACAGTTGCGTGGGATATCGACGAGAAGAAGGTCCTGCCTTTTCAGCAGCTGATGACGCGGAAGAAAAAGGACGTCAAAATCGAAGATGTCAAGGTCAAGGTCTGCGTTTTTGCGTTCGACCTCCTCTACCTCAACGGCGAGGCCATTGTCGAAAAGTCACTCAGGGAGCGTCGTGAGCTCCTGTTGAATGCGTTTACACCGGTGGAAGGTGAATTCGCCCTTGCTACACACATGGATGGACAGGAACTGGAGCAGATCCAAGTGTTCCTCGATGAGAGCGTCAAGGCGTCCTGCGAGGGTCTGATGGTGAAGATGTTGGACGGCTCGGAGAGCGGGTATGAGCCCAGCAAGAGGAGCCGAAACTGGCTCAAGGTAAGCCGCTTGGATCCCCTACAGATATTTATTGCGCCGACGATTTTTCGTGCTGACTGCATATTCGTAGATCAAAAAGGATTACTTAAGCGGCATCGGCGACTCGCTCGATCTCGTAGTATTAGGTGCATACTACGGTAAAGGGAAGCGTACATCTGTCTATGGCGCGTTCCTCTTGGCATGCTATAACCCGTCGTCCGAATCGTATGAAACTGTCTGCAATATCGGCACGGGATTCTCCGAGGCCGTTCTCGAGGAGCTGCACAAGCAGCTCTCGGACATTGTCATTGACCGGCCAAAGCCGTTCTACGCACACTCCTCGGGCGGGCAACATCAGCCCGACGTGTGGTTCGAGCCTCGTTACGTCTGGGAGGTCAAGACGGCCGATTTGACGCTCAGCCCGCGCTACAAGGCCGGGTGCAAAGAAGGAGTCGACCCTGGCGGCGAGAAGGGAATCAGCCTGCGCTTCCCGCGCTTTATCAAGGTGCGCGACGACAAGAAGGCCGACGAGGCTACATCCAGTCGCCAGGTGGCCGAGATGTATCGCAAGCAGGAGAGCGTAACCAAGAGCAAAGGCCCCGCGGTGGATGATGATTTTGAGTATTAATCAACAAACATTTTGAGGTTTAAACCTGCACTAAGAGAATCGGCGAATCATGGCGTTCTTACATGGCTCTGGGAGGTATTGCAATGTACGTGGATGCTTCCGCTCATCATGACGACAGAGGGGTCGGGTTGAGGAATATTGCAAGCATGGCTTTTACTTAGCAACTCGCATACATGACTCTTTAAGTAGGTTTCAATATTTGCGTCGGATGGAGGCGCAAATACACGCCCCAATATCTCTCTGAATACCTCTCTTAGCGCCGAACATGTGCATGTGTATTCGTCCAGTCTTTCTTTTGGCTCGGTTCTCTTCTCTAATCTTGCATGTCTCACGGAGAAGAAGCGTAAACCTGCGGGATATGTAAGCGTCGATCGAAAAGTTCTTGTAAAAGATTTGCTTTGCGTGTGCATGCGGCCGGCCGCGCCGGCCGCTGCATGTGCGGTCATTGTCATTGAGCATTTGATTTTCTCACTTCGTAAAAATAAGAAAAAAATTTAGTGCCTCTTGTTCTCGAGGTCAATGCCTCGGATAATTTGCATCGGAGTTTTCTTCGTGTGCACTGGGAAACGTGCATAGAGGAACATGTGTTGATGACTCTTTTGTCCTCGAGGTAGTTTTACTATTCTGGAGAGTCAAGTCAACCACTATGCCTCTGGTCAACCGCGGAAGTCACCTCACGAAGAGCAATAAGAATGTTTGATATATTGAATGTGATATGTCCATGCTTGTAACCATAAAAGTGTCGTCGCACTCTAGTGTACAACTAGCTATACAAACATTTGGCCCTGGGCCCCCCCGTGTCAAGTTCTGCTCAATACCAATACAGTTCGATTTAACATAATCCGCTGTACATAACCCGAAGGGACCGGACGAAAACCCTCTAGGCTTTAGTGACACCCCCCTTTTGGTCCGTCTCGACACCTTCTTTCGCGACGTTTCCCATGCCGATTCCTTTCCTTCGCCCCCGAATCACAGCCTCCAACGCCTTGCCTATGGCGGGCATGTCACCGAGCATGGTCAAGTGTCCGCGCTCGGTGCTAACACGCCCGCCACGCACCAGCTCGTACCCCTCTGGCAGCTGCGCCTCACGTGCGAGAACCACACCGTCGCCGGCACGGAAGATGAGGTCGTCGTAGGCTTGTGCATGAGCGATGGCCTCGCGGCTGCTGACCTTGACAGCGTAAACGGTGGGGACTTCCTTGCCGTAGATGATTCCGAGAGGAGGATATGCGTTGGCCTCTGATAGAACTGGGTTGAATTGTGTTTCTTGACGGAACCGCTTGATCTCGGCCAAGGTACGCTCTAGGTAGGCGATGTTTCTGGCGCGGTTGGGGGGCGTTGGTGCGTTGAGTGCTCCCTTGGTGAATGGTGACGGTTTGTTGCCGTCTATTTGTGGGTTGATGCTTCCTTCACGAACCTGTTCTACTCTCCGGGCTGCGTCGGCTATTGATGGCGGCAAAACGTGACTCTGTTTCTTCTCGCTTGAGCTGCGACTGCGAACCGAGAGAAGAGAGCTCAACGTTGTCGACTTCTCCTTTGGTACCAGCGGGGGCAAAGGAGGCTCAATGCATGGCGAGAGGCGATATTTGATCCATTCATTCACGTCGTGGAAGTCGACTTTGTACTCCTCCTTCGTGTCCTTGTTGACGAAGCAGAAGCCGTCGTCGGGCAGAAAGACGAAGGACGTCCTTAATGAGAAATTGACCTGTGCAGTCAATATTTTCTCGTTGAGGAGGACTGCATCGCCGTCTCTCAGAGGTCCTAGGACGTTGATGCACCGCTGAGGTGTACCAACGTAGACGACACCCGAGAAAAGATCCGGTCTCTGGTTGACGACGTGGCGGGTGATGAGACCGCCGAGACTGTGGGCTAAAACAAGAGCGCCTCTGGGCTCTTTCGAATCCCCCTGATTGCACGGCAACTTTTCCAAGAACTCCACCATCTTGCGTGACAGTAGATGAGGACTCAGTCTCCAGTCGTAGCCGTAATCATGCAGACGTAATTTTCCTTTCCGAACGTTTTCGCAGGCGGCAATTTTCTTGAACAGCTTCCTGGAGATATCAATGGGGCCAATATTTTGGAGCATGCCTGATGGAATAATGCGCTCTTCCATAGACTCTTCGTCTTCGGGATCGAGGCCGACCTCCAAATCCGCCTTCCTCATATTGAGGCCGATTTTGACTGGAGCCCATAGTTGGTGGTGCGGAGGCTCTGCTGATCGTAAAATCGAACCGCGGTAACCGCCGAGAATCACAATATCCCCGGTCAACGTCTCCAGCACTCTGTCTAGAGTTGAGAGTCCATCGTTGTCAGATTTTGGTGCCGGAGCCTCGGGGATAGCCTTGCCCGTTGCGTCTTCGTTCAGTCTGAGTGACGACCCGAGTTTGGGTAAGCTCGGCATTTTAAACGTCGGTCTTTCGGGTAGACTGTCTTTAATTGCCTTCATTCTTACATTGGCCATTTCTCTGACATGGTCAAACCTACCATCATCATCCCCGATAGACGATGTGCGGGAGAGAGAGTGGTATAGCAGCGAGTCGTCAGATGTGACTCTCCTCAAAACGCGGGGCCTTGTGGTAGAAGGTCTTCCCGATGATACGGAAGGGCGGTTACCGGATGCCTCATGGGCCATTGTTTGCGCACGAGGAAGCCCGTTGGCACCGCTGGACATGGCAGGCGTGTTGTTGTACGGCCTCCCATTCTGAACCAGTTGGGATTTCCGCTGATCAGTCGACCTCGGATCCGCCTTCTCTGCAGCCGCAGTGAAGAAGGATAAGGAGTTGAAAATTGCTGAAGGGGCCGGGAATGAAGAGAACGCATTCGAAAACTTCTTCAGCGCATCAGCACCCGCCGAGGATGAGCGTTTATGCCGGGATTGACCGAAGGACACAGATTCGAGGGCGCTCTTGGGCGCTTCACCGTCCCCACCACCGAATATCATGCTCCTTGGACTTGACTGCCATGGCGAGGGTAGGTCCTTCGGTGCCGGCCTTGTTTTTTGGAGCTTTTGAGATTCTCGTCTGCGAGGCGGCGCTGGCGAAATGGGGATATCCGACTCAGTCTCGAAATTGGTAGGGATCTCGTCGGGAAAGGGCGTTAGTTCTGGCGAGCTAGCCGAATCGTCACTGCTGGCAAGACCAGGCAGAAAGAGTCCGGATGACTTCCTCTCCCTTTCCAACGCAGCAGCCTTCTCGGCTTTGGATGTTTGGGGTAGTGTGAGTCGAGTGGCAGCAACACTCAGTGCGGGCTGCATGACGGACTGGGCGCCATCCTGGTCATCATCGCCATAAACTGGATCTTCAAACGGGACCTTTTCCAGAGTCGGGGACGGAGAACTCCTCCTCTCAGTGACGCCTTCCTTTTGAGACATGGCCACCATCGTGAACTTTTTCCGTCAAACAGGCTGAGGAATCGAGTAATTGAGTCGCGGGGTGTATAAGAGTAATAAAGTCGCAATTTGCAGCCGGGCGTTCCGGGTGTTATGTTAGCTCAATGGCACATGCTCAGCCTTTTTGGGAAGAGTGAGAGTGGACACCAGTCGGTGCTGCACCGAGGTCAGGACGGGAGATTGACCTGAATAAGAGGCAAGAACCGAAAAGGTGAAGCAAAAGAGGATCTCAAAAGCCTGGGGAAAAGCTGGGTCAAGGGGTTTGTGGCCCAATAAACGGAAAAGAATAGAAATGTGTATGTCTGAGGTGTAGGACCGTTAGGCTGTGTATTGAGGTATTGGGTTTAGGAAGGATGATGCAGTACAACGCTCCGATCTGAGAAAACGTAGAATTGGCTATGACGAAGCAGATCAATGGGACAGGGGTAGGGAAGCACCGAGTAGGTAATATATAAAAGAGAAGCTAGCAGTAGTACGGATAGAGTGCGGACCTTTCTACTCTCTACTTGAAAAAGCAGTGCACCTGAACGCGTATCTGTACCAAGCAAGGAGGGCAACACACGTGTGCCCACATGTTGCTGTCCTGCCAATCCATATGGTATGTACCTGACGTTTGACGTGCGTGCGTGCCTTGCCTTGACAGAAAAACGATGAAGGAAAGGCAAGGTACCACCCTCAACTCAGTCCAGGGTGTGGGTAGGTAGCCAACCACCCAACACACACACCAAGACTGGAGCACTGAAGGAGCACTGAAGGGAAGCTTGCTGATGTTCTTCCCGCTGCGCACCGTGGTGCGTAGAGAGACCAGAAGTCTGATATGCAGAGAGCTGCGCCCCCCCCCTCGCCCGAGAACAAGGGGTATCCTCTTTCGGTCGTACATCGTATGGATCTCCGGTAGGTAGAACTTTTAGAAACGGGCTCATGCGTCACGCTGCCATATGTCGAATGCGGCTAGACTGGGGATCGCTGTGTGTTCATCTCACTGCTGTTTCTTCCGCGCTCGACCGATATTTGGTATGCCATACCGGACCGTCCTTTCTGTCAGAGAGGCACGGATAGCGGCAGCGAGTAAAGGTTGTTGCGCGGGCGGGCAGCTGTGCTTTTGCTCTTTCAAAGCCAGTGTGCGGGCCGTGGGAGAAGCCTTGGGCAAATTCTTCTCCTTCTCCTTCTCCCTCCACTTTGTTTTGTTCTTCAACGCTGCGCTGTTTTGTATCAGAGGCGCTCTGGCCGATCCAATCGCATGGGTGACCCTTCCCCGCCCCCAGGTTGAGGTTGCGATTCATTGACTGATGAGTGGTATTGAAGATTGTTTCTAGGTGTAGTCAGCGGGCGTGTCATTTTTCCATGGTTCCTATTTCTGCTCTCCCTACGGATATGCCACTGACATAATCACATGCGCCGTCTGAGTGCTAGCTTCTGCCCCACTGTATCTTAGCCACCAATGGAATTGGAAGTAGCGTCATTGGCCAATGCCCACTTGGTCGTCCGGCAGCTACGGGCCCTGCGGCACCCGATGATCCGGCATTACTATGTCGATCGGTCCAAGTCAGTATGTCAGACTTTCCTGTCGATTTTCCTGGTTGACTCTGATGCCTACAATTGTGGAGGGGATATGGGGAGATATTCTCTTACGCCAACGGAAACAGGGAGGATGCCAGATCACATGTCTATGCCAACATAAAAAACATCGTTGATTCATGACGCATGCATAAATGGGAACTAGGTAGATGGATATCTGTATCTGTACCTCAATGAGGTACGGATACCCAGTACTTGGAAAGCTTACCTCCGGCACCTCAGGTTATCTGAGAGCATCGAAATATAAGGTGTTATCGGCAAAGTAAGCTCGGGCAAGTGGCCTGATGGTAACCTCAAACTTGCAAGCCTCGAGGCTCTTGGATCCAGATTGGCCTGCTCGGACGTTCCATGATGATTCCAGATTCCAGATTCTTGCTTGAGCTGATGTGCGGCGCGCCCGGTGCAGCAATCTACCGATGCCGAGCCAGCCAGCACAAAGCACGTTTCCACGCTCCCACGGACCGACTTGGAGCCTCAACCTCAATGCTGTTTTTGGACTTCCATTTGGCCATCCAGATAAGAAATCTTATCGCCCCACTAATTGCTGGAGACATTTGCAGGCGCAGCTACCTCTCCTACCTTATTACGTGCTTACCTAGCTACCTTAGCACCTTAGGTAGCTACACCTGCCGCTTGCCGCCTGCGTCCTTGAGGTAATTAAGTTTGTGCCTAAGCACGTTGGACGTCATTGCCTGGCAAACCCGCCAACCCAAACAAAGCGTCTCCCGCCCGCGACCGCGACGCTGCCAAGTTGGCCCGGCTTCAACGTCGAATCCCTGCCCCGCGAAACCAGTGCATCGTCCTGCAGTTTGCATGTACCTACTTTCCCTCCAGCATCCAGGTAAGGTCGCTCAAGGGGGCTTAGACCAAACCGCCTTGCCAAACAGTCCTCAACGTCTTGTCACAAACACAAACAGCTCTCGAGCTTCGTTTCCCACCCTCCGTCACTGCTGTCGTCGTCCCATGTATAACCCTGTTTGTTGAGCTTACTCATTCTCCTCCCCTCGCCGGCCTCGTCCCGCAAACATTCCTCCGGTCTCCCTGATCACCTCCATCCATCCCGAGCCGTAAAATAATCTCCGTAGCTATGACTACCCTTGAACCTCGCCAACCTTACAGCGACGCCGAGCTGCGCCAGCTGTACCCTCCACAGCTCAAGCTTCAGCTCGTGCAGATCCTCCTCCGTCATGGCGAACGAACTCCCGTCACGCCTCGTTTCCAGAACACCGGCCTTCCAGCATATTGGCCTTACTGCCGTGCTGTCCGCCACCTCCGATCTGCCGTTCTCGATCCGGATACCGGTGAATACTCTTACCTTGACTGGAAGCGTCGTCTCGAGATATTCAGTTCAAACGATGACAGTCCCATGATCGCTACCGGCCCCAATGCCGAGCTTGACGACATCTGTGACCAGGGCATGCTTACGGACCGCGGCCGAGAAACCACGCGCAACCTAGGACGCCGCTTTCGTGACCTCTACGTCGAACGACTCGGATTCTTGCCCACCGATCTCATCGACGCCGATTCTATGTACCTCAGGTCTACGCCAGTCCCGCGAGCTCTGGAGTCTCTCCAACAAGCTCTCTCTGGTCTATATCCAGCCAAGCACCGGGCTCCCGATCTACCCGCACTCACGCTTCTGACCAGGGCGCCTCAAGATGAAACTCTCTTCCCCAACGATTCAAATTGCCGCCGATTTGCAGCTCTCTCTCGTGCTTTTGCCCAGCGGACCGCCGAGCGATGGAACAATACGCCGGAGATGGACTACGTCAACAAGAAGCTTGGGAAATGGATGCCCGATAACGCTCGCATCGCCGTCGATTCCAAGCCCAGGTTGAGCGGTGTTATGGACACGATCAACGCAACGCGCGCACATGGTCCGAAGACCAAGCTGCCCTCGGAGTTCTATGATCCCAAGGTAATTGCCATCATAGAGAGAATTGGCGTAGAAGAATGGTACAGCGGTTACACAGAGAGCCAGGAGTATCGCACCCTCGGCATCGGTGGCTTGATGGGCGATGTTGTGGCTCGTATGGTCGGAAGCGTCGAGCACAGCCCGGCAGACGGAGACTATGAGATCAAGCAGCCCAGTGCAGTTCCTCAGCCCATCAGGTTTGGTATGAGCGGCTGCCATGATACCACCTTGGCAGGTGTGCTAGCGAGCCTGGGGGCCTTTGGTCCGGACAAGTGGCCTCCTTTCACAAGTCACATCGCTGTTGAAATGTTCCGCGACTCCCAAATTCCAGCTATTGAAACGTCGACCGAATTGCCCGTTGTGCCAGCCCCCAAGAGTCGTGGGTGGTTCGGCTCGTGGTTCTCCTTCGGTCGCGCTAGTACACCGTCGCCGGGTACGGCTCCCCCAGGCATTGGCCGCAAGCCCACCCCTGCGTTGACAGATGCCGAGAAGAAGCAGCTGGACGGCTACTACGTGAGACTTCGGTATAATGATGAGCCGGTGACTATCCCCGGCTGCAAGGCTGCTGGCAACCACCTCCAGGGTGATGAGTCCTTCTGCACTTTGGTAAGGTTCCAGACCGCGGTTTTTAACTTGATCATTTTAAGCTGACGTGAACCCAGGCCGCTTTCAAGTCTATTGTGGACAAGTACACACCTGTCGACTGGAGAAATCAGTGCCGTACGAACGCCAACGAGCCCGTCTTCCCATCCAAGCCCGAGCCGGCAGGATATTGTTGATTTCTAGAACCACTGAGAGCTATCAAACTTGTTCCGGAAAAAGAACACGTGATGATTACAACACAGAATAGAATAGGAAGAGTTATGTCCATAGACTAGTGGCGCTGGGTAGTGTCACAACTTACATATGACCAATGTTTCTGTTGAAAAGCGTTTGCTTTGTCATTTTTCGTGGTATGCGTGTCAAAGATCGTCCCTCGTTGGGCCAGGATATGTTTTTCATGTTACATGTCTGTCTAGAACTGGAGATTATGAAGGCATGTGTCTCGCGCGCTCGGAATATCTATCTTAGTCCGCGAGGACCCAAAGGCTTTTATGGTAAAAGATATAGAGATATCTGTTGATAATACGTTATGTACTCATAGATTGATCTTCCATACGAAGTGGCATTTCCTGTCTCTTAGAGCAGCCTCGTGCTTTGGAAAATTGGGCTGCGGTGTCCAATGTATCCTGAAGAGCTGCCAGGGAAAAGATGTTTCTCGGTGCCTGAGATGCAGCCTCGACACGGGTGCTCGGATAATGGGCAACTAACGTCTGCACGCTGTGCCCCGATTAGGTCGTTGAGCTATACCCCGATAGCGCTTAATGTGAGGCTATAGTGCAATTGCTGTGAAGCTACAATGTTGAGGTTTCTCAACCGCTTCTTTCTCCCCTTCTCTCTTCCTCGCTCCCTCTTTTGGAACACGGGATGTGGTCATACCTGTAAGTTGCTGGAAGACTTGGAAACGCGTCACAATCTCCAGGTAATTGAATTGCTCCTTGGCAAATAAAAGTTCTTTCACACGCCACACATCCACATGATCCTCGCTCACCCATAGCCCTGTATAGGTAGCTCACAAAATTCGCAGATTGATGGTGATTAACGGTAGCGTGTTGTAACTATGAGCCGTCGGGCGGACGTCGGGCGTACGCCATCTAATAGTGTGCATTCATTGCTAATGTCGAAGCCAGAAGAGGGTGGACGAATCTTACGATCGTTTCCGATATTTTCACACTGGCAACGACCGAGTTGATCCGTTGATAGATGATTCCAATGGATTGTAGTAGTCAATGGAGATCAATGTAGATGACAAAGACGTCGTTGCCATAAGAGATCTTCAAGCTTGGTAAACATCAATACTGCTTGGCCTCCCCGCAACGTCTTCACTCTTGCCTCGTCTAAGGCCGTCTGCCAAGTTTACCCTACCAGAACAGATTAAGGGAGATTTAAAAAGAAGATGGCGAGACAACGATATGTGTTGTTGGCTCGCGGAAGGCCGCCAGAAGCGCTCAAGGTGGGGTATCTTAGGTCATAGCTCCAGCTATCGCGGGGTAAATTGCCGACGAAAGTCTCGAAAGAGCCAAGCTCCAGAGGCGACGTTGAACTACGAGTCTACAATGCCACTTCTTGGTTCATCATTGGACAACACGACAAATCACCATCTCATCCACAAGAGGGAAAAAAGGTAAGACACCATCGCACCGGGAGCTCTCCTGCCTGCGGGGTCCGTCGACTCGCCGGCGCACGTGGATACGCAGTTGGACCAGCTAACAGTAGCCAGCTGCAGGTAATATGGCAAAACTCAGCTGGTGATGGTTCGCTAGAATGGAACTTTGCAGTGTCTGCCACCGTGAAAGCGCGCAATCACCCCTGTCGAGCTGTGTGGGTGGGGTTACCGGAGCCCAGGCCGATCCACCGTCTCCATCCAACCATTGGATGCATGGGGCCCAGTTGACGTCGCCGGCGGCGCCGAATCCGTGGTAGGAAGTCCCAGTCTTTTCCATGACATTCGGAAGGAAGAACAGCGACAAAGGGAAGGGGGGAGAGGGCGCCGGATTCGTCCTATTCACACCCACCTCGCGCTTCTCAGTTGTACTGCAGCAGGAAAGACGCCAGCTTGGCGTGCTTGGCCCAGCTCCCTCTTGGTACCGTCCCATGTTGCCCAAATCAAGTTTTCTTGGCAGAGCTAGCGCGCGACGGGCGAACCTCCACCCAAAGCTTGAGTCCCAAGCTCGACACCTTGAGTACCCGTGGCGGGGTATCCGTACGACGACCAGAGACACCAAGAAACTGGCACCATAGCGTAGTGTCACCAGCTTGCCTGCGGATGAGACTTTCGCGTGCCTCGCTCGCACATCATTGCTGGCACATTGGCGCTGCCAACACGTCAACTGGCTCTCGATCCCACCTCGATCCTGGGGGATGCGTAAATGGTCTCCGGAATGACGACATGGTGTTGGACCAGGTGCCATTTACCCGTGTAACCACTCCGTCCCAACGTCGACATGGCAACGCCTTGGTCACTTTGGATTCTCGCTCACGACAAGACGCAAAAGACGGCATCTACTTCGTACTTTCACTCATGACGATGCTTGCCGGGCTGGCCGTAGCCGCATCTCCGATGCTCTCCGACGCCCGCACGTCTCCTTGGGAGGAGAACCAAGGATCTCGTAGTCCACTTTCATACAGTTTTGTCCCGCAGCCTGGTTTGCCCGCTTGGTCGTCATCTAAGACACCCCTTCATAGCTGAAGGTCAACGTCTTTGCCTAGTCCAACTCGGTCCTAGGACACACATACACAAGCGTATCCCCAATTGACGTGCCAAGTGGCGCGACATGGTCCAACGTCTCCCAGATACCACCCCATCCCTTCAGCTAGACAAGGCAAGGACCGGGTCTCTGAGCGACCAAATCAAGCTTCCTCCTACACCTCTCGTCCATTTCCCCCGCCCCCAACTCCCAACAGCGGATGACGGGATCCCAGGTATGGCGTAAACGTGCGTCTTTTTAGCGTGCGACCCTCAATCGATGGACCACTGCCTTGTCGATCGAGGAGGATCCGGGAGTCCTACGGGCATGGGGAATGGGATACTTGGAAGAACAGGGTCCAACGCATGTGAGAGTGTACTGTGTAATTGGCATCATGGCGCAGCATGAAGTCGATCGGGACCCTTAAATACCCGCCAGTCCCTCGATCTCGTCAAGTGTGACCACAACTTAGTATCATCTCATCTCATCATCATCCCAATCCAACTCACCTACAAACTACAAACTACAACCACCCCACATTCTTCACTCAGCAACCATGTCTTACGGCGGCAACGACGACGTGAGTATTGCTTCCAGTACATAATACCCAAGCCGCCCTCACTAACAATGTCCCAGTCCAACTACGGTTCCTCCCGCAGGGACAACGATGATAGCTACGGCACCTCAGGAACCACTGGCGGCTTTGGCTCCTCCACCCGCGACAGCGACAACGACAACAGCTTCGGCTCGTCGACCCGTCGCGACAATGACGACTCGTACGGCTCGTCCAACCTAGGCCGCAGCGGTAACGACTCGACCTACGGCTCCTCCCGTGACGACAACGACAACAGCTATGGCTCGTCCGGCAACACGGGCTCCTATGGCTCCTCCCGCAACGACACCTCCGACAGTTACGGATCCTCCAACACCCGTGGCAACAACGACGACAGCTACGGCTCCGGCAACAAGTCGTCTTCCTACGGAAACGACTCCACCTCCTCCAACCTCGCCGGCGGTGACTCTCTGTCCTACGGCAACAACAGCTCCAGCCGTCGTGACAACGACAACTCGGACAGCTACGGCTCATCCGGCAACACTGGGTCCTACGGCTCCTCCCGCAACGACACCTCCGACAGTTACGGATCATCCACCACCCGCGGCGACAATGACAACAGCTACGGTTCTTCCGGTAACACGGGCTCCTACGGATCCTCCCGCAACGATAACGACAACGACAACAGCTACGGCTCGTCGAACCGCACAGACAACGACACGTCCGACTCGTACGGAAGCAGCGGCAACAACAAGAGCGGCGACAGCAAGGTCGGCAAGTTCCTCGAGAAGGCGGGCGACCTGCTCAACAGCGACAAGCTCGAGTCCAGGGGCCAGGCTAAGCGGGAGAACGCTGGATACGGTAACAATGATGACTACTAGATGCCATCTTTTGTTTCGTATCGCGTTGTGGTGGCAAAATATGATGTCCTCGGAGGGGCTTTTTCGTGTAGAACCCCTCTCTCATCTTTGACGATGATTATGTACTAGCGGGCTCTGAATGCGATATTAATACCAATTAAACACAATCCTTGTCTACTGCTCCATTGTACGCGGGTTAGGTTCTTGTCTACGGTGCTCAATCAATCGCTTTGAGAATATGGTTTTCAAGTTCTTTACTTCCTCACCCACTTAACTTGGGAAACGAGTCGTATCATCATACCAGTTGACACCGAATCCTACCAGCAACTACATATTTGACGCCTTGCCAGCGTTACAGTGAGGGGCTGTTGAGACCGCAATCACATGCTAAAGATGTTGGAATTTGAATGCTCATTATGCTGCGCTATGAAATTCAAACCTCCTCCTCGAATTGGAAAACTGCACCTCACCCGACCGTCCAATGCCTCACCAACAAAGGAGACTGAACACTTCAGGTCAACTTCTTGGTAACCCTCACAAGCACAACCCCATCCGTCAACCGCCCCTCGCAATCCATGAGATGCACGAACCGATACCCGGCCCGCAACCGATCCAACCGCACCGCCGCCCACGCAGCAAGATCGTCCCGTCCAATCTCGTCGTCCCGCACGGTAAACCGGACAAACGTCAACGCCTCCACCACGCCCGGCACCCCCGAAAACTGCAGCGCCTCCCCCTTGAAATCCGGGTCGACGCCGCGGTTCGATTTGGTCTTTGCCTTGTGCTCGCTCTCCCGCTCGCGGCCGTCGTCCTTGATGTGCGCGCCGGGCAGGCGCTCCTCGGGGGACTCGACGTGGATCTCGACCTTGACGTAGGGCTTGAAGCCCGCGATGCGGGTGTCGCCCGGCGGGAGGGGGAGGTTCTGCGCCGCGAGGACGTCGATTTGGAGGTCTAGGGTCTTGTAGGCTATTTGGGGGATGTCGGTATGGGATGGTTCCGGGGATGAGCCGGTTTGTAGGCATCGGTATCCTGTGGGGTTTTTTTTTTCCACGGTCAGCTTCAAATGCTCTTTGGGGGGGGCGTGGGGCCGGGGGCGGTGGGGGGGGGGGGGGGGGGGGGGGGGGGGGGTGTGTGGGGGGTGGGAGGGAGGGGTGTGGTTTTGTTTTTTTTGTGGGGGGGTGGGTGAGGGTGGTGTGGGGGGTATAATTAAAAAAAAAAAAAAAAAAAAAAAAAAAAAAAAAAAAAAAAAAAAAAAAAAAAAAAAAAAAAAAAAAAAAAAAAAGAGGGGGGGGGGGGGGGGGGGAGACCAACCCTCAGGTTTCAAAACGTAACCCTTTGTGCCCGCAAACATGCCCTCGTTGAGCATCATCCCCTCATCCCAGTTCTGCCAGTTGAGCGCCACGATCTGGATGCCCCTGCGCCAAAAGACCGGCGCGTCAAGGTTGGAAGACCGGATGCGCAGGCCCGACGGGTACGCGCGCATCAGGTAGTGCCGGTTGTGGTGGAATAGAGCGGCCCCTTCCTTCTCGTGCACCTCCATCACGCCCTTCTCCGACAGAGAAAAGACGTGCGTCGGCATCGAGGCCTCGGGCTGCGTGAGGGACTTGAAGGACACGCCGCGCGTGTAGACGCCCAGCCTGCTCAGCGTCTGGATGATTTTGGAGGGTTTCTTCTTGGCCGCCGCCGCCGCCGCCGCCGCCGCCGCCGGGGCCTTGTTGCTGGGAGCCGCCGCGACATTTGCGTCCGGTGGCGTGGTTGACGCCTTGCCGTCTTCCTCCGAGTCGTCGTCGTCCTGCGCGTCAGTCACACCGGCGCCCGGCGGCGGCGCGTACTTGACCTTGACCAGAATCTTGCCCAGTAGGTCCGCGGGGCGGGGCAGCTCGGGGGCGTCGATGTCGGGCGTCGGCACGAGCAAGCCCGCCCAGGTGTCCTCCATGATCCGCACCATGACCTCCTGCTGCTCCGCGCTGCAGTGCACCTCGAGGCTGACGATGAGGGGCGTGTCGGCCGAATGGAAGCCGTAGTCGCGGATCGTCTCGCAGACGTGCCGGAAGGGCACCTCCTTGGTGAGGGTGTAGCCGTGGAAGACTTGTGGTTCGATGGGGAATGTCCTCGGCGAGGGCGTCTTTTGCAGCGGCGGTTGCTCCGTTCCGGTACTAATCCCGGCCCCGGCCCCCTTCTCAGTGGTGGTGGTGGCCGTCTCCGCCGGCGGACTCGTAGACTTCTCAATCCTCTGGTCCATCTTCTTCCCCAGCGACGTCTTCTCCAGCCTGCTCGCCAGCGACCCGGGCATCTTATCCTTGAGCATCGCAAGCCTGCTCCTCTTCTCCTTCTTAGGCTTGGGATGTCCTGAAGTAGCAGCAGCGGCGACGGCCTCCTCATCGCTACTACTGACAGACGTATCGTCCTCATTGTCCGAGTCGTCGCCGTCCCAGACGTCGATCTCGATGCACCGGCATCCCCTCAACAGCACGTTCCTATACGCGTCGGTGCTTGACTCGCTGTAGAGCTGGTTCCCCGTCAGGTACGTGTTGTGGCTGGAGCTGATGAAGTAGCTCGAGAGCGGGTACGTCAGGTCCTCCTCATGGACGGGGCGGGTGATGGCCGAGGCCGACGAGGTCATGTAGTTGAGGAAGCCGTTGAAATCGAGTTCCTCGAGGGTAGCTGCTCCCGACGTGTTGGCTACCAGGCTCTCGGGCGTCTCCTCGGCCTGGACGTTCTTCAGAAACGAGGCAATCTGCTCCTTGTGCCACTTCTTGTCGTCCTGGCCGGCGTGGACGTTGAAGATCTTTGTCAGGTGCGGTATGACCGAGTCGCCAAGCGTCTTGACGGAGCGCTCCGTCTCGCTGGCGCCGCCGCCGGCCTGGTACCGTAGCGAGGGCTTGGAAGGATCCGACGTTGCGGACACGATGGTGCCCTTAGGCGGAGGAGGAGCTGCTGCTGTGTCCGCCATGGTCTGTTTTTCATGTGGTGGTGATACCTTTGATGAGGCGGTGAAGAGAAGAGAGAATGGCGGAGAGAAGACGCCAAAAAAACAAGATGATTAGGACAATATTTGTGATGAACGATGGGAAAGTAAAATAGTGAGACGACGGGCTGATGCAAGCTGAACCACGAGATACAATTCACGTCTCGTGTGCTGGTATCAATCAGCCACTAGGCAGAAGTAGCTTGAGCTTGTGATACTGCAAAAGCATAAAAGGTTCCAGGTCGGAGAGCTACGTAGGTCAAGCAAAAAAAGCCAAGCTACTCAACGCGGCTCGCTGTCCCAAAGGTCCTCTATGTGGGGAGTACGTCAACCCGCGCCCCAAGCTCCCTTCCCCGGTAAAAATGAGGTCCTTGCTTTCGTAGGTGGTAAACGGCATCAGAGGAGGATAATCTTGTTTTTGACCCGCTGCGCCGTTTGGCAAAACTAGACACACCTTAACGACAATCCAGTTACGTTTCAGCTTGGCATGGGTGGGAACGCGGGCGCGCTGAGTGGTTCAGTGGTTCTCCTTGTCTCCAGGGGGCCGGTATAAAGCTCGCTCAACTGGGCATCAAATCGTGGCAGTTTGTAAGGAACGGTCAGGGGGGGGAACGCCTCAGCTCAACACCTGAGGACGATGTGCCACCCCCCCCTCATTATGTGGGATGTCGTCACAGGGTCTTTGTAGCGGTAAAGAAAAAGAGCAAAAGCCCAGACCTGACCCGGGACCGCAACGAACCTGACCCCTGGGAATGTCCACACCTCACCGGGCTCCCCCCCCCCCCCTTCTCTTATCGATAGTGTGTCAACCCCGCCAAATTCGACCCCTCATTTTAGCGCTGGTTCTTTCCGTCTGTACACCACCCCTGCATCCTTCAGCTCTCAAATGCCTTTTCTGCGATCTGTTGTTGCCATTGATGATAATGGTAAAGCACACATCCAATGAATGTCAATTTACCACTCCCCAATTGCAGCTAAATCCTTCATCATCGTATTGAGATTTCGTAACCAGTACTCAATACGCTTTGAGCATAAGAACCAGGGACGGGCCGCACCCGCTCGGGTCGGGCCAAAATCATGCTCGTACTCGCACTGATCCTGGCTCACCTCACTTTTCAGACTCATCTTGCATTGACGAGAAAATTATCGTGTCAGCCCATGCTCACTTTAGCTTCCAAATCCAACACACGTATTACATGTAGCTCAATTTTATATATGTAGCTCGCTCATAAATGTCGTAAGGTCATAAGGCGTGATAGCGATAGTTTACACAAATCCATCCACCGTCTATATACCCACCTTTTCTGAATGTGCAATCTTTCTTTCTCAGAGTCCCTTTTCTTGTTCCCTTCACAGGCGATATTTTGAGTCTTCTCACTTGCCCCCGCCTACCGTATGCTCGTCCTCCTCTTCAGCACCGGATCCCAGCATCGGTTCGAGACTCACGGCCGAATGGGCGACGTGACCGAAGTCCAGGTGTTGGCCTTGCTCATCGTCCGCTTCCTCATCATGGCCATGATATCAGCTTCCATGTGCTCAATGTTCTTCTCCAGATCGGCGTCCTCGACGGCGAACTTGCCCTCGCGACGCCTGTCAAACACTATCCACCCGCCAACAATGAAGATCGTCAGGGGCACGGTGATGGCAAAATACACCCACAGCTCCTTGGAAATGACGGGGTCCGCGTCTACTCTGAGAGTCAGCAAACAAAATTTCCCAGAAAAATAAAATTAACAAACTCGATCCCACGATCGCGGCGCTCATACAACAAGGAACACTGCACCACGAACCTTTGGCAAAGTCGAAAAACGTCATGCTAAAGACGGACGCGAGAAAAGTGCCTGGAAGGAAAACGGCGCCAAGCAGCGAAATCGTCTTCATCGCTGTGCTATCCCGCTTGCTGGCATGCGCCAGCCGCCGCTGCTCACCGGCCATCTGGAACTGAATCTTGGACTCTCGCTGGGAGAGCAGGTTATACAGCTGTCTCAACCGTCAGCATTCCACATGCGAGATTACAAGCTGGTCAGGTATCGAGACAACGTACCGCACTACGCTGAATGTGCAACCTCTCCAACGTCGTCGCTTGGTAGTTCTTAATCCCCGTCAACTTTATGCTGTAAAATTGCAACCGCGCAACCATGCTCCGGTGCAGCTTGTCAATTAGCGGCGTATTGTGCTCCGGGGGCACCTTCTCCTTGAACTTGACCAGGCCGGCCTCGATCTCCTTGACAATGGCTTGGTAGGCCTGCGGCCGCTTCCAGAGGACCTGACTGTGACATTCGACGAGGTCGCGGCTGATGGCGTCGACCTCGAGGTGCCCGTCTTGGCTGACGTACCCTTCCTCGTCCTCAATCTCGTTGCGCATGCTGACGGCGTGCTCCAGTTTCCGCAGCCAGTCTCGCGCGTCGCGCTGCTTCTGGTCCGTCGTCGACGACAGGTCGTGCGAAAGGATGATGATGGGGAGGAGCATCGGGTGGCCGACCTGCTTGGCGCAAAAGGTGAGGTGCTGGATGGCGGCGACAATGTCGGAGCTCGAGGTGCCCTTGACGTAGCCCGAAGTGATGCCGCTGCTGAAGCAGTGGGAGAGCATGAGCTCCCACCCGCGCGTCTTGCCCTTTTTTCGGACGTCAGACTTGCGGAAAATGATTTCTGGACAATTGTATCAGTCGAAACGGTCCATTTTTTCAACTCGGCGGAATAGGACATCACCAACGCAGCGTGGGGTCTTCATCGTCCTGGTCGTAGGCGCACCAGAAAAAGGGGCCGACGACGCTGGTGCCCTCGATAGCTCTGAAGGGCAACCGCATCGCCCGGACCATGGACTCGTATGCATCTGCGGTGAAGGAGATGGTATGAGGTGTGAATGTGTCCTTATTCTTGGCATTCTTTTGAAGCCTGAGTGAGGTCAGTTCGAAGCTCTAATCTGGCTGGACGAGTGGGGAGTCGCGAACACCAATCGAATGCCATTGAGCAATTTGACACCCTCCCTTAGCTTCGGTGGCTCAAAAGCGCCCTGCCAAAGTTGCGTTGTCAGTTGATCACAGCTCTCATGACGGCCAATCTCACTAAACGTGAGTGGCGATTACACGGGGTCCCGTCCATACCCGGCGATTGAGGAAGTTGTCAAACTCATCCATGGTCAGGGGGTGCTCCTCGCACGAATTGTAAAAAGGATCCTGTGAATTGGAATCAGTCCACGTTCCTCGACCGCACAGCCGTGCCAGGGAGTTCCATCCTGTCTTCTCTGTCGTTGGATGGGCGCGTGACTGGCAACTCACCGAGTAGTTGAGAATCTCAACATAGTGCGTTGCCTCCGCGACTTGGCGGCACTTGCTGACATGCTCTCGGAACATGTAGTCGTCCATCTTGAACCAATTGAGTCGTCAACCAGGCACGCTTCAGTACAATTATTCCACGTGTAAAACAAGACAAAAAAACAGCAAGGCTACTCCCAAGAGACGGAAAGAGGGAAACAAAAAAAAAAACAAGAGGTCTGGAGGCTGCTGCAGGACAGATTCATGGCTCCAGACCGGGCTCCTCTCATAAGCCGCGCCCAGCCCCGTGACTTTGCACCATGTCTGCAGCAAAAACAGCAGCATCGGTGGTCCCTTTCGGGGCCAGGTCCAGTCCGGCCCATGCAATCTGCACCTCACTCCAAAGTAAGGTAACCCACCTTGTAAGTGGCCCAGTACCACAACCTCATCCTCAGTCCCCCGGCGAAATCGCTCACTGGACATTCACCTTGCCACAGCTTGACAGCTCATGTTAGCAAGGGGTGTGAACTTCGGGGATTCAAGCGGTTTTTCTTATGTCGCCTAAGGTACCAAAGCTTGAAGCCTCTGGGGCCCTCTCTGGAAATCAGCATCTTAGGTAGACTAGGTCCCCTTGAGCGATGGAGCCGACGACACCTACTTCCACACTTCGTCCCGCGGCCCCTGGCACAATCCCCGCACCTCCACTCTGTCACCGCCAGAACGAACCGCTGTTTCTCTCTGCATTAATAGGCCCGGATAAGGCGCTCATTGGAGCTTGTTTGGACGCTTAGCTCACACAAGCGTGGGGGGAAGGAAAATGGGCGATTTCGTCGACTCGGGACGCTCTTCTCACCCGCACGACCGTCCAAATCATCGATATCTGTAGCATCACGCGCTTCAGACGGGAATGCAGACATGCAGATCATAGACGCAAGATGCAGCAGCAAACGCACCAGCTACCCCGGAAAGGCATCGCCATGTTTCCGTCTCACAAGTTCGTTGCACATGTTCCGGTCACTCTCCACCCCAACAACGCCCTGCACATCTCTTCGTCTAGGCCCAGCTTATTTGCCAAGGGTTGTATCCGGCGGCCTCCGCACATGGTCGCGCGACATACCAAAGTCATCAGCTCTGCCGCCTGGTCACTTGGAATATAATCGCTGTTAGGTATTGATGTAGCCAAGTGATACGGTGACAAGTCTGCTCTTGTTGCACTTTTCCATCTTCCAGGACCGTTCGAGCATTCAACCCAATGCCCCCCCTCTCCCATCGTTGCTATCCTTACCTTAAATTTTTTTTTTCCAAAACCGTCGACCGAGCGCCCAAAGCATTGCAGACATCTTTCTCGAGACTCTGGCGTCTGTCAGGTACCCTATATTATTCAAACACTACTCGTCGACCAAAGGCCACGAGTACACCTTTGGTAGCAACTCAACTCTTGCTTAGGCGAGACATTAGAAGTCGGTGAAAAGATGGCCGTATCTGAAGCACGGCGTTAGCAACATCTCATTTCACCCGCGCAAGAGAAACCTACTCGTCATGCCCGGCTGAACCGTATCGCTCGGGATCCTCGGGGTATCTGTCAAATTGGCTGGCATCACCGGCGCCGGCCTTGACCGGGGGAGTATACGGCGCATCAATGTCCTTGCGGGCCAGCCTGTCCCACGTAACCTCGGTGAACCACGGGTGGTTTTTGACATCGTTTGGACCAGCATACAGGTTACCCAACCGCTTGGTGAGATCCGCTGTAATCAGCTTCTCCAATAGGTCCTGTGCATCCGGGTTGATATAGGCAGGATATTTCACCTTGCCCTTGAGGATGTTTTCATAAATCTTCATTGGCGACCCGCTGTCCCAAAACGGCGTGTACCCGCACAGCATCTCGTATATCAAAATCCCGAGAGACCACCTGGGACAGGGGTTAGCAATTGTGAAGGGACTGCAGCCTCGAGTGACAGGCCACCTTACCAATCTACGGATTTGTTGTAGCCCTTATTCGAGACTACCTCGGGAGCCAAATAGTCTGGAGTGCCGCAAAGCGTCCACGTCTTGTCCGGCACTCGCTTGGCGAAACCAAAATCTGTTATTTTAAGGTGTCCATGCCGGTCGAGCAGCAGGTTCTCTGGCTTGAGATCTCTGTAGATGATGTTCCTCGAGTGCATATACTCAAGTGCCAACGTGACTTCCGCGGCGTAAAATTTCGCGACAGGGTTGGGGAAGCGCTGCGAAGGGGCCAAGTTAGCTCGGGCCAGTAGGAAAGAAATCGCTTGTGATTGAACATACCCCGGATTTCCTCAGCAGCGAAAACAGCTCACCACCTTCAACAAAGTCCATCACCATGTACAGGTTTTTAGAATCCTGGAACGTTCCCCATAACGTGATCAGGAACGGGTGTTTGACCTCGCCCAACATTTTCCTCTCGTCGTTGGTGTGTTCGACCTGCTTCATCTTGACGACCTGCGCCTTCTTTAGCACCTTGACGGCATAGAAGCGCTGGTTGTGCTTGGACTGCACCAAGTGCACTCGTCCGAAACTGCCAGTTCCCAATGTTCGCAAGATGTCAAAGTCGGTCAACGTATATTTCCCCTTGGTCTGACGGACCTGCTGGTCCGAGACCTGTTGTGGCATGCCGTGTTGCTGTTGCTGCTGTTGCTGTTGCTGCTGATGTTGTGGCGGCTGCGGCGGGTGTAGCATCGACTGAGCTTGCTGCTGTTGAAGTCGCGCGGGATCGGTTCCGGGGCTCGGGTTCGGCTGGGAGGATTGGGTCGGCTGAGCTAGGTAGCCGTTATTGCTACTGTGGCCGTTGCTCGAACCGTCATGCTGAGTCGGATTGATTAGGTTGTTGATGCTTGGGAGGTTCTGTTGCGATCCACCTTGTTGATTGTAGTGCGGTTGCTGAGGGCCCGACTGGTTGGGTGGGTGGACAGTGACAGGATACATCTGTTGCTGCTTCGCCCCGTCGGACGAGGTCAAATCCAAATCGTCCTGCTGCTTCAGTGCGGGCAGGGAAGGCGGCTGAGAGCTGGAGGACAGGGACGACAAGGTAGTCGAGATGGAACTGTCGAAAGGCTTGGAGGAGGTAGGCGTTACCGGGCTGGTAGGTAGACTGGAGCCTTGAGAGTCTTGATTGCCCTCCCTCGTCCGTTTTTTCTTGAGGAACCCGAGGGTAGGCATATGAAAGTCGGGGAAGGAGAGAAGGGCTGCGTGCCCCGTAAGGAAATGGCGTAGGAGCGCAGGTCAAGGGCCCACGACGTTTGCAGTTGTATGTTGGGGGAGGAACGGTCGCAAAGTACTTCGTCGCTTCCAGGGACAGCCCGGTTGCGCTGGTTGTCCTCTTTGGGGGTGAGTTGAGCAACGAATTGGCCGAAAGAGGAGCGCGGGGAAGCGCTTTCAAGTGGAAAAAGCCGCGCCTATTGTCGTTAGGAACAATGGAGCCAGATTTGGCGCATACTTTTGACTAAGGAAAAGTAAGGTAGGCGAGATGGGAGGGCAGAAGCTCTAATAGCACTCTGTTCGGGGAGAAGACGTACAAATCCGAGAGGTAGAGGTACTACGAGCAGGGAGCAAGGGAGCAAGCAGAGCAAACCCGGTCCGGCTGGCAGCGGAATCGCAACGGTGCTTTGTCGACTTAGAAGCGGGAAAATCGGGAGCTCTCTATTTTCTTGGGATGCTGCACCCAGAAAAAAAAAAGTGTGTAAGTTTACGCCGCAGAGGAGAAGTTTAACCAATAAGCAGCAGAGTGCAGGGTCAAAGGACGGGACAACGCGGCACAGATCCAAGGGTAGAGGTTGTGTGAGAGAAGTGAGCAACAACAAAGGAGGGATGCAAGAGGGCAGATTTGAGGAATTGGAGACAACTGGAATGGAGAGGGAAGAGAGGGGAGACGAACAGATGATTCAAGCTGGCACGTCTTCCTCCAGGGATCTTGTTGGAAAAGGTGGACAAGACTCAAGAGACAAGGCAAGGCCTGGCAATGGGGCATCTATCTGGCCAGATTTGATCTGGGATCTAGTCCGGTCAGGTCAGGTTACGTGTGGTTGCTTTTTTCCTGGTCGGAAGCGACAGATGGGCTTGAGTGATAGCTGCGGCGGCTGCGTCCGCGTCTGAAGGTTTCGGGGATGAGGGCCCGCTGGATGAGTGAGCAAGTGCAAAATCTCTTGCTTCGTCTGGGCGGATGGGTGGGCGGAGTACGTGGTGACTGAGTCGTTGTGCGCACTGATAAATGGAGACAAGATGGGACCAAAAGATTAAATGACGGCTTGTGGTGATCAATTGGGTTGTATTGGGGGCACCGAGCAGCTCGACGAGAGATGGTGTTTGTTTGGCGTCTCGAGGAGAAGCTAGGATTGAAATGACAGGGAGAGGGATGGGTAGAGGTAGAGATAGAGAGAGGAAGAGAGGAAGAGCAGGACAAGGAAGGCAAGAGAAGAAGGAGAAAAAGGAAGAGCCAGAGAGGAGACGGGCGGCCAGTAGAAGCTGAGGTCGATGATGATGTAGTAGCACGAGGGTTAATTGGGAAGAGCAGAGAGCTACTGCAAGCTGTTGCGTACGGATGCCGGAGGGGGTACATGGTAGAGCTTCTGGCCGCAGCCGTGAAGGTGGGAGGAGGTGGGCGTGGAAGTGGGCGGAGGCGGAAGTGGTTCAGTCTGGTTGACGCCCGCGTTTAGACGGGAACGGCGTGGGTAGGGAAGGGCAGCGTAATTGGCAGGCCGAGTACGGCACCGTCCAATCGGTATCGAGATGGGAAGGCCGAGGGCAGCACTCCTCCATACTCGAGAGAGGGTCGAGAACAAGTACTCTGTACGGCCGATCCTGTTCCCAGTTCAGCGCATTTCGCAAAAAGCCTGGCTGGGTTACAGTAGGAAGGGAAGAGAGACACAGAGAGAGACAAGCGGGAGGCAGCGTGCATGCGCCAGAGCTGATCTTGGACTCGGTTGAACGCGGGGCATGTCAGGTCTGTCAGTGGTCTGTACGGATAGACGGGACGGGTGACGGCTACCTTGGTCACTTGGTTTCTTCTGTATCTGTGTCCGTAGATATCCATGGTTTGTTTGTCGCGTCAGCTGGGCCGGGAGAGGAAAGGTGAAAGGAACCCGACAGCATTGCATGCTTTCATTATCTAGCACTCCATCACCGTTCGACCTGTTGCTCTGATGCCACAAATAAGGTCGAGGGTGCAGTGCAAATGCTGAGTCTCGCCTGTCCCCCACCAAGATCGAGCAAGCAAGGCCTACGCAGTACCGCAGCAATCGAGCAAGCCCAGCAGAGGTGGGGTAGGGGCAGGCCAAACCTGAATCTCGACGGGGTCGCAGTGGCAGCAAACAGAGGCACGCTGGAGGGGCCGCTAGCGCGCTCGACATTGGATTGGATTCCAACTTGGATCGAGAGAGCAATTCTACCCAGCAACTAGGTACCTCGAAGTGCGCGGAAATATAAGTGCCAGCGCCCGTACCTCGCAAGGTGATGTACACAAGGTACATTCCTGCAGGTGCCTTGGCTGAGTAAGGTAAGGTAGCTAAAGTGCCTAGGTACCTAGTGAGGCGGGCTGGCGGGGTGATATTCTGCCCTGGAGCTACTCCGTACCTACCTACCTTGGTGTCATTACCCCCATCCGGCCAGAGCAGCTGCCAGGCATGTAGCTATCTTAGAGCGGACGACCCCTCACTCGAGGCACTCAGGGCGAATTCAAGGACCAGTGACGTGCCTTTGCCGACGACCTCACCTGAAATAGTGGGATGGCCAGACGCAAGGCACCTTCCAAGCCGACCCAGGCACGCCCGCACTCATTCACTCCCAACTACGAATACTTCCGCACTCGATATTGATCAATCATCCTTCCAAAGGAACGCTCCGCCCCGTAACCGCCCATAATCACATTCGCATTTCTCTCCTGCTGCAATACCGCGATCCGCGCCAACTGGAAACCCCCGACTGGCCGCCGCTACCGTCGTTCCAATCTTTCACACACCCCTCCTTTCAGCAGGCACCTGTCTTGTCCAAACCTTAACCAACTTGAACCCCCAGTCCAGAATCAACACACAGACTCCCTCTCCTGTCCCCGTCAGGCTAGAGCTTATCCGCTTACACACAACCCAGCCACCGAACCAGAAAGTTTATAACTCCTTATCTCACCATGCGCAACATTGGAATTGGAACTGGGCGGATCTGGATCTGGATCTGGAACCTCTCGTCATCCCGTCGACTACTTGCTTTCCTTGTCTCGTCTCCCCCGGTCAACCACCACCATCTCGAATGAAACATAATTGAGGAACGCTCGCGCCTCGTTGTGGCGGGAGGGAAGAACTTATTTGTATAGGCTAGAGAGCGGCATGTCTCCCTTTCTCTCTCTCCCTCTCCCTCGTGCGGTTACCAATTTCCATCCAAGCCCAGTCTATCAAATGGTTTTCTTTCCCGGATCCTGGGTCAACGCCCATTCCAGTGGCAACCTCTCCATGTACCCTCAGGCCGGGAACGGCAGTGAAGCTGGAGGCAGATCAAACACGCGCCACCCCACTCTACCATCCTTACTCACATCAAGCATCAAATTCCGACCGGCTTTGTTCCCTAGACACACACACAATGACAGCCCATCTCTTTCTTGGCTGCTTCTCATACTCGGTCACAGATATCCCTTGGCGTACATTCAAATAACCGTTCAAGTCGATGGATACATCAGTCATATCCGAAGCACGTCGCAAACCATCACCTTCATATGGGAATCCCCAGAAACTGAAAATCAATGATCCACTCCCCAACACTCTGTACAATGTAGTGCACTCTGACATGTTGGCAAGCCCATGGCACGCCCCTACCTTACACTCTGTATTAGAGCTCGGTGGAATTTCGACCTTGTCGTCCGGACTCTGTATAGTATTTAAGTTCTCACCTCCGGCGGCCGAGCCAAGTAAACACCTCCCGCAGCTTTTGCCGAATTATATCTAGCTCGGTTTTTGACACAGAGCATCACAACGTTAAACCCGTGGGTTTGTGTCTCTGGTCGGCTCGATCTGCCAGCCCGTCAGTCATCTTCTTCGGGAGATCCGGACATACATTCATTCCTTGGGCCTCACACGTGAACTGTCAGCCTGCAACCGTCATATAATACACTTGAATTCATCTCAGACTGAGTTATTCGTAACGAGAAACATGATTGAGATAGAGAGAGAGAGTTGACCCCACAGAGACTGGGTTTTTTTTATCCCCCGCCTTCGACCGGCCCATGCAAAAGCCATGACTTTGTTGCGTTGTTGGTATGTACGATGTCAGTCATCTTCCCCGATCCAATCAACAGCTGCTGCCCCTTTCCATCATTCTCTCCCCAAATAATAAAAGTATCCCGTTCCCTGGGGGGCCCCCTTTTTTTCCCCTTCTTCATCACGCTTAGAAACGATGTCTCTTGTCGTTCTTTGCTCTCCAGGCAGTGTAACCGACGTAGCCGCCACCGAGGACGCCAAAGAAGAGGAAGATCTTGAAGAAAGTCCACGTCCAACTGCCGCCGCTGCTATCCTTCTTGATCGAAGATCCCTTCTTGCCCTTGCCGCTTCCGGGGGTCGTCTTAGTGGTACCCTTGCCGGTCTGCGTCGTGTAGAGGTTCTTGGCCTGCACCGAGATAATGTCGTGGTTGTCGCTGAGCTCGCCCGTCTCGGCGCTGAAGCCGAGGTAGGCGATCTGGGGGATGGCGGGGGGCTCGCTGGTCTCGAAGCAGAGGGTCCAGTCGCCCTCGCTCTTGTACTGCAGCTCCAGCTTGAGCAGCTTGTCCTGGAAGTACGTGACCTTGGCCTTGGTGGGCACGCTGGCGTGGCGGATGCCGCGCGCGGAGCAGCCGGCGAGCTCCGTGTTCTTGCCGTCATTGTCCTTGTCGTACGAGGTCTTGCCGTCGCCAAACATGGCCATCACGTAGGGGAAAACGGTGCCAGGCCGGTTATTCTTGTATGTATCGAAGAAGATGCCGAGGCCGTCAAAGTTGTTAGGGCTGCCAAAGACGGGGCCCGCCTGGCCGCGGTTCTTGGTGATCCACATGGCGAAGCCATCGCCGTAGAGCTGGTTCTTGCCGTGGATCTTGAACTCGAACTCAATCTCCCAATTGGTCGCCGTCAGAGGCACTCTCGAGAAGAGCCAGCCGGTCTGCGACGGGCGGTCGGACGTCAATCGGATATAGCTGTAAATTTGACCCTATGCCTTAGCTTCGTTTCCCTCTCCTGCCACATCTCCTGCCGTTCGAAGAAAGTGAGGGTAAAACGTACGAGTCCGTCCGGATAATGGTGTCTCCGCCAAAATCGTACCACCGACTTGCCATGTCGGAATCGAGATAGGGCTGTCGTAAATAGTTTCAGTAAAGTGCACTCAGGGGGTGTGGCGCATGAAAGCGGAAGTCGCGAACCTGGTTCAGGGAGTGCGTTCGGAGCTAAACACGATACAAAAGAAGTCAGCTTCATCATTGTATTCCATTGAGCGCACAATCATTCATGCTGGGGCAAAGATTGACGAACAGCAATGCTCTTGACTTCTCCATCGTCCGCCTTTGCGGTGCCCAGGGCGATTGCGGCCAGCCACAGGGCCGAAAGGGACTGCTTGAACCACATGGCTGGGGTTGCTAGCTTGAAGCGAAAAGAGGAAACCCAAAGAGAAAGATAGAAAGGAGGGCGGAAGGGGGGGAATTCGACAGTGGTGCGCGTCGCAAAGGAAGGGGAGGGAAAGGGCCGCCGGGTAGAGCAAAATGGTAGAGCCGCAATGTCCAGCGACGGTGAGGCGTCGTCGTTCGGCAAAAGGTCGAAGAGGTGGTGGTGGTGGTGGTGGTGGTGGGTTTTACTGGTTGCTCGTGTGTCTCCTTCCCAGGCCGTTAGCTGTCCTCTTTTTTTGGCTGATGGATCCTGATTCCTGGGGTTAGCACGTTTTGGAGCTCCTACCCCTGCTGTACGCTAGGACTGCTCAGGCCAGGCACCTTGCCACGCTTGCTTTGCCAACTACAGCGCACCTCTTACCAGGCTACCACTGCCTTACAGTAATAGGTTGGCATATGTTCCTTCTCCCGCTGCGTCACTCCCCAAGAAGGCTGGAACATCGAACCTTGCCTCAGGCTTTGACACTTGCGCCACAGCAGCCTTGCAACACTAGCCACACCAACTTTTTCAGAATCGGCTTCGATGCGAAGCTAGCCGGGCATATGGTATCAATTTCGGTGCAACAATCGCATGTCAAGATCGGCATTATTCTGGTCAATTAATCGCAGTTTCTCCTCTTCCCAAGATTCAACCCGAAGAATTTCATAGTACCCGACCTCAAAGAAACAGACGAAAAAATGGACTCCACGACTGTCAAAAATGCTGTCATGAAGCAGGTCCTCCAGGAGGCAAACCTGGCCAACGCCCGCGTCCTCATCGAGGTAGGTCATCAAGGCACGAGAAAGCAGTGCGAAGACTATAAGACTAATCGGGCAACGATTGCAAAATAGAAACTCCAGGAGAACTGTTTCGAGAAGTGCGTGCCCAAACCCGGCAGCTCGCTGTCCAGCGGCGAGACGACCTGCATGACCTCGTGCATGGAGAAATACATGTCGGCGTGGAACCAGGTCAACCAAGCATACATTAGCCGGATAAAGCAAGAGTCCAGCAACCCCAGCAACCTTCTGTAGTTGGCTCAGGCAAATGAGGTCATCATATGAGAGGGTTGGGAGGTGTTCATTCATGTACTACCACTGTACAACATTATCGTAAAGGGGGAATTGGAAAATCCAGTGGAGGCATCCATTGCGGGAGGAAATTTCAGAAATAGGGAAGCTTCCTGATGTGGGAGTGATGCATCATACAGCGTCAGGAGATCAGGCATCAACGAAATGTACACAAGATTTGCATCAAAGAGCAGAACGAATGAAGGGGTTGCGCTTAGACACGCTGCTGTGCCACCAGGACAGCAAAGATGCGCATAGAGAGATAGAGCCGTTTTGTGGTTCTCAGGGTATCTTGTATAGAAATCTTTACTCCGCCAGGCCCTTCTTCTTCGCCTCTTCCGCCTCACGCTTTCTGGCAAGGTACCGCTCCTTGGCGCTCGAAATCTCCCCGTCCGTCTTCCTCGTCTTGGTAACCCGCTCGACCTTTTCGCGCTCCGCCTCCTCCTCCTCGCGGGACCGCTTGAGGGCCGCCTCCAGCTGCGCCTCGAGCATTCGGGTCTGCCGCTCCCGCATCGCGCCTTTGCCGCCAGAGCCAACGAAGCCGGTGCCGGCGCCGCGCTCCGGCCTGCTCTCCCTCGGCCGCGCAGCCTCCTCCCTGACCTGCGCTTCCTTCTTGGCCCCGACATTGAGACCACCCCTGAGCAGCTGCCGCTTGTCCACCACCTGCCCATCCTCGTTGACAACGACGGCACCGCCTTTCTGGTTAATCTCCTGCGCAAGATCGGCCTCGGACTTCTCTTTTGATGCATCGTCCTCTTCCGGCACCGTCGGACCGGCCTTGGCTTTGTCCTCCGCCGCTTTTACAACCTCAGCATGCCTCTCCTCGCCCTTGTTGAGAAGATTCTTGTAGAAAGCGCTCATACCACCCGTCTTGTTCTTCTTGGCCTCCTCTTCCTCCCGTCTCCTCTCCTCCTCCTCGATCCGCCGGTTCTCCTCTTGCTGCTTCTTGTATGCCTCTGTGACAAATTTCTCCTTGTCGGCATACTCTTCACCTTCGGCCTCTCGCTCCCTCGCAATCTTCTTCTCTTCCGCAATCAGCGCATCACGTTTCCGTACATCAGCCGCCGCGAGCAGACTCTTCATGTACTTGGGCTTCCTCTCCACATCCTCCTTGGTCGTCTTCTTCTGCGGTTTGAAAGATTCGTAAACGCCGTCGTAGTCGTATACACTCGGATCGAGCTCTTCCGCCGCCTCGGCGTGTTTTTTGGATGCGAGCGAGCCGGAGAGGTCACCAAACATGGTGCTTTCTTGCTTCTTGGCCCTACTCGTGGGTGGTTGTGTCGGTAGCGCATTCTTGCTCTTGCTCCTCTTCCCTCCATTTTCTTGTCTACTGGACGAGGAGTCGACTTCGAAACCGCCTAGCTCGTCCAGCGACTCAATCTTGGTTCCCGAATTGGGCGCATCGTTGTCGGAGTCGTCGTCGCCGCCAAACGCTTTAGCACCGAATGGTTTCCGTTTTCCGGGGGCCGGTTTTGATGCGCCTGGCTTTTTGCCTAGGCTGAGACCGAATGACAAGCCTGGTTTACTCATCGTGTAGTGTGGTGATGGTAAGTTGAAAGCTTGAAGTAAAGGCAAATAAAAGATGCGACGCGCAGGTGATAGCATACCTTACTGTGCACGGTCCACCTGCAGCTCCACTATTGCATTCGGCTGCTGTACCCCGGCCTCCAGCCGAAGCCGGAGTGGGGCCGACATCCTCTCTTAAATCCCCTTCAACGACACAGCAAAGAAGGCTCGCACCTGGTCAGCTTCGGTATCGAAGTGTCCTTCTAACCGATTAGATACCTGGCCCCTAGTACTGGATACAGAATAACTCTTGCAGCCCATGCGTCATATTTTGATTATTAGATTGTATTCGTATGGGGGAATCTATGGAACGTAAGTCTATCTCATGGACAGGCGCTGGATCTCGCACCGCTATTAAACCATTCTATGTACCCCTGACATTTGGGTGTGCTGTTCACGACTGCTTCCCAAAGCCCCAGGCGCGGGAACACCAAGCCAAAACTCCTAACGATGCGCTCTCCCCAGCTCTTGGTAGAGACTCCAAATTCGTGCAAGGCGGTGGTACTCTCAAGCAATAAAAGAAAAAAGCATCTGTCGTCCATAGCAGAAATCATAGCCGCACCCGTCCTTCGCCGCCGAACCAGCGTCGGATATCAGACTCGACGCCACCACCGTTACCGTTGCCGTTACCGCTACCGCTACCGTTTCGTGGCTCGTCATCGTCGCCTCCCATCCATTTCGGTTTCTTGATGTCTTGGAACCATTGCGGAGGCTCAAAAGTATCCATCGTGTTCTTCATCCGATGACCCAGAGACTCGAAAAAGTTCTGGTCCTCCTCGGGTTCATCACCGTGCGGCCTGTTCCGAGACGATTGGTCCGGTTGACGGTTGATGGTGGCCCGTACTGGAGACCTTGCGGGGGATGCTACGAGGCCGTTGCGTCCATCAGGTATCGTGAGGACAGGGGCGGACCTTCCACCCGACTCCAGCCTAGCGAAAGCCTCTTCGCGACGACGCAAGGCAGAATTGCCGCCCAGTTCACGTTCAATAAGATCGCGACCTTCCCTCCATGATCCCGTGCCAAAGACCCGTCCATCGACATTTGCATCGTCGTCGTCAATGAACTCGCCGTCGAAGCCAAACAAGCGCTTGACTTTCCCGTACAGACCGAACAGAGTGGCTGCCACTGGGAGCAGGACAAAAACGGGGAAAAGGTAGTCTGCCCAGCGGCCCAGGGGAGTAAAGTTGACGAGCGTTCCGAGGAAGCCATAGAATCGCGTCTTCTTGTAAATTTCGCCAGACAGGAAGGTCATGAAGTTGTATGATAGAGGAACGCTGAGCTTCGCAACTTGCCCAGAATACCAAAATGCCGATTCATATGCTGTATTACGCTTCACGAGCGCACGCCCGCGCCAAGTCTTCACCTCTGTCATGGTAATGAAGGTTGCCGTACACATGTAGAGAAGCCAAAGAACCGAGATGAGTTGACCGGCGAAACCAACCTGGCCCTTCTCTCCGACCCAGTGATGGACAACTGTCAGACGAATGACGGACAGCTGAGGGAATGCGGCCTTGACCAGTTCGGACCATATGATCAGAACCGAAGCTGCTGCCAGAAACACACCCAGGGCGATGCAGGCATAGGGCTCGAAATAGTAGTAGTAAATATATCTGGTGTATGGCGTGTGAATGGTGAATCGATCCCAGAATCCGGCGTGGGGTGAAGGGGCGGTGAATTCCAGCTTCTTGGAGGCGGCCGAGTCCAGAATGGCCTGTGTGTCAGAGGCGTCCTTCAGCAAATCGTTCCACTCGTTCACATAACGGGACCGTGTGTGCCGGGCTCGCATCAACTTTCTTGATAAGTCTGCCATGAACTTTTCCGTGATAACGGTCGGCAGGGCACGAGTGTCGCCCACTACTGTCCGCGGTTGCGACTCAGGCATGTTGGCGCTTTCGACAAGCTCGTCGATCCACTCGGTGAACTTGACTGCGCTGCCAGTCTTCCGACGCCCTAGCTCGGATACTTGGAGTTCCACATCCTCCAGGTTCAGTAGTGAATCCTCCATCTTCTCGTGTAATTTCGGCGCACGGATCTGTAGCCTGCGGAGTCTGCCACTAATAGACGCATACCGAAGCAGTCGACGGGGAACAGAGACCAACCCGTGTCCCATGAGGTAGATCGCAAACACTAAACCGTAGAAATATGCGAGTGCCATGAAGGAGGCTTTGAATTCCAAGGCACCAATTCCATATCTGGCAAAAAGGTACGTGAGGCCGATGGCGGCACTTCCAAACACCATCGCGTGGTATTGTGCATTTTGACGGAGCGAGTACTTTAGACAATCTTGTGGTTCGCGGTAGCCGGAGTCGGAGTATTCGCCGAGGATGGGAAGAATGAACCTGTAGCGAGCGATCAGCAAAATGGCAAAGCAGGACAAGTCCAGCGAGCCACATACCATGTCAAGGCGAAGGTAAGCCAGTACGTTATCCTCCATGATACCAGAAGCAATCGCTGGGGGAGCCAGACACCGCGCGTAGCCTCATCGTCGGTCCTAGCGCTTGAAGCCAAATCAATCGGTACAAGCAATACCATACATGCAGGCAGCCATAATGCGAAGAAAATCGGAACCAAGTAGAAAGCGGGAGTGGTTCGTAGAGGTAGGAAATGGCGTAGAATCAGGAGGACGATGACGGAAATGACGAGGAGCGCAAGAAGCGCAAAGATTTCCGATGGCACCGGCGACGAGGCGCTCACTACGTGAATCATTTTGTCGTTGTCGGGACAGCGTCCATGAGGCGCTGTGCTTCCAGTTTTGTCAGTCTTTGGTATTTGTCGTCGCAGATGTTGTAGAATGCTTTGTCGTTTGAGAGAAATATTTCGCTGGGTGGGAGGCTTCGTAATGCGCACCGGAAGACGAGGGAAGATCCGTAGGCTTCCGGAAGTCTGTATCGGAAGCGCCTGCACACCTGTAGGAATGTTTTGACACAGGAGATCAGACTGCGAGGACTAGGTCATGTGCACGGGCCCGGACTGTTGGAAGGTCCGCAAACGAGCGGGTCTACGTCATCTGCACGGCACTCGCAAGTGTCCACCTTGTATTGTCCCCTCCAGTTTAGTTGATGAAGACCTTCCGGACCGGCGGACCCAAACGCTCGTTCCCGGCAGATCCGCTTTTTCTCCTGAAGCGGCCCGTCGTTCAGGGCGTGGATTTGCACCTCAGCTCAGGCTGCATCCACTGTTCTTCAAATCACAGAAGCGAGCGGTTGAGGTCCCGTTTTCGTCAATCTGCTGCGATGCCATTCTACACCATGGAGACCCCTGACCGGTGTCGATCGGAATCATATGTGCTCAACAAATGACACAGTCCCCGAAAACCTGCCGAGTTGGCCAGCATCGTAGTTGATCCCACAGAGGCGACCAATATCGACGGGGCCATTCCATGTTTGCCATTGGGATGAGCCATCTTGTAGACAACTTGCCTCGTTGTACATACCAAAGACCATGTGCCAGGAGGATGACTGAGACTAGCAATGCTGAATTTGACTTACCTTATTTTCCTAATAAGACATTGTTCATGATATACAGATCCAGAGAATGGGGTTTGGAATCGAATAATTTGTACTCGATCGTCTTCATTATCGGGTCACAGAAGGTCGGCCTCTAAAAAAATGTTCATGTTCTGTCCCCGCCCTCTTCCGGGTATCACAGCATGTGCCAAGGTACACATATCATCAGATGCTCAAGTTAGGCGCCTATAACCCACTGGAGTTTCTTCAGTTCCTCATTCAAGACCAGCAGCAACAGTAACCGTGATGGAGTTGTTTCTTTCCAAATTCAGGTCAACAGAAAATTTCCATAACGATGATGTAGAATAGCCAAGGGTCAATCTACTGAGTCCATCAGTGCCTCACATTAGACTTTTGGACAACATAATACACCGTCACTACATCCTGATGTAATAACCTAAAGCCCCCCAATGTTTCAACAACTTAGCAGATTACCATTCACAAGCGACATTTCGAAACTCATCTCTGGATTCAATCATCAGAGTACTAACCTCAATCAAAGCGACGGGACATGAAACTGGAGAGCTGAATCAAACGACAGAGCTAACTTCTTCATTACCGCTTGCTGTTAAGTCTCCACGAGAATTATAAGAAAATGGGGAATAAAAACACCCCGCTGCCACTTACTTATCAACCTAGCATTTCTCAACACGGAACAAACCACAAGGAGGGAATGACAAGACTACAGCATCATCCCGTGAGAGAGGGCCGTCCAACATGAAGGGGCTCGCTCAACACCTGTTAAGCGGTTGGGCGTCTCCAAGGGAGTTGTCAAAGAGTCATTAATTCTCACTCGTGTCGCCAGCCCGCCTGGTCGAGGCCCATCTCATATCAAACAAGTCTACTTTCAGAAAACTGAGGACACCTTGAAACTGGGCAAATCACTTCACTTCTTCGAAACGACGTCACCCTGAAAACCAAAGTCAAAAGTAAAAGAAAAAAAACCAACTAAACTCGCGTTGAATTCCAGTCGTTCCCCCGTCCTCCCTGATCCAGGATAATCACAATAACAATACATGTGTAAGAGGAAGTTTTCATGCGCTCGTCCTCTCTTACTTCGACCCAGTGTCCTTCACACACACACCTTCCCGCTCGCTGCGTCGCTCCCTCTACATACCGTTCCTTTTTGACTCCTTTTAGTGAGTCCCCTTACTCCCAACTGAGGCGTTAGCAGGTCGCCTGTGCAAGTCAATTCGTCTTCCACCCCGATCCTTTAACCCAACCGTCGTCCAGATGAAAAGTCCCGACCCGTCGCCGCCACCGTCCTAGCTTAGCGCCGCTACGTAATGTGATGCTGGAACCAAGGGGACCTTCCCGAATCCCAACTCCAGAACGCAATCACCGCACAAATAGACAGGAGAGAAACAAGTAAAAAAAAAGTCTTCTTTTTGGTCGTGAAAAACGAACTCGGTTTTAACTCCCAGCGACTATGAGCTTTTCCACTGAAAGAATAAGGAAAGGGGGGGAGGGGAAGTCTTTCTGAGTTCCCGCCGATGTATAGACCAAGTATGCAAAACCAAAGCCGACATCACATTGGGCCACTTCGGGAAGCTAGTCACCATGGCCAGCCCCCCAAAGAATCCGATGTGCGCAGATGGCTTCTTACCCGCGCAACCCCAGCCAGGAGTCCAAGGGGGGCTGGAAGCTTATCTGGTGCCTCCAAAGGCAAAATTGCCGAAGACCCCGCCTCCCCCGCCTGGGGTCATCGGCCCCATGGAGATGCCATTGGTGTTATGTGCTTGCGCGGCAGGTGTGCTCACGAGACCAACACTCCCGGTATTGGGCGTACTCGGCGTTCCGTTGTGCTGGCCATTGGGACCCTGATTTTGCGCCGTGTCTTGGTTGCCGCCGTTGTTACCGAACGGCAACCTCTCTAGGACCAGGAGCTCCGGGATACCCAACCCCCAGACCTTGCCTACATGCTCTTCGGGGATCTCCCCATTAAAGATCTTATCCCGCATCTGGAAGAAGACCTTGCCCGTGAGCAGGGAGTCAGAACCGGCCTGGTGCGCATTGCCCACGCGCTTAATCTTCAGGGAATCGGCAATGTTCTCGAGGCCGGATTTGTGTTCAAACTTCTGGAGGATATCCGCGCTACTGGGATCGCTGGGAGTAAGGAGCCCAGAGTTGTGAAGTCGGATGGCGTGCTTCATGAGGTGCTTGACATCATAAGCCGATGGGAAGTACAGCTTCATGACTTGATCGAAATCCGCTTCGTCGTTAGGAAGGTCGTTGCAGGTTAACAACTTTGTGAGGTAGCCAAAGTCGTAGCCGCCGTGGAAGGAGATCCATTTCACATTGTCAAAGCATACGAGACCGGATGGAATGAGGAGGGAGGCGAATTCATGAGGGTCGATGCCATCTCTCTCGAGAGATGCAAAGTCAATTCCGGCGCTCGATAATGACTCGATCGACTTCTCGTTGTACATGTCGTCTTTGACAGAGAACTTGAAGTTGAACTGCCATGCGTAGGGGAACGGCCCTTGCGACGCCGCTCTTCGTTGAGCAGCACTCAGTTCGATGTCTTGCTGCGAGTTTGGCCTTGCTGGCGGGGTCTCGCCGTCTTCGTTGAAAAGAGTCAGTCCGATTTGGATGACCTTGAGCATGTCGACGTTGGTGCGCAGACACTGGTAGTGGTAGTCGCTCTTTCCCCTAAAAGAGCCCATTGGCCGTGATACGACGCCTGGAAATTCGGTGTCCTGTGATGTAGCCTGTCAGCCCCGTTTCATGAACCCAGATGCTTTGCATATCTGCTAACCATGGCGATGTACGGATACTTGTCGACGAGCTCCCTTAGTACCGCCATCTCCTCGTGGAGGTTGTGCTTCCACACCTCCCTTATCCTCCCCTTGTTCTGCGTCGTCCGTGTCGGCGCCGCGCCGTGATCGAGCCCAAAGTTGTGTTGCGGCTGCCCGTGCTGCTGCTGTTGTTGAAGGCTTGCCGCGTGCGCAAAGCCCATCCGCGCAGCATGGCTTCCGAGCCCGGTGTCGGCGCCGAGGGGGAAGCCGCCATTCAGGCCGGGGGTACCGCCGAGGACGTTTCCGTTCGTGGAGAAGGGGCTGATCTGAGCGGTGTTCGCGTTGAGGTAGGAAGGGTTTCCGCCTAGAGGGGGTCCATGATTCGGGCCGTGGCCTTGGGCATGCGAGGGGAACTGCTGGTGGTATGGCGATATGGTGTTTGGTCCGCCAGGGAACCTAGGTAGCTGTGGCGGCATAACAGACTATGCCTCTCAAGAGGTTCGTACGAGGGGTACGAGATTCACCGCGTCGCCGAGCAAGGTCGTGTCGGTTTCTGAGGGGTTGTGGATGATCCACGGCCCTGCATTTGGGTCTGGAGATGCGAGTGAGGGACCGGGGAATGGGCAGTAGAGAAGCACCTTTGTTCTTCCCCACCGGTCGTCGGATTGCTTTGTCTCGGCTATGTCAGTGAGAGGAAGAGAGAGCTTCGAGGTGGGAGAATTCGTCGCGTCGAGTGATGTCGTTCTTCGTCCTGGAGTCGTGCGGAGCTAAAGCGCTGGCGAGAACGTCTAGTTATCTCTGATTTGGACAGAATGTGTGGATGAGGCCTGAAGGCTTGCTGTGGTTGACCGTGGAGGACGAGGGGTGGTCTGTGCGACGCCCGAACCAGCCAGGTACGTACCACGGTACTTTCCGCCGACAACATCTCAAAGATCTCCAATCAGCTTCGCCCCAACTCGCCTGACCACCACCGAAGCGTCCATTGTTGTACGGCAAGAAGACACTCACACAGCAATTATGCAGCCAACGAGGTGATTTCTTTCTGAAGAGCTCAATTGATCTAGAGTGGTAGAGAGTAGACGGCTAATGCACCTTCGACACCAGGTTAGCGATGGCGGCCGCCCGCGGCCAGAAGCCCAACATCACCGGCTTCGACATGAGAGCCTTCAAGGAGGCGGCCGGCCAGCCCAGATACGACCCCTGGGAGAGAGCGTGAGTGGCACCTGTTCGCCTGGCCCCGACGACACCGCGAAATCCGCTGACGATGGAGATCACAGAGAGTCCTGGAGATACAAGGGCCCCTTCACGCGATTCAACCGGTTCAAGGGATCCTTCCCCGGCCTCGGCATCGCTACCGTCGCCTTTGCCGGCTACTGCGCGTTCGAGTACTTCTTCTTGACCGAAGACCACCACCACGGCGATGCGCACGGAAAGGATCACCACTAGAGTGTCGAACGGATTGGTTGGGGAGACGGAGAGGGGAAATGCTCCGCTGTACATGTACCTCTCGAACCGGTAGACCGGCTCGCTGGAAGGATTTAGATGAGGACGAAATTGTTTTTCCGCTACCAAGATATTGCGTGGCTCTACGACGTGTTGTGAAGTGCCATGTGGTCCTTCTGCTGGAGGCTGCGTGTGAACATGCTTGCAGGGCGTCTTCTCCTTCGATGGTCGCTTAACCACTGCTGGGCCCAGTTCGTTAGGTGATGAGCAAAACAAGGCCATCGAGTCCCAAAAGCAAGATACGAATGGTAGGTTCTCAGTGGGCTTACTGGTGATGACGGAAGCCACTCGCCCCTTCGAATCTGATGGACGAAATGCAGTGGCCTACAGGAACGGTCGCCTCCATAGGTCCCTGCAACAAGACGAGTGCTGTACTGTATTCTTCTTTTCATCAAGTTACATACGGATTTGACGCCGGTCACCTATTTGAGGAGGCAGCAAGCTCGTCCAAAGGTAAACTAATTCATAAACTCGATCAAGAAGTCTACACCCCTAAAAGTCGATTGGCAACAGCCTTCGAAATCTTGTCTTTCCTCTCAGGGACAACTCGTCGTGGCACAGACGTCCGTTTCAACCCATCATCCCATAATTCTCACCTACCTCACCCGTCCAAGCTTCCTTGGCTTCTTCCTTCAACGTCAGCTTCCTGATCCGATCTGAGATTGCGTGCTTACATTCTCTTACGTTTGAAACAACCTTCTTTCTGCTGAGGATTCGACATCATTCAACAATGTCATCTCTAGTGCTGGAGCAAGAAGACAGTCTAGGGCAGTAGCCAGACAGATTTCTTCATTCTCTACCAAATTAAGTAAAAGTGACGAGGTATATGCTCCTATGTTCGCTCAAGATTTCAACAATGCCAGCTCATTGGTATCGCCTTGTCCGTAAATGTCCAAAAACTCCCAACAGGAGAAAAGAATCCCAGAGAACGCCAGTCATGCCGCGGGAGAGTCCCTCGCGCGGTTGGGAGGGTATACGTGTCATACATGATGACACAGTCAGTCAAGTCTAAGCCCGTTGACCACGTCCAGCGCACTATCAACACAATTCTCCAGCTCCTCAACACGATGCTTTAACCCACGATTCTCGTCCCTCAATAGACTGACGGTGTTCCACGCCGCCCGCTCGTCCTGCCCGCGGCAGTTCGAGCACGATGCCGCGCTTCCCTCCTCTTTCGCGGCGTCGCCTGTTACCCCTCTCATGAGTTTCTGGAAAACGCTCGCCTGCTGTGGCGACGGTTTTGACGTGGGCGGCGGCCGTGACGTCCTCGGGGGGCCGAGTGTATTCGATTTTGGCGGCGGTGTTACTGATGTTTCCGCTATGCTGCCCTCGAATACGCTAGGGGCGGCGGTTGTAGGGCTCCGCGACCTCGAGAAGACGCTGGCATCCTCGACACTCTCCTCGTCTGTGTCGAAGCCCGCGCTCTTTCTCCACTTCCTCCTGGCCTGGTCCTCTTCGGCGCCGAGATCTTCGGATATTGACGACCCCTCGGAAATCGGACGGTTCCGTTCACGCATAGCCCGCTCCTCTTGCCTAGCCTTCTTCTCCGCATTCAGCTCAGTCATGAGCTGTCGCATCGACTGCTCCTGCTCGGCGACCTTGGTCGCCATGTTTTCCAGTTGGACCTTGAGGTGTTGGATCCGTGTCTCCGCCTCATCGTTTTCGTCATTCTGAGCGTCCTTTTCCACACGTAATTCTATCAGGGCGGCGTTCTGTCTTTGGTAGGCTATTTGGAACTTTGTTAATAGGCCGACGGCTGTGGACTCGAGGTTTTTAAAGGCTGCAGGCGAGAAGACGTCCCGGTGAGCCGGAGATGTAGGAGGGAACAGCGCCTCCTGGATGTTCATAGACAGCAACTCTTCATCCTGCTTTGGGCTGACTTGTGTCTGAGTGTTCTTAGAGAAGGGTGGGCTGAAGAAGGCGAACCGTGATGTACCCGGCGAAGTTCCCTTCGTTGTCGTCTCAGTTGAACCGGTTTGCCTTCTCCGTAGCCTGTTCGCGGGCGTCCCTTCCATTGCTTCGTCATTCGGCTTGGCTTCCTCTGTATTGTTGCGAGATCCACCCAACCAGCCGCTCAGTATACCTCCTCGCGTGGCATCTGATGGCTTCCTGCTGTCCCCGGTGAGAGGCATGTTGACCGATAAGGGTCGGCCAGTCCCTCGCTCAAGGGATGGCGAGAAGGTGACTTGATGGACGGATTTGCTGGTAGAAGGGAAGTTTGGAACTGATTGCTGTCTCTGGTGATTTGAGTGTAGTCGAGGAAAGCCTCGATCGTCTCCAGATGAGCTAATGCGACACGGCTCGGGCTGGACAGGCGGGTTGATGTTTAAGGCAGCACCGGGGGTAACGCTCGGGGAAGCAGGATCGTCTTCTAGATCAACGCTCTCAGGCCCATGTGCACGGCGTAAAGTTTGAGTCCTGTCCATTCCAGAGGATTTGGTTGGGCATGGAAAAGACATCGGGGATTCGGGTGTGGAGGCGGCGGCGTGACGGCTTAGCATGATGGGTTAATGTTTCGTGTGGGACTGGCAATATGTATCTCCCAGCTTGAGCCTAGCTGTTCGGCCGGGGGTATCGCGGGCTTGCTCGCAGCCAGACCAGGAACGCAAATGGATCAACTCAGGCCACAAACAACGGATGGGGAGGGGCGGTCTTCGCGAGCTAGGAGCAACCTAGAGTCAAGACGGACTTTTTCGAGGGAAGAGCGTTGGAACTTTAGGGTGGGAGGCTGCTGGTCCTCGCCCGCTCGGTAGGGATGGGTTAAGCTGGGACAAAGGGGACGGAGAGACTTTTGGCGTGATGAGATGCCAGGTCCCCCTGCAAGCGAGAATGAAGAGCGCCGGTCGGACTAGGGAAACTTGACAGGCGACGGACGGCCAAGCACAACTCGCATGAACCTCTTGTTGAATCGATGAAGACGGCCCCGCGGTGCCCGGTCCTTGCAGATTTGCAGAGTAGTATGGTCGCACAAGATGGTCGCACAGCAAGCTAAAGGTGCGCAAGCAGCCACAGATTGTAGACAAAGTGACGAGAGCGTTCGGCTTGGAAGGCGTCGGCGGCGCGGGCTGCTGTAAGCCGTCGCAGCTGTCAAAGTCGCAGGTGAGTACACGACTGCGCTTGTGGCTGAGGGCTAGTCGCAATTATTCCGATCCAAGGCTTGTTAATGTTCAGCCGCTGCCTCCAATGTTGTGACTATGCAAAAAGGATCGAGGGTGCTGTGTACGGAGTAGAGTGTAGGCATAAAAGAGCGGAGAAATAGCTATCCTGCTCAAGACTTCAATGTCGAAAATCGGCCAGAGGAAATGTGATAATAAGAGTGGATGGACGAGGCCCCGAGTCAGGATGGGCGTACAGACAGGCAAACGTCGTTTCGTTTCGATTTGTGCGTATGAATGGATAACAGGCGGCGAGTATCCATCAGTGTTGAGCCAGGCGTGTCGGGCAGGTATTCGTGACTATCAGTGCGGCCTAGGAGTCGTGAGGCTGCATAAGGTAGCCGGTACAACGTATCCGTGGTGCAGATGTCGAAGAAACGGGGAAGACCCCAGGTTTCACGCAGAAAAGGCGTGTGTGTCTGTTCCCACGAGGCCGGCGCTGCAGGGGGCGTCGACGTTATGACGACGAGTGACGGAGAGTGATAAAAAAGCCTTGGTTTTTCCTTCGATGTGCGCGGGTGAGAGAAGGGGGGAAAAGGTTCAAGCCGACAGCCACCGGACGAGAAAACAAACGCCAGGAGGTCCCTGATAAACAAACAGTAGAACCGGGCAGAAGGCGACGACGTGGGCGACGTCAACATGCAGCAATTGGCGGTGGTTGGGCTTCTCCATCCCGTCTCCAGCAACCTGGCCGTGGACCCCTGTGGCCATTTGGGGCCTTGGGCAGTGAAAAGCGGACCAGCAGCGTGGTGCAGCACTGCAGTTTGACCAGTCCCAGTCCCAGTTCCAGACTCCGAAATGGCCCAGCAATTGCCATTCAGTCTGTCATCACTTGTTATCACTTGCCGTCACTTGCACATGCAAACGGACAACCCTCTCTCGCCTTCCCCCTTCCTTGCAGTGAGTGTCCAACGCACCGCCGAGCGCTCTTGCCCAATTGATGGGCACTTCCTCCTCTCCCTCTTCATTAATGGAGCACGCACCACACGTCGTCGTGGTCCGTGCATGCTCTCTCGTGGACCCTGAAATCACATTGCAACTTCAACAGCCTGACCACCAGATGATTCCTCACCACTGAGTCGTGTCTTTGGCTTGTGCTTTTGCTCGTGCTCATACCCGTGCCCGAGAGGTTTGACATCTGAAAGTCGGACCCACAAACAAAAAGTCCCGATGAGATGGTAGACAGGCACGAACATAGCATTACCCTTACACAATAGATACATTCCACAAGCCGGCTTCGTAGCTGCGAACGTTTGGTACCTCGAGGTAGGAAAAGCAGCGCCGACGGGAACCTGTTTCATCTACCGGAAGATCGGCGTCTGGAGGCCGTTCACGGCTCACGCAGATCTTCGACACTGATCTGGAATGCAGTCCCAACTACGGATGGCAGACGTCCAACCGTACCTAGCTCCCGAGTTCCAGCGTCGGCAGCCGGCACAGTCCTAAACATATAAACTATTGCTGAAGCTTCAAAAGGATTGAATTAGGCGAACCAATCCCGTTCCCCGCTAGAATCACAAAATGCACAGGTATTCGTAGAAAACACCAACAGCCTGAGCCGCCCTTCCTTCTTCCATCCGCCACGCTCAGGCATGCATCTAAAAAGGCCACCACTGCATTCCACGAGAACGCCTCAATCGCCATGGTCTATAACTTGTTGCCGCTCACGCGCTTCACATGCTCCCTGTCTAGTTAGACAGAACTGGCGCACGACGGCACCACAGCCTAATTTTTTGCGCCCCTAGTGAAATCCCTTGTCTCGTCTATACAAAGAAACATTTGGAACGTCGAACCGATAGGAAATCCCAAGACGGAACACGATACTCACGCTAGGAGGAAACTTTCCTCGCCCATGCCTTCTGAATGGGTAGCTGGTCGCGTTGTAATAATTCCTCGTAGTCAAGACCAGAATTCCTCCAACACGCACACTCTCCCCTCCTCACTACAAACCTTCCTCTCAGCCCTCCGCACGCGCCATCATCCTTAGTCACTTCCTCTCCCCTTAGCTGGTCAGAGCTTGTCCTTTCCAGAAACTTGGGAAGAATCCTTCGACGGGCTGGTGCTTTGCCGAGGAGGCGGATGGGCACTGCGAAAACGTGATAGGCAATTCGTTAGAAGGCTGGGGTCGGCCAAAAAAGGTAAGAGCGTCATGACATCGGACCCCCTTCTCGGCAAATAATACTTGCACGGAATGGCTTTCGCTGTTTGGGTTTTCAACATTCGAAACCAAGGTTTACGGTTAGCTTTGTTTCCTCTCCGGGAGATAGATCTCATCTGAGTTACACATACTTCCAACCTGTCCGCTAGAGTTCTCAAGGCATTGGTGGATTTTCATAATCACAGCCTCGATGAATCGAGATGCCGGCCTGACATAGCAAGATTGGGTTCCAAGTGCCCACGTGGGCTTTTATTCATGCTGGCCATACAGATACGCCTGCAATGTACTGAACCCAAAACCTGGCTCACGAGAAGAGCCTACCAAACCAGTGCTCAACCCATTAAGTGGTATCCCAAACCAACGAAAAACCCGACCCAGAAAATACTCCTGTAGCCAACCGCCAAACATGCAGCTCCCACCCTCCCACTGCCATCCTTCTTTAATAGAAAGACTCGACCATGGTGTCCTTGAGCTTTGTGTTGACGTTGTCCGGGCCCAGGCCTTCACCCAGTCTGAATACGCTCTCAATAACACTGAGTTCCGTCGCCGTCGTGTCCAGGCCAGTGACGGCCATCCAGTCGTTGACGACCATGCCCGAACCGACAACGTTGCTACCACGGTTGACACTGCCGGCCACTAGGGGCACCTGCAGCAAACTCGACAGTTCGTCCTGATCTTGAATCGACGTCTTGGGGTGCACGAGGCCGCCCTGGTTCGTGAGGGACATGTACGAGCCGACGAGCACGTTGTCGGCAATGGTCTGACGGAACACCTCGACGCCGAGGACGTCGGCGATAATCTCCTCCGTCTCGCGCTCCAGGTCCGGGTGGATCAGAGCGATATGATCGTTGGCAACGATGACGTTGCCGAGAGCGGACAGGCGCTCCTCTATTCTCTGAATGCGGACTTCATCTGGCAAGCTGTTCCGGAGGTGTTGGAGCTCCTGATCTGACGTTGTGTTTGGAACCAAAAGACCCTTGCGGTTACTAGAAGCAAGGCAGTCAGCAACTTGTGCTCACGTGGGTGTGAGGCCGTACGCCGAACACGACCCCAAGGCTCCATCGCTTATTGCTTACCCAGCTGTTAACCGACCGATGATGCGAACGCCGGCGATGCTTGCCCTGCAGATGGGGATGACGCCCTGCAACTCGGCCTCGAATACGCTGTAAAAGTTCTCGCTGGCACCCGGAGCCACGAGGGCGTAGGAGTTGGTAAGAGTTGCAAAGCAGCCGATTCTAAAAGAAAGAAAAAAGTTTTGCGTCAGCATATCCTGGATCGACAGAAAAAGAGCATCGCGGTGTGGTTGTCGAAGCAAGCACGCAGCACGTAGACAATGGCGGGGTCGATCCGGCGGGGTTCTCTTACTCGTTGGAATTCTCGAATTGCGCGCGCACCGCCATGATTGTAGATGTTTCGGGGGATACTCGATTACTAGCTGTCGGAATTTTTGAGGTGATGGGAATTTTACGGCAATTAGAGCTCGTAAGAGTTGCTTCGTTCGTAAAAGAGAAAAACCCTTGCGGCGGTCGTGTGGAAAAATTGTCGTCGTCAAGGATCCTGTCGTCAGGGTGTTGTTGATGATGGAATTTTTGCAGTGGCGGAAGTCGCAATTAATAAAAAGCGACAATCGATAGAGAGCGAGGTGGGGCAATTACCTTGCTACCCGCCGCTGCCAGTTCTTCACTTGGTTCGCATGCTCTGCGGGGCACACCGAGCGAGCTGTGTGGACCCTGATTCGCCTCAAGCCGCCCGGGCTGCACAAAAAGAGTCAATTGTCGCTGTATGGTTGATGAGTCACTCCGCATCAGAATCGCACTACCTCACTTTCTCCAGATCCTATCACAAACAAAGCCAAATATGCCCTTGCAAGGTTCCTTTCCGCTGCGGCTGCATTGCCACTGTGACTCTTTACCCCATTTCTGTAATCTTGCGTTCCAGAGCCGGAATAGTCTCTACCCGAGTTGACACAGCTAGCTATCCCGTACTGGACCACTGAAACCCTGCAGCAGCAATGTACAACTAGAGGAATAGCAGGTTCATCAACGGTCACCGTTCGAATCACCGTTTGAATCACCTCATCAGTCACAGTCATAGCCATCGATTGATTCATTGTCTTATAGCTGTGTTAGGCCGGCTTCTTTGGGCACCTTGCTATTCGCTGGGGAATGTCAATTATTATCTCTTGCCTACTTGTGCGTGGCCAAGAACTCGTCTAAATCGACGTGTATCCGCAGCCCCTTGGATGACATCGTGTTGAAGACAGACCGCAGCTCAAACTCGTCCATCACGCTAATAAGCGTCGTATAGGCCTCGAGTGCCAACTCCTTTGACCAGGGACAATGGCGCAGACCTCGGAAAAACACATCCTTTGCCTTGTGTCTAAGCTGCGACCTCGCGTAGCTGAACTTGATGTAGCATCGCCATAGATCGGGATTGGACTTGCATGTCCGGCTGTCCAGTGCCCGCTCAAACGCTGCTTGCGTGGAATACACGTTGCCTCTCTGCAACTCATATCGTATCGCGAAGACACGGTTGCTGATACTATCGTTGACGTTCGTAAGGGCGACTTTTCGGAGTATGTCACGAACAGGGTCATCGATGCCAAACGTGGTCGATGCCCAGGAAAACAGGCTAAGGAAAAGCGTGTTGCGTGGAAACAGCTCAATGCACTGACTGAGCTGATCTTTCAGATACGCACGTCGGAATGGTCTGGTACCACGTTAGCCTTGTGACAATAGGAGAATATAGGACCTGCTTACCCTCGACTTGCATGGTGGTAAAGTAGCCTTGCAGCGACTTGGAGAAGTCTTTCGTGCGTCGAAGACTTGGCGCGACCTTGAGCACACAATTCTGAAGATACGGTCCATATTCTCTCCATCGCAGCCGAGATACTGCCTTGTGCCTCTGACGTAGGCTCGGATCCCTCGTGCGCCGTGAGATAGGCCAGCATTGCCAAGCTCTCGGCGGTAGTAGTTGCTTCATCCAGCTGTTTCATAGATATTTGATGCTCAAGGCTAGCTGACAATGATTGATATGCCTGGAGGAGTTGGGAAGGAGAAGGCGTGGTTGCAGGTGAATTTCTCCAGGACTGATCCGCTGCAGCACATAGACGCACAATAGCTTGTGTATTATTCCCACCATGGAGTTCTAACCAAGCCCATGTGTTCCATAACATCGATCCACCAGTACTGTTGGAGGTCTGCTGGATGATTGTTAGAGACCGAACCTAAGTAGATACAGTGAGTCGTTGGGAGCACTTACAGTAATTAGGCTGGCCGCTGAACGAACAACTTGGAGACCTATTCCTACGTTTCCATTGGAGGCCTCGGCGAGAGCATAAGCGTTGTACAGCCTGAGATTCGTTGGATCTTGCTTGATGAAAGCCTTTGCGCGTTTCTTGGTGTTGCTGGGATCATTGACGACTTCGATGGCCAGCGAGTATTCGGCCAGCTCCTGACGACTTCTTGACTTCAGCAATAACCCAAGAGTGTTGGAGACTACGGATAGGGTGACGGGTCCGTTAGAATCTTTGGATGTACTGATCCATCCGCAAAATGGCGAAAACCACCCGCAGCCGGCAAACAGCAGATCAGCCGACAACGCGTACCGAGATGCATCTTGCTTGAATATTGGGACTCTCTTGGTCTCATCCAGCACATCAGGTTCGTTGGGCTTTTGAAGCACATCCTTTTCAAGTAGTCTCATGTCGCTCACAACCATAGTGTCGTTTTCTGCAGCTTCTATCCACTCGCTGGTCCGAAACGCAGTGGGTAAACCGCAGAAGAGCAAGAAAGCGTCAACCAGTGGTTTCCAAAGTGAGAGCATGACCTCCGACGGTATTACAAACAGTAACTCCTCGATGTCAGAAAACATAACGACACGATACGGATCATCCTCGAGGACATCGTCCGTAGCTCTCGCTGGGATCCTAGAGTTCATTGCCCGCAGCCTCTCCGTTGCGCCCCATGACTTGTATACGTCTCGCGACTTGGGGACGCTGTCATCGTCTGTTTGTGGTTCCGGAGGGTCGACAACGCCGTCCATCTGAACATAGTGACTCCAGCCAAGAGCGTGGTCTTCTCCTATTCTCGGTGCTTCGTCTTCCCAGAAGTCTTTGAACGAACTGATTATCTGTAGTTCTGCCATAGTGTCGCAAACCGCCGGTCGTTGCAAGTTGAGTTCGAGAAGCGCCTGCCACGATGCGACTGCAAGTTCGCGGAAGCCAGCATCGTACATGAATCTGGTTGCCCTGAGGAAAACATAAACCATCTGCTCATAGCGCTGGGTCTCTGCGCTACTCGCCAGGCAGCTCGGCCCGGGCGACATCGACACCATGGCTTGCTTGTAGACGGTCTGCAATCGGTCGACTAGCAAATCTTTGATATCGTTGTATTGGAAGGCAGCCAGATTCGTAAGTTTGTAGTCAACTCTGGCCTTCCACAGACAAAAGCTGTCGTCATGCTTCTTTGCCAATTCCGCCCAGCGGCTCTCAAGCTTCGAGGGAGACCAAACATGTGCAGCTTCCAGCATCAAGCCAAGTAGGAGCCTTTCTTCGTCTTCCGGCTTCTTTGCTTGAGACAGCGCGGACTCGAACATTGAGATCTTGATCTCTGCAAAGCTGTGGACCTCAGCTTTCGTGGCCTCGCGATCTAGACTGCCACCTGCGTTGAGCAGCACATTTTGGTGATTGATGAGCTCGAGCCACGCTTCGATGTCTCCAGGATACTCCTTGACTCGCCGTGAAAGCTGAATCGATCGTTGCCTCAGAGGATCCTCGGATCCGACGTCGAGCTCGCCATCTTCGGCATCTGAATTGAAGTCGATATCGCTATCTGAAAATTCATGGGCTTTGGCCTTGCCATTGATCGATCTGTACGCCGTATTCTCATCCCCTGATGATCCCGGCTCCTCGGCACGCCGTCGGTCCGAGGATTTGCTTAGAGGTACAAAATCCTCCTCGACGAGATGGGCATCGTTACTGGCAGGGTTGCTCCGTACGCGGATACGAAACGGCTTAGCAAGACGAGTCTTGGATTGGAAGAGCGCTCTATCCCTCAATGTCGAGCTTCCTTCTCCCGGCTGTCGAATACTGAAGCGCTCCTGCGGGCCATCTCGATGGATGTGCAAGTATCCACCGGAGCCGAGGACTCGCCCACGACCGCTGCGGCGGTACAGGGGAACGCGAGAACGATCATTACCGCCATATCTTCTGATTAAGGGGTCGCCCTTTTTGTCAATGAAGAAAATGCCATCGATAGGCTTTTCCTTCAGAAACTGTGCCACCTCGACTCTCTTGACAAGAGCTCGTTCTTGGCTACGACTGCGACCGTGATCGCGACTCCGACTCCGTTTGCGACGTTGGCGGCGATGCTCAGAGTCGGTTTTTGAAAAGTCATCATGGCGCAGAGATTCATGGCGGGCCCGTTCCTCCTTGGGCCTCTCATCTCTCTCCCCCTTCCGGTCGCGGGCTCTTTCACTGGAAGGAGGTGGTGCAGCCGGGGCCTTGGGCTTGAACGATGAGAACTTCGGTATCGTCAACTTTTTATCCCCTGGTTTCGACATGTCTACGACGCCGGTCCGCAGCTCACCGGATCATATTTAGCACCAAGGGAAACCTCGGCGCCGTGGCTGCCTGCTAATGTATGCGGCCGGCTGAACGCACGCCCTCACGTCAAAATGCGCAAAATGGGTCTTCGTAGTTTGCCTTGACAGTAGTTGCCTACCGTGGTGAGCTAGAACGACGTCGAGTATACAGTGGCGCGCGTCGCGTCGTTGGCTCGACGGTGGCGGAAACGGGCAATTGTCGGTACTGGAAGGGCCAAGAAGGAAACGTGGGGGTCTAGGAATCTGTGGCAGTGATCGACCTCACGCATAAGGTAGAGTTCAGAGTACAACCTTATTCGAACGGTAGCGCCGTCGCACCGTTAGAGATGCCCGAGCACGTGCGGTTTACGGAGCCACTGCTGGCTGGCCTTCAGCGCTTTTAGGTAGTGGCAAGGAAAACCGGACACCCTACCTTACATGTGATTGGCCTGTCCGTCTTGTGTAAGGCTTCTCGGGTTCGCTCTGCAAAGTGGAAAACACAAGACCAGGCCCAGAATCTTGGTTCCAACGGGCCTCGGTTCTGTTTCTGGATCCAATTATTCGGAAACGAGGACTGAACGGATCGACCGGTCTGGGGACGGCAAGAACGGTAATAGCGAAGGCTTTGATGTCGTTGTTGTTGAGGGTGTCACGTTTTAATCTGTCCGATACTGGCTGACTGCTCTTGGGACTAGCATAGTGTCAGTCAACATAGGATTAACGCCAAAGCAGCCGAAGCACAACCCCCAGTTGTAGTGGAGGGTTGGATGAAGGATGGGCAGAGTTCGGGACATTCCAGGATGGGGACGTGGAGAGTGAGTGAGCGACCTGTGACTGAAGGAAGGCTCGAGGCGCTGGAACGGGGCAAGGGTGGGATTCGGGATTGGACTGTCGCTTGACTCACACACCTTGCACTGGATAGGTACGGATTGCACTCAAGGAGACCTGGAGGAGTGAGGCAGGAAGGCGGTAGGCACCTTGGTAAACACGCACGCACGGTAAAATTCCTTGGAGTGGGACGAGAAAGAAGGACGGTCGCAATGGTGCAATCTCAGGGTCCTCGGTCGATCTGACCGTTTCGGCAGGAAATGCGCTAGGTATCAGCCAATTACTGCGTCCAAATGTCTTACAGAGGCATCCACCCTAAGGGTCACCCGGTGCAAATGACCTCACAGCCAAGAACGCCCTCCCACCGCTACGGATTATTTACACACTTTGCGGCACTGCCAAACTACTCAGGGTGGATCACGCTCTTTCAACTTACCGCGCGTGCCCCCCGGCGCAACACGGTGCACAGCCCAACCTGGAGGCATTCGGGAAAGTGGATGGGCGACAGCTCCATCTCGAGGCCTGCCGCACCTTCTAGCACCCGTTTGGGTATCCGTAGGACTACCACAGTATTGGGCACATTTTCTTACCCTGCGGCTCTCTCCAGCTTCCAGGTTCTTTTTCAAGTAGATGGCTACCTTTCTTCTTCTTCTTCCTTAGCCATCCCCATCCTCATCCTCCTTCTCCTTTCCTCCCACCCTCCACCGCTCTCCCCCGGCCCCGCCGTGTACTCACACTTCCCCAGCCGGCGACGCAGTATACACGCCAAGGAACATGTCTCGCCCGCGATAGTCATCCGCCTACACGTTTCGTCGCATCTGACACCGGACCCCACGTCGTGATCCTATCTCCCGCCTCCCCGAACCTTGCGCTCGAGGTTGTCTGCAGCCTTGGAACTTGCAGTACAAGTTCACTGGGTCCACGTGCTGAACCCCAGGTTGCTTCAATCTAAAACCATCCAGCTTGCTTGTCAGGATAGCCTTTCCTTCAAGGCTTCCGCTGCTACCCCTGATCGTCGCTTTTCCACGCCCAGAGTATAGACTACTTGACTGCGTCGAGTGCTGTCCCATCTTGCTAGAAGCTGCAAGCTTCCGTTCTTTCCAACGCACAGTAACCTTGCCTGTCCCGCCGCCAAAAGTTGTTGGTTGAGCCGAAACAACCAAGACTCGAAACACGCTCGAGAACTCAAACGGTTCGAGCCGCTTTCACACACCTACTGCGTAGTCAGCCCAAATTATGGCGGAATTACCGGACGACAACGCGCCTTCGGGACCTCCCTCGCCGACGAGCACGCGACGACCGCGATTCGACTCTCGGAGAAGCTCGGTCGGGGGAGAGCCGGATGAGCGCTCCCCTCTACTCCTAGGTCCGAGGTCGAGGAGGCGTCTTCAACAAGCCGGACCAGAAAGCCCAAAGTATCTCACTCCGGGTCTGTCGAGGAACCAAAGCACTGCTGGTATGTTGACCCGATATTTTTCACATGCTGCGCCTGTACCAAGTAATATAAAAAGCTAACCTATACCCTCGCTACCCAGGAAGCATCAGAAGTCTACACCACAGTCGCAACCCATCCTTGGGCCAGCGTCTTTCACATACCTTCTCCGACTTCCCTGACTCGATGAGCGAGTCGAAACGATCTATACAACCTAACGAGCGCGTATGGTACGACCAATTTACGTCCACCGACTGGGTCCATGATAATATCATCGATGCCCACCGAGTCAAGGCTCTGAAGATGCGCAAGGACTTTCGGGGAAGGTTATACGCCATCTTCGACGCCTCTCAAGGATGGATTCTGAGTGCGCTATGTGGCTTCGTCGTCGCGCTCGTCGCCTACGTAGTCAACTTATCGGAAGCCACCGTCTTCGATTACAAGTACGGATATTGTGCGCGGGGTTGGTACATCAGCGAGAGAGTATGTTTCCTTGTAATCAAAGAATTCCAGACAAAGCTAATTCTGTGTTCAGAATTGTTGTCCAAAGCAAGGCCCCTGCGAAGATTGGCGGACCTGGTCCGAGGTCCTGAGATTTTGGCCATTCGGTGATGTGGGCACCGAGTTCACCATCTACTTGGTAGGGTGTGTTGTCTTGGCAGGCGTCTCCTGTGCCATGACTTTGACCACAAAGACCGTGGTGCCCTCGGCATATCGGATGACAACGTTCGACGAGAACCTCGCAGCAGAGTTTACGCCCTACGCAGACGAACCGACGAGCGACGAAAGTCCAACTCCTCCAGAAGTCGTTGAGGCGATTGAGGCCGCTGTACCTCCTCCCATGGTGTACTATTCTGCTGCTGGAAGTGGAGTGGCCGAAGTTCGTGTCATCCTCAGTGGTTTCGTCTTGCATGGTTTCCTCGGTGTGAAAACCTTGGTCATCAAGTCTGCCGCACTCATTCTCAGCGTGTCGTCTGGCCTCAGTCTCGGCAAAGAAGGCCCATACGTGCACATTGCCACCTGTATTGGCAACATTGCTTGCCGTCTTTTTTCCAAGTACGACAAGAACGATGCCAAGAGGCGCGAAGTGTTGTCTGCAGCTGCAGCTGCAGGTGTGGCCGTCGCTTTTGGCGCCCCTTTGGGAGGTGTTCTCTTCGGCCTTGAGGAGGTCTCATACTTCTTCCCAGCTAAGACGCTCTTCCGCACCTTTTTCTGCTGCATCGTCGCCGCACTATCGCTCAAGTTCCTTAACCCCTACGGCACACACAAGATTGTAATGTTTCAAGTCAAGTATGTGGCTGATTGGCACTACTTTGAAATCGTCTTCTATATTGTCATCGGCATCCTGGGTGGTGCCGCCGGTGCCCTGTTCATCAAAGCCTCCAAGCACTGGGCCAAATCCTTCCGGAGGATCACCTTCATTAAGACGTACCCGATGCTTGAGGTATTACTGGTTGCCGTCGTTACCGGTATCATGAGTTACTGGAACGTCCACACGAAACAGCCGGTTGCTAAATTGATGCTCAACCTCGCGGCCCCCTGTCACGACGGCTCCGATCGCGAAGACTATGGCCTCTGCCCAACCGCTATGAACGACATCCCACCTGTGCTCCTAAGCCTCTTCACCGCATTCCTCATCAAAGGGTTTTTGACGATCATCACATTTGGCATTGTAGGTATTGCTAGCGCGCGACATGATCAATACGCTAATGTCTTGACAGAAAGTTCCTGCAGGTATCTATGTTCCTTCTATGGTAGTAGGCGGTCTCATGGGCAGACTCGTCGGCCACGTTGTGCAGTACATGGTCATGCTTTGGCCAGACTTTGGATTATGGGGTGCGTGTGCCGCGAAGGAGGCGGGTTCCTGCATTCAGCCCGGAGTGTATGGCCTGATTGCTGCTGGATCAACCATGTGTGGTGTGACCCGACTTTCGGTGACACTTGCAGTCATTCTGTTCGAGCTTACCGGCAGTTTGGAACACGTTCTCCCATTCTCCCTGGCCATTCTTGTGGCTAAGTGGACTGCCGACGCCATTGAGCCAAACAGCATCTATGTAAGCTATATAAACGATCCGGGTTTGGGTGGCTTTTACTGATTGTAGTAGGATCTCTTGACGAGCATGAACTCGTATCCCTTCCTCGACAACAAACACAAGCCCATTTTCACGTCGGACCTGGCCGACATTGTTCCTCGTGTCCGGCGAGAACGCGTCATTGACATCAGCGCCTCTCCGGTAGTTTCTGCAGTCAGCCTTCGCAGCAAGTTGCAGACTCTCCACAGGGCTGGGGAGATCGATGGAGGTCTCCCCATTATTCGGGATGGAATCCTCGTCGGCTTGATCCCCGCTCCTGACTTGGAATTTGCCCTCGATAACCTGGACGACGAAGCGTCAAGCATGTGCTTGATGGCCCAAGTCTCAAGCATCGAGGACTCCGACGATGATGGTGAGATGGACAAAACTGACTTCACCCCTTACATTGACCCGGTAAGTAGCCCCCCGATCTGGCGAGCAGGATTTCAACTAATTACTGCCAACAGGCACCTGTGGCATTAGACATGCGATCCCCCATGGACCTCGTTTACGAATGTTTCGTCAAGCTTGGTCTGCGCTTCGTGTGTGTCCTGAAGAATGGCCGTTACGCAGGAATGGTACGTCGAATCTTGATCTTTTGACTAGTCCTGCTAGCTAACTGTATCTCAGGTACATAAGAAGAGCTTCGTGAGATACATGCGGGATCTCGAGGAGAAGGAGGGGCACTGACACAGTGTTCATTCCTGGAGGAGAGAATATTCCTTCTATCACCACCTCCAGGCCGAATCATTTTCGCATCATATTTCCTACGCCTTGTCAGCATGTTCACCTCTGACATGTTTGAACACATTGTCGATAAGGAGGAAGTCTGTTTTAGTTTTGCATACCGCCCATGTTGCGATACCTGCGGCTTAGCGTATCTGGGAATGGCGTTCGCATAATGTTTTTCTTTCAAATCCTGGCACCGAGAGCATTCCTGGGTGGTCGGCTGTTGTCGAATCTGTATATATAGCATTTTGTTGTTTGACGGGGAAAGAAGTGCCAAATACTTGGGAAAGGCTAGATTGATTATTGTGTATATCAAGAGCAGCGTCGCGATGACTACGAGATATCAATAGCGGACAAAGTCCCGTTTTCTGACTTGACACCACCGGTTCAATCAAATTTCTTCAGATGGGACGGAGCCGTGTATAGCTCCGGTTACCAGGCGATGGTCCCCGCAGCGGTCACACAAACCGACGACTCTCGGCATCCGGCGCGCACCCTTCCCGGACGCCGAAGTGGGGTTCCTAAGGTAGGTAATCGGCTTACTGGTTGAATCCTGGCTTTGGCCACGAGCTATAATAATGGCGTCAAAAGATTGGATCGCGTTGGTTGTCATGACTGCTCTGACCAATACTTTTCTCTTCTCATCAGTACTCCTGAACAAAGGCAACTTCCAACGGAGGCGAGTGGGTGGTGATTTTATCTCCTTGTAGTGTGAGACCGGCAACGTTTCCCGGTTCCGGTCCGCCGGTCCCGTCATCGGCTGGGAGAGCCAAATGGATTTTCGGCGGAGCGCTAAGGGTAGTCCCCAGATGTTGCCCCTGGCGGTGGAGATGTTCGTTTCCACTTGGGGGGGGTACCGGTAGGTTATTCCCATTTTTATCACGTTATCAATGGAGTAGGTGCTTATCACCTGTTGTGGGTAATTGATTCAACGGAGTGACACCGAACTTTGAAGGAAGTGCCAAGGGGAGAATGTGACGAGTGATCGGGGAGGCTGGGTTTGATGCGGCAAAAGTGACGGCGTATTAGTTGTTGCTGCGAAGGAGCTATACAGTTACGCAAGGCAAGTCTGAGGCTGAAGACGCGGCAAAGACGGCATGGAGAAAGCGTCAGCGTCCAAGGCCTAACCGAGAGGCGCAAAGGGAACCGATTGGGCGAATCTGGGGTGCGTTGGTGACAGTAGCCCACTTCCAGAGCCAAGCTCCAGTCGGCAGAGATGGAGGAGCCAGGTTCGCACTACGATACTTTGGTGGTACACGAAAGCTGTACCCAAGCTGTAGCAAAGCTTTTGCCGTATCAGCACGAGCAGGGCCGAGCTTCCTGCAACGGCCTTGCAGAGTGTTTGACTCCAGGTCGAACTAGAGTGCTTGCTGATATGCCCGCCTTGCGTGCAAGGTTCCTGACTTGAATAGTGAAGTACTTGAGGTATTTGCCTGTTGACGCCGTTTACGCGAGCCGCTGCTGGCTTCCCGCATGTACCTGGCAAGCCTGGGAATCGAGAAAAGAGAAGGGCGGTGGCGGCGTAAACGGCGTAAACTACCCCTCCAAACCAAGGCCCGTGTGTACCTACCAAGGCAGTGTGTCACTGTCGGGTTGTGTGTGAGCCTGTGAGGTCAGGACTTGGGGACCCCCAGCTTTTCAATCTGCCCCGCATTTCCCTCAACTGGGACGTAATCTTGGCAGGTCTCCCCTTCATCGTATTCGCAGGGAGCTCCTCCTTCTCCCGGCCAGCAAAGATACCTATCTCAGATAGGTAACGAGCTAAGGCAGAAAGAGACGCGGGTGCCCGGTCTGATCGTTGCGGTCAGTACAGATAGAAGTACCTTGACTCAACACCAGACTAGGGGACCAAAGCTCAAAACAAAGTGACGGCAAACCCGTACTACATACCTACGCTACTGCTGCCGCTACTACCTATCTACTTCTCTCCGCCACCGGCAACGGCAACGCGGCGTGAGTAGATTGTCAAGGTGATAAGCCGCAGCCACCCGTAATCTATAAACTAGACCCCTTCCCCCGCCTCGCAAAACATCCTCTTTCTCTCTTGCTTCTTTTTGCTCATCTTTCTTTTGCCGTTTGCCATTGACCAATTGATAACCCCCCTTCCACCCCCTCCTCCGATATCGCATAAAGCTCCCAATTGCCATTGCCCCTCCTTACCAAAGGGAAGCCGTGTCACCACGAGAGTGGGACGGTGAGAGCGAGCTTCAGTACTACTTGACCGTTTGAGGGAGAGAGAGAGAGAGAGATCGAAAGGAGTCACACACACACACACACCCCATAATATACACAATGGCTCTCCTCAGAGCCTCCGCGTCCCTGGCGCGTCCCGCCGCCCGCGCGGCCCGCACACCCGTCGCGCGCAGAGCGTTCTGCGTATCCGCTCCACGCATGGCCGCCGCCCCGAGCCTCTTCGCCGGCGAACCCTCCGGCCCGGCCCTCAAGACCGACATCCCCGGCCCCGCGTCCAAGAAGGCCACCGAGGACCTGCACAAGGTCTTTGACACCCGGAGCTTGAACATGCTCACGGACTACAAGAAGAGCTTGGGCAACTACATTGCCGATGCCGACGGCAACGTCCTCCTCGATGTGTAAGTTTGTGGAGACTGGAAGAAAGGCGCTATTACGTCGGAACAACAAAAGCTTACGCGCGCTTGCCCCTCTCACAGCTATGCTCAAATCGCCTCCATCCCCCTGGGCTACAATAACCCGGCCCTCGCAAAGGTCGCCCAGACCCCGGAGATGGTCAACGCCATCATCAACCGACCGGCGCTTGGCAACTTCCCCCCCGAAGACTGGGCCGAGGTCCTCCGCAGCGGCATCCTCAAGGTGGCGCCCAAGGGCCTCGACCAGGTCTTCACCGCCATGGCCGGCTCCGACGCCAACGAGACGGCCTACAAGGCCGCCTTCATGTGGCGCCGCCAGCAGGAGCGCGGCGGTCCCGACGTCGAGTTCACCGCCGAGGAGACCTCCTCCGCCATGAACAACCAGTCCCCCGGCGCCTCCGACCTCTCCATCCTCTCCTTCAAGACGGGCTTCCACGGCCGCCTCTTTGGCTCCCTCTCCACCACCCGCTCCAAGCCCATCCACAAGCTCGACATCCCCGCCTTTGACTGGCCCCAGGCCACTTTCCCCTTGCTCAAGTACCCGCTCGAGGAGCACGTCGAGGAAAACGCCGCCGCCGAGCAAGCCGCCCTCGACGAGGTGGAGCACCTCATCAAAACCTACCACATCCCCCCCGCCGCCGTCATCGTCGAGCCCATCCAGTCCGAGGGCGGCGACAACCACGCCTCCCCGGCCTTCTTCCGCGGCCTCCGCGAGGTCACCAAGAAGCACAATATCCTCCTCATCGTCGACGAGGTCCAGACCGGCGTCGGCGCCACGGGCAAGTTCTGGGCCCACGACCACTGGGACCTCCCCTCCCCGCCCGACATGGTCACCTTCAGCAAAAAGGCCCAGACGGCCGGCTACTACTTTGGCAACCCGGAGCTGCGCCCCAACAAGCCCTACCGCCAGTTCAACACCTGGATGGGCGACCCGGCGCGCGCGATCCTCTTCCGCGCCATCGTCGACGAGATTGAGCGCCTCGACCTCGTCAACAACACGGCCCGCGTGGGCGACTACCTCTTTGGCAAGCTCGAGGCGCTGGCTGCAAAGTACCCGGGCCAGTTTGCCAACCTCCGCGGAAAGGGCCAGGGCACCTTCATCGCCTTTGACAACCCGCGCCGCGACGAGTTCCTCAAGAAGGCAAAGGGGCTGGGCATCAATATTGGCGGCTCTGGCGAGAGCGCCGTCCGTCTGCGGCCCATGCTCATCTTCCAGGAGCACCACGCCGATATCCTCACCGAGGCCCTGGAAAAGATTGTCAAATCTTGGTAAAGAAAAGGAGGAAAAGAAAAAAAAGGGGGAAAATGATGACATGAGGTGAACTGTGTTTATTGCCTGGGTGTTTCTTGGAAGCATTGTCTGCCGTGGGGTTCATCTTTTGGGGTTTGATATCATGATTTAGCGCATGGGACAAAATTATAAGAATGGCTCCCAATCAACCCCGAATCCACATCGTCTCACTAGTATACCTAATCTTTGATGCTCAGCAACAAGTGTCTCATTTCGTAAAAACATGCATGCCCATGCTGTACTTGTGGACATGTCTTTGGCATCATTACACCTGTGCCCTATCATATCGTACACGTCGTTACACGTCCAGATCTGGCACGTGTTCCTGGACTCCCTGGACCGGGTAAAAAAAAAAAGCAACTCTAACCGCCCTGTTCTGTCCGTAGCCGGTATATGCAAAATAATCAAACAGTCCGACAACGCCATGAGATCTAGAAGTACGCAACCCTTATAGCAAATAACTGCTGCCATCCGGGGTAATATTGTCGACTCCAAAGTGTTCCGCACTGAAAAGCGTACCCTTATGTGGTCAGCCAAGGCCGCGCAACTCCGCTCGTCCAAGTCTTTGTAGTTGTAACGGTGTAGCAGTGGATGACCTGCCTATGCGGGCCATCGTTTCGAGTCCGTTGCATCCTGCTACCTCGCTAGTTCCTCTTGCTGCAAGTGGCCAATATGTGGGATGGCCTTGTCCTTTTGCGAATCTGATACCTGTTCGTCCTCGTTATAAGGGTCTTGTGGTATCTCATCAGACTGCTGGCGTGACGATTCGCTAGGTGTTGATCGGCCAGAGTCTGTCTTGGGATGATCGTCTGTGAAAGTGCCCTAGGGACCCGATCAGGATTGTATCGACTCGCAAGACCATGTTCACTCACTAGCTGCGTCCTACCAAATGACTTTGGCCGACCTCGCTTTCGCCTTGTCGGCTCGTTGGCCGCCTCCGAAGCTGCACCAGGCGACAATTTGTACATGGAAAACTCTCCCGGCGTTGTCGGGCTTTCCCTAGCTATCGGTCGGGGTGCTGGTGCCAAAGGCGTAAGACGCTGCGGAAGCAAAGGTCGCAGTTGTCTCGCCTTGTCCGCCCGTGATGGTCGACCTCGTTTCCTGGGTGGAAGCGAAGGTTGCTGTTGTTGGCCAGGGCTCCGAGAGCCTTTGGCCCTGCCGACATTTCCCATGCCGGCCGGTCGCGGCTGTATGTTGGCGAGTTGCTGATTATGCAGCTGCGGAGGCGCTGGCAAAAGCGAGGATGCGGACATCGAGCTTGAGTACGATGCAAGGCCCTGAGTTGCCGAGGCCAAGGGCGGTAGTTGCGCTGGTGGTTCCATAGGGGATGCGGCAGCTAATCGCTTTGGGGGTTGCTCGAGAAGGTCGTTCATGGACTTCCGCTTGAGGTCTGGAATCCTCATGGGACCCTGAAACATATGCTCTGTAACTGCGAGGCATTGTCCCATGGTGCGGCCTGTGTCGCAACCGTTAGCACAAATCCTCGAGTTAATGTAGATCACCTGTACCGCTGGGTAGCTGCATCTTAAGCCAGTCTGGCTCGACGTTGTGCGTTTTCAGAAACCCTACTAAGAGGCTGACATCTAGACTGCTGTTCTTGATAGATTCCGCGAGGATGAACCTCTGCCGCCGAACTTCGCGTCAGTGTCGATGGTCCGTGAACGAACGGAGTCTTGCTTACCTTTTCCTCCTCTGTAAAAGAGTAAGCCATCGCGAGAAGGACTGATTACTACCCGTACGAGTTTCATAAAAGAGAGATATCTTTATCCGAAAAGGCGAAGGGATAGGCATCTGCGACGCGGGTTTCTGGCAAACGAGCGGATCGGCTGTGCTAGCCGGTGGTGACGAGCAACGAGTGGAAGAAGAGTGACTTGGAAACAAGCTTGGGTGAGAGGCAGGACGGAAAGCGCGCGATCGAAGTCGACGGAGCCGGCACCGTCGACTAGAGAAGTCCTGTGACCAAGCAATCACTCTTTATGACAGGCAAGCGCGGTAGCAGAGAACAAAAGCTCGTTGCAAAGACCGTGAGCAAGCGACGCCAGTAAGCCTTCGTTTGGCACCGCCAGAAGAGAACGTCGAAAGTTGCGCCTGTAAAGGCAAGACCTAGCAATAAGAGGAACGGGTAAGGGAGAGGGAAGCGATCAGGCCGGCGCAAGCGTGCGTTCTCAACCTGAAGCCACCGTGAAGAAGGCCTCGCACCACGACGAAGTCGACGGGATGTTGGACGAGGCGCAATGAGGGGGGTAACACAGCCTAGACAGGCCGTGTAGGAGGAAGTGGAGGCTTTGATTGTTTCGTTTGCTTCTGGGACCTGAACCACTTTGCGACGAGGGCCTGCACGGCGCGCACTCTGGGACTTGCTGGTGCGACTAGGGTCGGGGTCGCATTTATAAGGCGTGTTTTGCGCGCGAGAGACTCTGGGGGGAAACAAGCGAGACAAGTTTGCCGAGAAGTCAGTTACGCGTTAGGCCTGTCTAGGAGACCTTCCAGGGTGCCGGTTCAGTTGAAGTCTGGTGCGGTACGTTGGTACGGCTGCTCGCAGCAAGGGTGGGAGTTTGGAGAGATGGAAGTTGTTCCAGTTAGCCCCAGACTCGAACAACGGGCGAGGTGGTGACGAGAGGGAAGGAGATTCCGGTCTGTCGTAATTGCTAGCAGGTCTCTCTACATTAGGCAGGAATTGTATGCGTAAAATGGATAAATTAGTGGCATCTCCAAAAAAAAAAAATGCCTCTGCCTTGTTGGATGACCCTAGTGTACGAAGCAGAGTTGCAGTGTCCGAGCGAGGGTGGCTGGGGAATGCCCGCAGATCTATCGACTGATGGCGATGACTGTCAAAAGATAGGCAGGCTGCGGCTCGTGAGGGCCCCGTCTGGAATGAGCAACGCCTAGACCGGAGGAGAGAAGTGCCTGTTAAGGTCACGATTTCGAAGCTGAGATGGACTGTCAAAGACCGAATAGGAACATAGGCCGATTCAGCGTTGCCGGGAGGATTGTCGAGGTTGCTCCGTTGTCGATGACAGACAAGTTCTTTTTCGCTCGCTGATGGTTGGGGATGGACTGAGGCACTACCAATCTGGGCACCAATCTGATCACAAGTAGAGAGGTGGGTTGAGTTGGTGTGTGGTATGGATGCCGAAATTTGGTCCAAGCTGCTCGTAGGCGGACCTGAACAATCGAGAACCCAGAGGCTAGAACCAGGTTGAGGACGCAGCAACGAGGTGTGTGGTGTCTGGTGTGGTGTGGGAGTGATGAGTGATGAGTGATGAGTGTGTTTGACTGGCGCCGTAGTCATCATCCGCGTCGGCCGTTCTCTGGATGCGTCTGCGTCTTCCATGTTAGGATAAGGAAGTTTAGAGGCTCTCTGACTTTGTCGTTGTCGCCGTTGCTGCCGCTGATGCCTCTAGAAATCCCATGCCGCCCTATCTCGTCAGAGTTCCCGTCCCTGGGCTGTCACTTGCGGCACGCTTCTTTCGTTTTCCCCGGTAGTGGCTTTGTCTCACGCGCCTCTCGCGCCTCCCATTCCGTCTTCGCTTTCTTGCTTTTTTGTCGGCAACCAACCGCATCCTTCTTTGCCATTTTCCCTGCGCATGTCTCACCAGTCACCCAAAAGGGAAGAGGTCCCTTTTGGTTGGCCGACAGCCACACGAGGAAGGCCTCAACTGGGCCTCTTTCGATCGCATTCGAGTTCGAGAATGGGGCCCGTCTCTCGTAATAGCTTGCAGGTTGATTCTCACTGGAGGTATCCGTAGCCACCCATCATATCACATATGACTGCATAAGCTGTAGCTCTGCACTGCGCTTGCGCTGCTCTCCTCCCCTCTGTTCTGGTCTTCGATATGCAATCGACAGAGGATCCATCCCTGTCTCCCGCCCGTCCTGCACACATGCGTCGCTGCAGCACGGTCCCTCTGCCAGGCTGCTAGTGGCCCGGAACTGGGCTGAGATGAGCCAGATGCAGCAGCGGTTCTCTGCGCGGAATGGGAGAGCGGCGTGCAGACGCACAAGCAGATGCAGTGCGATTCAAGGCTCTCCCTGGGGGTTGCGTCCGCTGGCCAATCCGGTGGATCGACATGGTCCGCCTGACTTGGGTTGCTGCCACTTGCAGGACGTCAATGTCGTGGTGTTTGCCGAAAGCATGATGCTCCCTGCTCGTTCACCAGATGAGACGTAAGCTTAAATGAGAAAAGAAGTAGGCCGTGAGGATACCCGTCAGCACTAGCCAACAGTTGTGATTGTGTCTTGAGTGTAAGGTAGGTTGACTGAGGTGTAGAAAACCATAGGAAATGCCGCTGCCATCGCCAGTGACCGACTTCGGTCCAGCGTATAATGGGCAGGAAGGTGTGCTCGGATTGGAATGCGCCGGCCCCTCCTTCTCCCTCCCCACCAACTTCGGCGAGTGTCCCGTCAGCAAGCGCCGCTTCTTTTCCTTCCTTCCCTCCCTTAGGTGCCTTACTCCCCTCCTTGCAGTCTCCGCCTCGAGTGTCGGCAGTGCGTCATCCCATTCTCCTCTCACAGATTGCGCGCCGTTTGCTCCAGCATCGGACGTCTTTTTCAAAGACAAAGACAACAAAGAAAACTGATCGACGTAAGACCGAATAAGGATATATGAGCATTCTAGTGCCTGCGACAAAGTCGTAAGTCGTCGCCCTCATTGGCCACGGCATACCTAGCCCCAGTCCTCTGCCGGCTCTGGCAGGAAATCACTGGATTCTCTCTGCGCCAATCATGGACCAAAACCGGCATCCGAGCCAGCACAGGGCACGGGTTCGTCACATTGTCCTGCTTGCCAGAGAAAGCCGCAGTGAAGGCAGCGCCGCATCTGAGTGGGCAATGGACTGAAGGCTGGATCTCCCTCCCGCTCATTCCTGCGCGCGGGGCGGCGGCCCAGTCTGTGACCCCAATGGAAGGCGAAGAACATTGATGGAGTGGGGCTGAAGCAGTGAGATCTCATGGCACCTCAACTCCTCGACGACAGCGACAACGACGACGACGACGATAATGAGACCAAGTCGAATGAGAGTCGGATTGGACGAGTCGACGGGTTGACTTTTACTTTACTGGGTCGCCGCGTTCGTCCACCGCCTCTTTATACTTACTGCCTACCTTGGCCACTTCATCCGGCTTCAGCGACGTCTTTGCTGCACAATGAGCTGGCAGCCTCCAACTGGAAGGCCCCACTCATGTACAACGCGTCCATGTAAATGGCTCCGCCGGTTCCAGATGCCAGCAAATAACCCAGCTGGCCGTGACTAGCAGTCGAGCATATCGATAGTTGGGTACGGCTAGGTACTACATGCTGGTTCTCCCATGCGACGGCGTCGTTGCTACACGGTGAAATCTGCAACCCATCGCTAGGTGCATCATTCTCCTTCAAACTACCCTTACCCTTTGGCTCTTGCTCGCTTGCTCCCACCCGACAGCTAATATTGGGTACACTAGCAACCCCGTCTGGCTGCACAGGCTGCACTCGATTAGCTGACCATCAGATGAACATGGCTCGGTGGCATTGCTTTAACAGAACGACAAAAGTCGGAGTTCGACAGTAGACCAAAGTCGCTGATTCTACGACTTGTCCACGATGCTTTCACTTTGACTCTCGACTGACGCTCGATTCCATGTGGTGGTTAAAAAGCATGCACGGATTTTTCCCGTCTCACCGTCTCCGCATGCCACCATGCCCAGATCAGCCTCCGATCTAAACTGGAACTCTTAATGTTCAGGGGTGTTTCTTATGTAGGATACAATGGAGGCCAGGTGGATGCAAAGTGTCGGTGAGGGACAACCCAAAACTGAGTTTCCTGATTGCGATGAACCCCAGCTTACACACAAATTGCCGATTGGTGCGCCTTTTTCGACTATGTTATCTCAGCTTTAAATTTGTTGATGAAGGTATGGCTCTTGCACTCTTTCGGCCGCATCCCGGGAAACATCAGGGTCGTTGCCATGGCTTGCTAAAGTGCCTCCCTCAGTTTGCTTATATGAACAGCATTGCGCTTTTCAGGACGAGAAAGAATTCGAAATGAATACAACTCGCAATGCTTCGAGTATGGGAGCGAACAATAGCAGAGATCTCTGCGGGAGAGTATCAAGACAACTGAGGGGATCTGGAGTTGCGTTCGATTATGAAGCCAGGCCAGCTTTTCCACAGAACGACATTGGGCAATTGGGCAACTTATCTTGCTCTGTAAAATGCCTGGGCTTCAGTGACGTGGGATTCAGCAGCAGAGGTACGTATAAGTACCCTTGTCGGGGCTGGGGTCCGATGGTGGGGTTCATTTAGACACAGCCATTGGGCAGATCTCCCGCATGCTATTCCTGGGGAAGTTGCGATCGGATTTTGAAAGGCCAGACCTCGGGGCCCGGCAGTAGATATGATCCGAACAATTTGCACCGTCGGTCGGATCGGGGTGGTGGCCGTGACTGACAATGGCTCACAGCTGTTAGCGGTGCTCCCAGGCTCAACCACAGGGAAGTGGCTTGGTAAGGTAGGCTCTTAGTCCAGGCCCAAGCGCGACGAGCTGAGTGGCTGCGCAGGTCGGAAACTGCTGTGAGATAATCCTCGCCAGTGTCCGCCATTCTTTGCGACTTCGTTCTGGATTCACTTCACACCTGTTTTTTTTTCTTGGGTGCTCTCCCAGCCGAACCTACAGACCTTCTCTAGCATACCCTACCTTACGCAGGACCGCAATAGCCACAATTCCATCTCGGCAAGTCGAGCGACTGTCTGCAATGCCGAGAACCTCTGGCTCCAAATAGTAATCGCTTCACCACCCAACGCGCCGTCGCCGCCTCTCGCAACTCCCCCCGTTTTCTCTCTCGCCTTCCCGTTCCTTCTTTCCTTCCCCACCCAACACAACAGCTCTTGCCCCTACATGCGCACCGACGTGACCGAATCGCAAATTATTCCCTTTCCGCTTCTCGATTTTCTCTGAGCCACCGCGGCAGCTCGAGGCTTTGGACGACACGAACCGCGATACCGTTACACATCCCTCGTCTCGCGCACTCGCCCTACTTGCTTGATGGAGGATGAAGCGCTGGCGACGGTGAAGATGGAGGAGGTAAAGATTGAGGATGGCGTCGCGCCAAACGGAGTCAACATGGAGCGGGACCCCAGCAGAACATCGGCGGAGAAGAAGAGCAACCAGGGGTCCCGCGCCGCTAGCATGTCGCCCGGTGATGGCATGGTCAACGGCGAAGGCATCTCGACGCCAGGAGGCGCACAGCGACCGAAGCTCTCGCGCAAAGCATCTCAGAAGCCCGTTAAGCGCGAGTCACCTCTCTTCCACGACCTGCCAGACGTCACGGAGCAATCGTGTAGTACCTTCCAGGTCATACCCGATTGCCTCTACGGATCCAAGCACATGGGTTCGACCGACAACGATGCTCTCGACTGCGACTGCCGTTCCGAGTGGCGTAAGTTTCCCCGCCCTCCCTCGCTGCTGCGCGGCACCATCGCGAGCGGCCCCTAACTGAATATTGCGTGTCTACAGATGAAGGAAAAAATTTGTCATGTGGCGAAGACTCCGACTGCATCAACAGGGCGACGAAGATGGAGTGCCTTGCGGGCGCCGGAAACTGCGGCGACGGCTGCCAGAATCAGAGATTTCAGCGGAAGCAGTACGCCAACGTTTCAGTCATCAAGACAGAGAAGAAGGGGTTCGGCCTCCGCGCCAACATCGATATGCAGGCCAACGACTTCATTTTTGAGTACATTGGTGAGGTCATTAACGAGCCAACCTTTCGACGACGGATGATGCAGTACGATGACGAGGGTATCAAGCATTTCTACTTCATGTCGCTGACCAAGCACGAATTCGTCGATGCGACGAAGAAGGGCAACCTGGGGCGCTTTTGCAATCACTCATGCAACCCGAACTGCTACGTCGACAAATGGGTCGTTGGGGAAAAGCTGCGTATGGGCATTTTCTCCTCACGCAAAATTAGAGCCGGCGAGGAGTTGGTTTTCAACTACAATGTTGACCGCTATGGAGCTGACCCCCAACCCTGTTACTGTGGCGAGGCGAATTGCACTGGATTCATTGGTGGCAAGACCCAGACCGAGCGGGCGACCAAATTGCCCCTTACCACAGTGGAGGCGCTCGGCATTGACGACGGCGACGCTTGGGACACAGTGGTGGCCAAGAAGCCGCGCAAAAAGAAGCCCGAGGAAGACGACGAGGAGTACGTCAATAGTGTGCAGGCTAGAAGCCTCGATGATGATGGCGCGCGGAAGGTCATGGCGACTCTGATGCAGTGCAAGGAGAAATGGATTGCCGTCAAGCTGTTGCAGCGGATTCAGCAGTGTCAGGATGAGCGGGTGATCCACTCCGTCATGCGCATGCACGCCTATCAGATCCTCAAGACAACGCTCAACACCTTCATCGACGACCACAACGTCGTTCTTCAGGCTCTCGATATTCTCGACAAATTTCCGCGACTGACCCGAAACAAGATCGAGGGCTCCAAGATTGAAGCCACCATTGATGGACTCACTCGGTCAGAACATGAAGAGGTCAGCTCAAAGTCGAGGAGACTGCTGGAGGAATGGTCCAAATTGGAGCTCGGTTACCGCATTGGGAAGCGAAAGTTTGACCCCAACGCGTCTGCAACAAATTCCTTCCAAGAAAGGCGCAATATGGACCGCGAAGAGGACGTGACTGCGAAATCGACCCCTGACCCGCTCCAAAATGTCGAGATACCCAAAGGACCTCGAAGCAACGTTCCGCAGCGGAACACACATTTCTTCAATGGTCCTCCGCGCCAACGCAGACACCAGAACTTCAATGGTCACGGAGCACTACCAGCGGGATGGTTTACAGCGACGGATCAGCGCGGAAACACGTACTTTTACAGCAAGAACGGTGCTACGACCTGGCAACGTCCCACCAAACCCGCAGACGCCCAAAAATCGACCCCCAAGGCGTTGCAGGAGCAGCAGCTGCTCAAGAATATAATCGACCAGGTCACGAAGGAGCAAACCCCCAGACCTTCGGCATCACAGACACCTCAGCGAGCAGTAACTCCCGTCCAGGAGAACAAGCAGGAAAAGTGGCGCTCTCTCAGCATCGACAAGCAGATGAAGATCTATGAGAACACGGTACGTGAATCTAGTGAGCGCTTCTGAGCACCTGCTAACTTACTTTGCAGCTTTTCCCCCACGTCAAGTACGTCGTCGATAAGTACAGACATAAGCTTCCCAAGGACGATCTTAAGCGACTCGGCAAGGATGTCTGCAAGAAACTCGTCTCATCAGACTACAAGCGCAATCGAATCCAGGATCCTACGACTCCACTTGACCCGAAGCAAGCCAGGAAGGTCAAGGCCTATGTTAAGGACTTCTTGGACAAGGCCATTGTGAAGTTCAGGCATCTCGAGAAGGAGAAGGCGACTGCTGAGGGCGACGTGGACAAGTCAAAGGACGCTGCTGCCTTGGCAAACAAGGAGATTGATTCCCCGGCTGACGACGTTGTGCTGTCTGACAACGAAGAAGGTGGATCAATGGGTAGTCCTGAACGTAAACGCAAGCGTGAGGAGGAGGTGGCTGAGTCACAAAGCCTAACTCCCTCGGAGGAGCCATCTGTGAAGCGCTTGAGAGAGTTTGATGCGGACGGTGCAACGCCGCCGCCGCCGCCGCCACCACCTCCTGCTGATCCAGCACCTATTGCTACCCCTGAGGAGTCGTTGTCAGAGGAGCAAAGAGCCCTTAGGGAGCAGGAAGAGGCTCTGATGCGAGAGAATGAGGAGTCAGAACGGCTGGAAGAGGAAGAGCTCACCAAGGCTATGGACATTGGGAGCATGCCCCAAGAGATAAATGAAGCGTCGCTGAACGGTTACCCCCGGACTAACGGGGCAGAGGCTGTCGATGTGTCCACGCTCGCCAATACGAGCAACAAACTGGCTGGGCAGCAAGAGGTCCTGGGCCACTGATCACGACCACAACACAACGCTTAGGACGCAACACTTGAGAGATGTGGAAAATCAGAGTGTGCGATATCCAATGAAGGGAGGGAGTGCGTCAGCAGAGTAAACAAGCCGGACGTGGGGACTCTCGGCTTTGTATGTATAAGCAAGCATATTGCATCTCTTTTCTGGAAGGGAATCAGCAGACCCCAGCCCAAGCAAACAAGCACATCGGAATGCTTGGTTTTGTTTAGGTTGTTTTGTTACGATTATAATGTGGATATTTCTCGGTCATGGAAAAGCTGGTCGTGGCCAAGTGAAGCTGTACCTACCTTTAACTATCTTACCTTACCACTGGGCGATGCTCCCATCTTTTTCTTTCTTTCTATCTTTGGAGTGGGCGGCATCGGCATGGCATCCCCACGGGCGGGCACTGGGTTCTTTCATGTAATCTGGGCAACATGACGCAAAAGTCACAGAACAAGCAAAGGCGTGTTTTTTTCTTGTAAAAAAAAGGCAAAGAAATAGCATAGGTTAAAATACCTGGGAATTTTGAATGTGAAGAAAGACACTGAATCATTTTCTGTCTACCTTCCGCTTGATAAGGGTCACAAGGTGCAAGGTGGGGGAGGGTTGGATACAGGATCAGCATGTACCATTTTCCCTTTTCTCTACTTGTGATCCCTACAAAGTGCCTTGAGGCTTTCCATCTTGCTTTTCCAAACCAAATAAACTTTTTTTTCTGTCGAGGACCGACTTGACCATCCCATGATGAACGCCGTGCTGCCTATGCCAGATGCGAAATGCCTTTAAGGAAAAAGTGGCAGAGCTGATACCACATGTCCATCTATCGTTGGTCCCGAGCTGTACGCTCCAACAGGGAAGTATGAAGAACGCTCACCAAACTTCCATTCCCCCTTCCCCTCCTTTTCAGATCCCAACACACACACCACACACCATACACTCGTCGGTAAACCGGCTCTCCTAATCGTCATAGTCGAAGTCCTCTACCTCAGACACCTCATCCTCACTACTACTGCTCTCGTCCCCGCCGCGCTTCCTCTTCTTTTTGGCCGGGAGTTCCTCAGGCGCCTCGTCCTTGCGCATAAACACAAAGCTCCTCGCGGGCCTCTCCTCGCCCTTCCACGCCGCCCCGCTCGCCTCTCCTGACTTCTTTTCCCGTATCACACCAATTGTCCTCGCGTGCTTATACCCGGGGTACGCCCTCGCGTGGAACTTGAAGCTCTGGAGCGCTTGCAGACCCGCATGGCGGCCGAGATCCTTCACGTTCCAGAGGGTGTACGGGTCGCCCTCAAAGAGCGTCACGACGATGGTGCCCTTGGGCGCCAGGCTGGGGAGGGCCGAGTTGAAGAAGGAGACGAGAAGCTCCTGGTTGTAGCGAACCTGTCGGTTGCGGTCTGTGGATTTGCCGCCGACGTGAGGGAAGTTGAAGAGGATACGATTGAAGATGCCTTGCTTCGTCGGGGCCGACATGTGGAAGCCGCGGTGGTTCGGGGCGGATTTACGGGTAAAGGGCTTCATCGAGCGGGCGTCGATGTTATAGAGGACCTTGTTGTTGTTCTGGACGGGGGGTTTGTATTTCTCGTCGTCGTCCTCGTCGATTTCGTCGTCCGCCTTCTCCTCTTCCTCCTCGGCCTCTTTTACCTCCTCCGCGTCTGGTGACTTGGCTTTGGCAGGTGTCTTGCTATCGTCTTCGTCGTCCTTGGCATTGTCCTTACCATCGGCCGCTTTTGACGTTGTGGGTTTTGTCGCAGTGGCCGTCCCGTTGATCTGCGCAATGTTCTCCGCGGCGTGGGGGTACTTCTCGAGCAGCTCCCGCTCGTTCTTCTCAAGGACCGTCGCTGTCAGGTTACGGCAGCCGTGGTGCTTTGCGAGGCTCGCTGCGAAGCTGAGATCGCCCTCGCCGATCAGCAGGATGGCGTCTTCCTTGGAGAAGGGAATCACGGGCTCCTGGTTCTGGTGGTACTGCTGTTGCGCCTTCTTCTTCTTGGCGTCGCTCTCGATGGCGTGGGCGCTCTGGGAGTTCTTCTTCTTGTTGTTCTTGCCATTGCTGTTTTGCGGTGCGCCGCCGGTCTTTTTCTTGACAGTGTCGACGAAGTGGCTCTTATGGTTTATGGCGCCGAGCTTGCGCTTCTTGGCCATGGTGGGCGAGTGATGTGAGTAGGCTAACGACTTGGCGAAGGAAGGATGCGGTGTAATGGGTAGTCGGGATGCGGTCCGGGCCGTTTCGTGGTGGACGAAGCTGGGTTAGGTTTCGAGGCGACGTCCGGCGCACTGCGTGTATCGCGGTGCAAAGTGGGATGTGGTGGTCGGCGGTGGTGCTGTTGCTACCCGTGTCGGCGCCGGGGGGGTGGGAAGGGTGTGTATGTACCCCACGCTCTGTCGTACCCTGACCGAGAACTTTTTTTTTTCAACTTTTCCCGTCTCTTTCTGGGGCTCTCTTTCTGCCGTTTCTTTTGCCTTTTGCGACCCTATGGCGGTGAGCAGGCATAGCGCGCTCCGGCGGCTCGGGAATAGACGAGGTTCAGCCGTGGAACCCTCATTTTTCCAAGCTCTCATCAGTGTCAGTGGCCTCCTTTAGAAACCCACCCCTGGAACGGGGAAGTGGATTGGGCGACACCGGATTATGGATAAGCGCAGGGGCGGATAAGAAAGAGGGCGGCGGGAAAGGTATCCGGTACACTTGGTGTGCGGGAGGAAATGTGCTGTCCAGGCGCCAGGGGGGCTCGTGGGCGTCCGCACCCCAGGTGTGCGTCGCGAGATGGACCTTCAAGTTTGCAGGCGCTGCAGGGAGGACGAGGCTCTGACTACCTTGGATCTATCGGAACCCGGAAGACAACTCATCGTTTGCGAGGTGTTTTTGTGCTTCGTAGCATTGAGGGTTGGTCCAGACCAACGTCTGTGTGATCTATTGAACTCATTGCTTTTGGATGCATCTTTGGGTGAGGTGTCTGATGGTGGTTGTTGTTCGTCCCTTCTTCTCAAGGTAAGGTACCTTAGGTTAGTGTCGCTCTTAGTCAAGTGGGTCGGTACTTGTTTGAATGAGGCTTACCTGGCACTCCTGGAACCTTGACCAACGGGTGACTTACCTATCCGTTTCCCTCCGCAGACGCAAGGGAGGCGAGCATGCCAGGAGTCTGATTGCGTACAAGGCGCCAGGGAAAGTTGCGAATATTTACCAGCCGCCCCAAGCCGGTGGGTTGATGGAGAGCGTAAATCGAGACCGGGTACGGATACTTCATTGCCCACCTAATGTGATTCTGTTTCTCGATGCATCAAAGCCGGAAAGACTTGTCGGTGAGCCAGCCACGGAACAACACCACGCTGCACCTCGCTGGGTCCTGAGAAAGAAACTTGCACCCGTCCGGTTGGAGCTCGGGATCTGGTCTAACGACAGGCCCACCCGGACGGGACCAGGACCTATAAAAGTCGCCCCGTCCGACAGGTTGTCCGAATCGCCCGAACAGGGGACCTGGGAAGGAAAATATCTTCCTCGTGAAGCTCTGTTAGTAAGGTGCAAATGGGTCGGTGAGCAAAGTCGACAGGAGGGTTTCGCTGTTAGAGGCATAGGTACAGGCAAGACAGCCAAGGCGAGAAGGTAACAAGTACTGCTTGTCACTTGTTGCACATCCAACGGTGGGAGCACTGGCTTTCCTTATTGTGCGGCTTCGTCACGTCGGAACGGAGTCCAGTATCTTGTACCTAAGTGAATGGGAAGGAAGCGGAAACGGGAAGCGGGAAGCGGGAAACGGGAGTCGGGACAGGCCAACCTCGCTACTGGCCGCTCGTCTTCATGATGCCGGACGCGCTTCACAGCTGCTGCCTTCGCTGAAGATGAGACTGAGCTGGACAATGGAGAGAAGCAGCAAAGAAGCAACGTCTAGGCTTTCTGGATTTTGGAAGTGTCGTCATACGCGTTTAGGCGTTTAGCAAAGACAGCAGAAGACAGGACACCAAGCGCAAAGGCAGGCGGCGATAATCACAGGTCTAAGTGATGATATCAAACAGCGAGACCGCAGTCATTCACCATTGCCCAGAGATGCAACTCAGGCATGCTGGCCTGTTGGCATGCCAAGTTGCAAATCCGCCGTTGAGAAGACCCGAGCGAGCCAGGCCAGAAAAAGGGCTTACACTGAGATGATTGCGAGGTACGTGACAGCACTTTGGACGGCCAGATGGCAGAATTCATCATGTACTGGGTACCTCTTGCCTTCTTTGCCGACAGGGGTTGCAGGCTATTTCCGGTCAACGGATTATCCAGCCCTCCGGGCAAATCAGAGCGCGGCAAATCATGCCTACTCCTACCAGATCGGTGTAAGTGTGTGCAGCACAGTGCTGGGCTGGGCCTTGCCTTCCGCCTCGCTGTAGCAGGGTGGTCACGTCTGCTCCTGCCTCTGCTGCGCTCCGCCTGGTATTATTTGCAAAAGGCAGGAAGGGGAAAAAAGCGAAGCAATCTTCGTTCCACGCTCCCAATTCAACACCTCATTCGCGCTGCTGAAATCTTACAGCCGTCTCTGCGCACGGGTCTCATCTTCATCCTGATTCCATTTCTTCCTCTCTCAAGCTGGTCTCTCATTGAGGAATTCCGGTCGTTGCAGAGAGAGGCCAGGCGGCTGTCTTTTTCTTAGCCCACACCACTACCATCCCCGTTCAACCCACACACTTTGGTCCTGTTCTCCGAACAGCCAACAACAGACTTCTTCAACCCAAAGCACCTTCCTGACCCTGGGCAATCGCGCTTGCTCACGTCTTTCCTGAGATTGACCGAGACACCTTCGGTCGCCTCATATCCCAACTTTTTCCTCCATAACGCGCGCTCTACACTACCTTGACCATCTCAGACGCCCCCATCTCATTACACCATACCCGCTCTCACTTTTGCCTCCACATACCCCCATTTCTCCCGTCTTCCCGTCTCTTTCATGAACGGTCACCGTCATCATGTCAGACGTTGAGACACCGGAGCAGTCTTTTTCGACTCCAACGCCTCAGCTCACTCCCAAGGCCAAGGGCCGCGGTAGGGGTCGGGGCAGGAAAGCTGTCGCGCCTAAGAAGGAGCCGCCCAAACCCGCGGCCACAGCCGGCACAGGTCGACGCGGCCGCTTCAAGCAGTTCTCAGACGACAAAGTCCAGGCGAATTATGAACGTCAACGCGAGCTCAAGGCACAGTACGCGGCTCTCGCCAATGCCGTGAAGCCTGCGCTACAGGACCTGGCTTCGCGCTCCATCGACACACTCACGAATGACAAGAACTACCACACAAAGGTGCCGGAATTCAAGGTCATCGAGGACCACCTCGGCGGCCGCTTCGAACGATCCCTCCTTTACTTGGAAAATAAGCTGGCGACTGCCGCCAGAACAGTCTTCAAGTCCAAACATGTTCAGATCGGTGCCGTTCGCGATATTTACAAGGTACGTGAGACCCCGACTGATATGTCATGTTTTTTTCCCTCCCCTGGTCCTCCGCTAACGTGATCCGCGGCATTAGAACGGAGTTGAAGATGTGGAAGACAGATTTTTAGATGCGCAACTTCACCGCCTCAACCTTCTGGAATACCTTCATGACCACGGTCTTCCTGTCGACGTAAGTTCATTCTATTTTTCAGATTTAATTTTCCCGCGTGTCTCGGTTATTCACACTGGCCTCAGCTCGTCGACGCCGGCTGGAATTACAAGCAAATTTCGGACAAGGAAGCCGAAGAGTTCGGCATATATGAAGTCTACGTTGACGGAAAACTCGTTCCCTATCCTCAACTCGTCGAAGGCACCGAAGCCCACGCTCTTAGGCAGGCTACTTGGGCGGAGCCCCAGACGGCGAAGGAGACTCTTGCACCTCCCTCCGCGGCGGCGACTGGAGGACGAATCAGCAAGCGCAAGGCCAACCAACAACCTGATGGCCAGCCGGCTTCCAAGAGGTCTGCCGCCGATGTCGCGCCTGTCCGCCACATTGCCGGTATCATGTCGGCTCAGCATGCTCCCATCGAAGACGAGTCAAATGAGAGCACACCAGCCCCCGAAGGTCCTTTAACCGCTGACCAAAGAGAACCCGCCTTGCCGGCAAAGGCATCAGAGCCGGATGAATTCGGGTGCAGACAAGTCAACCGGCCGACAGCCAAGAACGGTGCGAGCATCGCGAATCGCCTCATTGTCCCCCCATCATTCCAGTTCGACGACGACGAGATTGGATTCCGTGACTCTACCAACTCCCCTAGGCATGGAGCCACGCTCGCCAAGCGCGGGAAGTATCTTGGAAAACCGAACTCAAACACCTGGCATTTCGATCCTCTCCTTGCTCGTTGGGATGCCAGAGATCTTGAAGAAGAAGACTACGACTTAGAGCTCGTACAGAAGCACGGCACTCACCCGCGACTGGGTTGCTTTCTGCCCACGAGCAGAAATGACGCAGAGCCTCCAAAGACGGAAGCAGAGCCATTGCATCCTACTGTTTTCCTGACTCCATCTGGCAAGACCATCCATGCCTCTCGTATCGTGCCCATTGCAAAGGTCGATATTGCGCTCGCCGACAAACCATACTCGGAAAGAATGAGTGTAATTCTCTCTTCCATCTGTGAGAAGGAAGACATCTCTCCCGAGGACATCGAGGGGCCTGAGCTCAGGGCTCTAAAGGAAATCCAGGCAGAATACGCCGAGCAGCGACTCATCGCCGAGTCAATCAAGGAATCCGAGCCCGCGAGTCTTGAGGACACGCCTGCCACTTCGCCTCTCCCTATGAATGATTCTGCCCTGAACATTGCCGGTCTAGACGAGCTGATCATGGCTGCCGAAGCCGTCGAAGCTGAGGTCAAGGTTGTTGAATCTGTCGAAGAAAAGCCGGTGATTCTACCCGCTCCGACCCCCGTCAGACCTGCCACTCGTGCTTACGACGCTATTCGCGACATCTTTGGAGCGTCCGAATCAGCTACCGTCGAGCCCCCAGCTCCCGTCGTGGTGCCGGAGCCTATCGACACCACTGCGCTCGCAATCCTCGCTGACGCATCTACTTCTTCGTATTCCACTCAGCCCGTTGACATTGTCATGGTTGATGCTGCTGTCAGCCAACCCATCCCAGTCGATGGTCCTCCTCCTCATCATCATCATCACATCGACTCGGGCTACGTAGTCCAGCCCATTCCCGCTGAATTCCGCATCCAAGCCCCGCCTTCAAACGACAGTGTCGGCTGGGTCGAACCCCGAATCTCTTCACCAGGTGCAGACAGTCGAATTCATCCGTCTATCGAGACATCGTCGATGAGAGATCCGTACTCGAATCAATTACCCCCCGCTCGCCCAGTCGAGATGTCTCAAATGAGGTCCTCCATCGACGCCACCAATGATACCCGCCGGCACTCCATGTACCACGAGCACAATGCTCCGTCGGCCTTTAACGAGCAACACTTGCCTCATCCTCACAATCAGCAGCACCTTCCACAAGCAGACCCTATGATCGACCCGCGTCTTTACTCTGCACCAATGGATGCGTCAGCCGCACACCATGAATATCAACAACAGGCTTACGGTCAGACCCAGCAGGGCTACCAATTGCCGAGCATGCCAATGCAAGGAGGACCGATAGCACAAGCCTCTCCTCAACTACAACAATCTGGCTCTACGTCCCGTATGCCATTTACGAACCCCTCTCAGGACAGGAGCTCGCCGCTTCCACCCTTGCGACCGTCTCGTGGCCGCAAGAGTGCTCCTGCTGCACCAGAGCAAAGTATTCCGCTTGAATCACACCAAATTCAGCAGCAGCCGCCGCCGCCGCTGCCGCCGTATATGAACACCAACAGCGGCTCGTTCTACCCTCCCGGTCCACACAGGCCATATCACAACGGATACACCCAGGAGCAACCTGGTTTGCCGCCCATGATGAACCAGTACCCACCATATCCAGGCTCGCAACCCCCGCCGCCACCTCTGCAGCAGCAACAGCAGCAGCCGCCTTATGGGCACCCAGGCATGTCCCCCACTTACTCGTCCATCGCCCCGGCACAAAGCCCTCCGAATCTTCAGTTTGTTCCCCAGCAGCCCAACGAGACGTCGAGGAGCCGGGCCGGAAGTGGTTCATCCACTCCTAGTGCACAGAGTAACAGCAAATACCCCAAGCTGGCGCCCGCTCCCCTGCCTGCTCACAGAGTAGGCTGGCCTCAAGGCCCGGAGCTGCGAACCGTTCAGTATGACTACAAAGAGAACATTAAGGATTATGCGCCTACGGAGCCGCCCCCGCGCCGTGGCCCTGTCCAGATTCGGGGCTGGAACATAAACAATAATAGGATTCAGCGCCAGAAGACAGATGAGAACGGCGACGAGCGACGCGGATCCCGCTAGGGGCAGGATCGTAAGTCGCCAGAGCCCAAGCCAAAGAAGCAAGGTCCAACAGGCGCGGGAGTGAAGAAGCCTGCTGCTAAGAAGCCTCCTGCTAAGAAGGCGGCCCCAAAGAAGACGGCCCCTAAGAAGACGGCCCCTAAGAAAACGGCCCCAAAGAAGACGGCAAATGCCAAGAAGTCAGGTCCCAAGAAAACCTGAGTAAGCAATCAAGCATCAAGTTGAGAACGGACCAGAAACAAGCGGAAAGAGAATGTACTATGATCTTATCTCTTTGGACATTGGTCTTACACATCCGAGAATATCTTCACCGCATTATTTGTATGCGGATGAAAGACAGAGGGAGGGAGAGAGCTAGGGCTGAAAAGCCAGGTTGAAAAGCTCTTCGCATGAAATGGGAGCGAGGGCCGAGAGGCCGGTGTCAATTAAGGCCCCCACATATTTGGAATGATAATGAATACGAAAAGAAGATTTGGTTTTGAGGAAACGTGTTGTTGGATGTTGCTTGTGAAGTAAAGCCGTGATTATGATGGTCCCCGCATCACATGGCATGGTTCAGTGAGTGATATTGCTCGATGAACAGATCTTGTCTTGCTATATGTAATCGACAGACTGTCGAAATGATCGATGACCAATGGAAACTCTTTGGCTGCAGGGTGAAATCAGAAAGAATGTATGATAGTGCGTCTGTGTGTGTGTGTTCGTTCACCTTGTTTTGGCACTTGCTATCTCTCAGGAGTACTCTCAAACACAGCTGTACATTGAGGACGGAGTTGGGGAACGGTAAGAGATGCCAAATGTTTCATAGATAATCAACGCATTGAAAATCACCGTTGCTTGTTCACTCGGTTTGAAAGCAGTATAAGTGTCCCATGCAAGCCTCGAGCGACTTCGCCTCCGAGTACGGGTCAGCCGTAGCAGTAGTATTGCCTAGAGCTCGTGAAGGTGTGTTGGAAGCTTTGGTAACTTGGCGTACCGTGTTGTAAGGGCACCTGATAATTTCACGGTGGGAATTTGATGCAAATGGAGCGCGAGCCACTTCAATTTCGTGTGTTTGATTACACTACAGTGTATCTGATATTACATGTATCCGAGCCTTTTTTTTTTCCGAGCCGGCGAATGGGATGTTTGAGACGATTTCCTCTATTATCATCTCCGACTCCTCCTGAGAAATTGTTACACACAACACCGCAAATGTAAACCACCGCTGCAAAATTTCTACTGCGTGAGTATCTGGGTGTTGTTGAAGTCTACGGCGCCGTCCAAACTCATCATCATGCTGGGATCACCGGGCATCAAACCACCGCCGTTCGGCAGGAGACCACCGGGAGCAGCGAGCGAGAGGAGGCCGCGGCCCAGCTCGCCGACGGGGTGCAGCGGGAGGACCGACGCCTCCATGGTGTTGCCGTCGAAGATGACCATGTTCTGGATGGGCTGCTGTGTCTGGCCAAGGACGTTGATGACGTCCTGCGCCAGCTGGCCTCCGAGGATGGCTGTGACGGGCGCCATCTCGCTGCCGATATTCTGCAGGAAGCCGCGCAGGACCTCGGACCGCAGCGTCTCTGAGGGTAAACCCAGCTGGGCGTGCTTGGCCGTGGCGAGCTTGGTGAAGAGACCGAGATCCTCCTTGGTATGGCTGGGGAGTCGGCCGTTGTTGAGGACCTGGAAATCCCAGAGGGCGCGGAGGCACGAGATGACGGGGCTGACGGCCTTTTTCCTGCGCGCGCTCTTTGCGTACTCCTCGGGTAAGGTGGCGCCGTCGCTGGCGAGGTACCAGGTCGAGTAGAGCTCGCGTTTGGTCACCATCTCGATGGTCTTGCCGCCCTCCTTCTTGGTGTTGACGGCGACGACGCTGCGTGTCCGCGTCTCGGGCGCGAGCTTGGTTGCGACGTTGCCGAGGTCCCGCTCGATGACGTAGTCGTGCTCGATGAGGTCGGAGAAGACGAAGCCGTACATGCCCTGCGTTCCCGCGGCGTAAAAAGCCCGCTGATGCAGGCGGGTGGCGGTGTTGATGATGTTGAGGGAGTCCGGGTCCAGGTCGGTCGCGATGACGATGTCGAACGCGGAGAAATAGCTCGTGCCCTTGGACTTTATGCCCTCGGCGTCGACGTGGACCTGGACGCGCGGATTGAGCTTCTGGATGGCGGCGGCGGCGGCCTGGGCGCGGTTCTGGCCGACGTGGTTCTCCTCCTCGGAGAGGAAGAACTGGGAGCCCAGATCTGATTCCGAGACAGGGGCGCCGTCGAGGATGGTGAGGGAGCCGATGCCGGCGAGAACGAGGTTCTTTGCAATCTCGTTTGCGAGGGCCTTCATGGTGATGAGGAGGATGCTGGCGCTGCGGATCTTCTCTTGGGCTTTTATGCCCCAGAGGCGGATTTGACGGTCGTAGAGAGCAATCTCATCTGGTGAAAGAATTAGTCCGTCCGTTAGGTCTCAGGAAGGAAGATGGCCAGGCGTACCCGCGCTCATGCCGGCGGCCGGAATATTGGGCATCATGCTGTCGTTCATGAATATTTGCTGCTGTCCGTTCTGCTGGAGTAGCTGGGGCATGAACATCTCGCCTGTGGGCAATATGCCGGGAAGGATCCCGGGCATGGCTCCAGGGATGACCTCCTGCAATGCTTCCGGGAGCACCTGGTCCATTGGCGCAGCTTGCATGCTGGGATCGAAGCCGTTGGAAGGATTGAGGAGAGGAAGGTGAGGGAGAGCGGTTCCCAGAGCTAAGACATTGCTCCTGGGAGCTGCGCTTTCTTGCGCGGGTTGCTGTTGCTGTATGGTCGTCTCTTGCGCAGGCGTCTCCTTCGGTTGCGTTTGCTCCTCCATTATGGGGTCGTAAGATGAGACAGACGTCGATTGGCAAAGTCGTGTGGAGTTCGAATGAAAGATGTCCTCGTGGGCTGCGTGGTTTGGTCACGATTCGTCAGAGCAGCGCAGAAAGTCATGCGCGTCGTGCTTTGGCTCGTAAGATGTATTGTCGCAATGAACCGAGAGATGAGAGGTGAGACGTCGACTGAGACCGTTTTTGAGTGCGTCATAGGAGATATGAGGGTGTATCGCGGTATTCACTCATCCAATCATGGAAATCGCAAGTAATTTGATGAAGTTGTCAGAAAGAAATATCCCGAACAGAAGGAAGTGATGGCAATATGCGAGTACGACCTCTCACCTCACAAAGCAAGGCTAGGGGTGGGATGAGTTCGCTTTGAGGTCGAGGCTAGGTCAGGTACCTAGAGCAAGCTTGGAAAAGGAAGGCAGCTTCGACAGCGAAATTGTTAACGCGACGACCTAAGGTAGGTAAGGTAGGCACGCTCGCAACGCAGTCCTCAGCGGGTAGGTAGCATGGATAGCGCGCTAAAGCCACGCTTAAGTGGTACCTCAAATCTGTAAAGCGTTTAATACTAACACGATGTATCTCGTAGCATTTTGCTGCCAACGCCCCTCTCTCCTTGCCTCGCTTGTTCTTGCAGGCACGAAACCCCGCGGTGGGCAGGGCCAGGGGGGGGGGGGCTCTTTAGCGGGTGCAGTACCTAGGGCGATCGATCCCACCGCTCTCACTGGCTGCCTGCCCATCATTTGCGCGCCTCCTGTCGGGACTAGACTGCTCGAGGGGGGACTTGGAACGGAAATCCAAGCACCAGTACCAGCAACATTACCGGCACCAGCACCAGCGGTCAGCGGCACGTCAGTCCAACTTGTATCATCGACCAACCATCTTTGCTTTTCCGCCGACCTGCTGACGACACAATCCGAGCTGCAACGACGGCTGTTCGCGCCAGCTCCGTCTGGCCTTCTTGTCTGCATTCACCCTCTACCCGCTTCTGCCACCTACAGCACAAGAATCGAGCTTTACCCATCACCCTCCGATTCACTTTTTGCGACGCAGGTCGACACCCTGGGCAGCAACCGCCCTTCGCATAGAGTATCTTGGTAAGTGTACCCTCGGTTCAGGCGGTTCCCCCCGTACGACCAAGTCATACCTTTGCGGGCCGCTGCCCTCGAGGCACCGAATCCTCTTCTGTGCTGCTACCTTGCCTTATCTGGAGATTTCTAACCCTTCTGCCATCTTCCAGTCGCCCCGATCGATAACCGTCCAGGTAGCTTGTCCAACAACCTCTACTATTTGCCCGCCGTCGCCCGATCCACCAAACCTACCGCCCGCCAAATCCAAAATTATCTCCCCTCGAACCGACGCTCCCACACTCACTACCGCTTACCAGACATTTAAAGTAACGAGCGCAGCACCAGGAGACTTTCACAGCCCGGTTTGTCTCCTGGCGCGTGCGTCGCTGAGCTCTTGAACCCTTTGCCGACGAAGCATGTCGTCACAACGGCCAGACCCGAGCCAAAATACCCAGAGGCGCGACGACGACTATCCGCCCTTGCCACCACACCGCAGGCTTCCCCCGCTACCCCAGATTCCCAGGGACAGAAGCCGCCTCACCTTCTCTCCGAGCACCTCACGACGACATCCCGGGGAGCCTGAATCTTACACTACGCAGGACCAGGCAGAGACCTACTACCAGCTTACGCGGCACATGGCAGATAGGAATTTCCAGGCTGAGTACGACGAGCTTGTGGGCAACAGTTTGAGTGGCTTTACGGCATTTATGTCTCAAGCGCAAGACGACTTTGGTTTCTCCCGGAATAGCAATCGTGGCTGGAACCAAAACTCGAACTTACTAGAAATCCTGCAAAACGACCAGAACGAACAGCGAGACGACGACGATACCCGGCGCCAACCCCTCCAGTTACCCGCAGTGTTTGGGTATAGGCCAGTCAGGACACTAAGCGGACGCCAGCGACTTGACGGCACGGAAGACGACTTGGAAGCTGTCAGAGCCCTGTGGAATCGGAGAGCCCAGTACAGCTCTTCACCTTTTTCGCCGCCCAGGATGCCACCCAATCTACCCCCCCCAAACCTTTCGCCTCTTCCTCCCTCGGAAGAGTATCCAGAGGAGAATCGGCGAGTGAAGAGGAGAAAGCTGGACTCTGAACGTATTGCCCAGAGCTTCAAGGGGTTTCGATATGGACGCTACGGCCAGGTTGAGTCAGGTCAACTGAAGATGGAAATTATGAGCTGCGACGGGGGACTTTATGAGAACGCTTCTCTTCACGTCCATGAAAATATCCTCAAGGACGACAAGACCGTCTACTGCACAGAGTCCAACCGCTGCAATATCATTTTGCGGCATCAGGGCGGAACTGCATTCAGCTTGAAGGAGCTTGTAATCAAGGCGCCGGCATCAAACTACTCGTCACCGTGAGTATCTCAAGCTTCTTCTCCATTTCTCGGAAGCCATAACTCACAAACATACGCAGCGTACGGGAGGGCATGGTCTTTGTGTCCATGGACCAGGATGAGCTCCTGAAGCGAACGGCACAGTATGAAATACAGTATGCTCCGCAGAGATCAGGTCGGACAACAGCTACACGGGCGCTTGCACCTATAATCTCAATACGGCATCACGAGGACGGAACGACTGTCACAAGAACGCACACTCGGCAGAGACGGCTGTATAGCCTTGGCCATGACGACGAAGAGAATGAGCATCGGACGGCGCAAATCCCGATGGAGTTCACTACACATTTGCCGCCCTTTAATATCACCACCGAATGCAGTTACGAAGAGACCGACGATGAGGATACCCCTAGAATCACTGTCAATCGGACAGCTCCCAATAGAATTGGATCCTTGCCGTTTGAGAGTGACAGCAGCGACGACGGCAATCCATTTGCATCAGACGAGTACGGCTTTGACGATTACTCCTTCACGAATAGGCGCCGAGATCCATCTGATATGTCTTTGGCAGAGGCTGTTGAGGCGAATCAGATGGCGACTCAAGAGGCCGTCCGGGCTGTCGGTGGTGAGCTCATGGCTCCGCATGCCAAGTTTTTCATTGAGAAGGATAAGAGCAAGTGCACAATACGCTTTGATCCGCCGGTTGCTGGAAGATTTATACTCCTGAAGATGTGGAGTAGCAGCCGTGCATCTGGCAGTAATATCGACATACAAGCAGTTCTTGCCAAAGGTTTCGCAGGACCGCGGTATTTCCCTTCAGTGGAATTGCGATGAAGACGTAGGGTGGTGTAATTAATGGGAGGAAGCAAATTCATGAATCTTTTAATGACGAGACGATGGCTGCATTATCTGTACTATTTTCTCGATCAACACGTCGACGGAGTTCTGGTTGTATGGCCAGAGACGGCTAGGCTGGTCAAGTGTGACGCGGAAGTCACTCATCTTATACCAAGTGCGAATATAACCTGATTGATAAATCATCACGAAAGCTCAGTTTCTGAACCTCAATTTCTGCGCGTCAAATAGTGCGTAATGTGTGACGGACGCTTTGATGCTGCAGGTCTGGTTCGGTGATTAATTTTCTCTTTGTGTCTCGCGCTCTCCGCCTCGTTGCTTCACTTTAATTACCTTGTCCACGTCTCGAGAAGATCAATTCGATCAGAATACACATGACCAATAGTCACCAAGAACACTGTATCTGAGAGCAGACCTAAGACGTATTATAGCCGGTTGTGAGTCGTGAAATGCCATTCAGGTTCCATTACCTTTGATTCCGTTCCCATTCCACATGAGCCCACCAATCGGCCGGCACCAATTGTCACTGTCTCTAGCTGAAGGTTAGCGCAAAACTCAGAGTGAACCACGCTCATCACGCTTTCACTTACACTCCCAGCCCAAGGTAACTGACTGCAGGGCAACATAACGTCACTCTCTAAACCAAAGCAATTTCCCTTTTTCCCCTCCAATCTTTGGCAATATTCCGAGCTCAAGGAACAAGTTCAGTACTCGAAAGGGGATAAGAGCATTAAAAGGAAGGATCGCCCGACATGAGCCACGAACTCACACTCATCGTCGCGGCGACGCGCAACATGGGCATCGGCGCCAAGGGTGGCCTGCCGTGGACGGGATTGAAGAAGGAGATGGCATACTTTGCGCGCGTGACGAAAAGGCTTCCACCCCAGGTACGCAACGGTCGTGTTCCTCTGCCCCCATCAAATGGTTGAAGTCCGGACTGGCCCTGCAGGTTGACTGTCCCAACCGGCGGGTTCCTCAGCATAACATTGAATGAGTTTTTTTGTGAGACTTCTGTTCGATGGCTGATGATGGGAATTACCTAGGCACCCTCGGACGCCCGCAACGCCGTCATCATGGGCCGCAAGACGTGGGAAAGCATCCCGCCCCGGTTCAGACCCCTCAAGGGCCGTCTCAACATCGTCATCAGCCGCTCGCACGCTTCCCCTTCCTCCCTGGACGCGCCGGCCGCGGCCACGGACTTTGATAAGGACGCCGTCAAGGTCGGCTCCCTGGAGCAGGCACTCGCGTTCCTCCGCTCCGACGCCGGCGACGACAAGCTGGGCAGGGTCTTTGTCATTGGCGGTGCGCAAATCTACGCCGCGGCGCTCGAGGTCCCCGAGGCGAAGAGGGTTCTGCTGACGAGGGTGCTGGGCGAGTTTGAGTGCGATGCCTTTTTCCCGCTGAAGCTTGGCGGCGGCGAGGGCGGCGAGGGGAGCAGGCAATGGGGCCGGATCGAGAAGAAGGGGCTAGACGAGTGGGTTGGGGAGGAAGTCGAGGGGGGTGAGATTGAGGAGAACGGGACGAGGTATGAGTTCCAGATGTGGGAGAAGATTTGACACGCTGGGGCAAAGGTGTTCTTCTCCTCTCTCGAGTCACTTGAAGGAATGATGAAGTGGCTACATTTGCAAATGATTGAGCTTGATGGAACCGTATTCATGTTCCTCCTTCCCGTTTCAATACCTCTAATATGCGTTGGTGATTGTACAAAATTACAAGGCCTACAGCGTTTCCCTTTTCCATGCCAGGCTTTAGAGTCCGCGACGTCCGTCGATGCTGTACATTGTTTCCGACATCTTCCAAAAATTTGATACACTGCAGCAGCCCACGCGTCGCTCCGGGTGTCTGCTCCCCCGCTACAAGTACGATCCCTCATCCTGAAAAAAGAAAGTCTACATTATGCCTTCGCCGCCGTCTCCTCCCGACCATCGTCAAGCTTAGCCACGTCGCCCTTGACCTGCGGGCCCACGGCATCAACAAGGGCAAACATCTCCCTCACATCCCTCTTGAAAACCTTGGCCGGCGAGACAAGGATATCTTCAACGGGCGCGGCCTCGAGGTCCTGCAGCGTGGCGCGCATCCAGCCCACCACGGCCGCGACCTGCCTCACGTCGGCGTCCTCGCGGCTCTTGAACAGGTTCCGCCACACCGCCGCGCCGAGGACTTTATCGTCCTTGACGATGCCCTCATCGTAAGCAGCGATGAGGCCGCGCCACTGAACAAAGATTTCTTTCAGGTAGCGCTGGCGGAGGGCGGACGAGGTCATGCCGTGATTAAGGTGCATCATGCGCTCGCAGTCAAAGAAGAACTGGTCGATGAACTGGTGCTGGAGGTTGCGGGAGCTGTCACGGTCGAGGCAGCGGAAGCGCGCGAGAACGAGGTACATGTGTAGCATCGTAGCCTGGGACCAGGAGCTGAAGCCGGGTTGGAGGTCCAGGACTGTTTTGGTTTGAATACACTGGTCAGCAGACTGCATTCGTCATTCAAGTACGGGGGCCCTGCCATCCGAGAGGAGGGGGGGGTATAAAGTGAAGGGCACAGAGAGGGAGACAGCAACGCACATTGCAACCACGGCCCGATCGGGTCTCCAACCTCCTCGCCCTCTGCCGTCATGCGCACCATGTCCTTGGCGCGCTCCTGCTCCGAGATCTTGTACAGCGCCGGCGACGAGCAGATCTTGTACAGCGCCTCGAGGCGGGAGGTGGTCAAGGTCGCGGCCATGGTCTTTGGCGCGGCGGCCATCATGCCCGACGCAATGGCCTGCTTGAGCCCGCCAGAGGACGGCGCCGCGTCCCGTCGTGTTGCCGTCTGGCTAAAGTACCTCCTCCCCACGGTAGTCGCCGTCGTCGAGGAGCCTGTCTTGGATGTCGACGCCGCTGCCGCCGCCCGGCGCGTCGTCGCGGCGATGGAGATGGGCTGGGACGATGCGGACGCGAGGTCGGCGGTGGCACGCAGGCTCCGGGCCAGGAGTCTTGCCTGGTAGCGGCAGCTTTGGCAGGCCATCTTGAGAACTACTGCTTTGGGATATTTGGGGGTGTTCGGATTGTCTTATCTCGGAATGCGCGTGGAAGGTGGGTTTGTCGGTTCCGAAAGTGTATGCGGGACAAGCGATCCGGGACTCGGGGTTGTTGGACGGGACTTGCAGGTTGGGCCCGGAATCGCGGAGCTCAAAAGTCTGGACGTCATCCAAAAAACAAAGTTCGTGAACACATCGAATTGGAAATTTCGAGCTAGCGAAGGTAGCAGCACATGCCAGGTCGGCGGAACTTCGGGCCATTCGTACCGTACCTTTCAGAAAAAACACGCACTGTAGAGGCACGCCATGTAAGGTAACTTCTCTGGGTTGACCAGGTGGCTATGTCTTTCTAACTTTCGTTCGATCTGGGAGTTTGGCACAATGTATTTGGAAGAGAGGCAGCAGTTTATCCCTACTCTCATCTGTTTTGAAGTTCCCTGGCTTGCGCAGGGTAGACCTTTCTCACGATATGCCTCATTCAAAACTCGTTAGTTTGCACCCTCACTCTTCCAGAGTCCTGAAAAGGTTCGTGTCCCATGTTGATGCAGAGATTAAACTCGTGGTGGCCACGTACGTATGTCGGCAATTCGATATCCTACAAGTATCAGATCCGGCCATACATCGACAGTTATAATGACAAGCTTTCTATAAAGCCTCTCTAATAGTCCGCCCAAAGTCTGAGTCTGAGCCTAAGCCAATTTAGACAAACTGCGGGCGCAGCCGTCATCTCATGGAACATTCTTCTGATCCCATCGGCACGGCTGTCCTCACTTAACGAATTTTGGAGAAAACCAGCGAGGCATTCGTCCCGCCAAACCCAAAACTGTTGGAAATAGCAACGTTGACCTGTTTCGCTTGTGCCTCGAGGGGTACCATGTTCATGGATCCCCCGACATTTGGGTTCTCGAGGTTCAGTGTAGGCGGTACGATATCCTTTTTTGGACGGGAGTCAGAAAAGCATTCAGTTGGCCAGAAAAGACCAAAGTCTGGGGAAGATAAGGGTTAAGGTTTCAGAAACCCATTAGCCGCGACTCACCTCTGCAACCGATAACACGGCGAACAGGGCCTCGATGGCGCCAGCCGCTCCTAGCAGATGGCCGACCGCGCCTTTGGTGCTGCTCACTGTGACCTGAGACTCTTCCGCGTACCCCTCCTCGCCCGTCATGATGCTTCGTATCGCGGAAGCTTCTGCCGCGTCTCCAACCTGCGTCCCAGTAGCGTGCGCGTTGATGTAGCTCACCTCGGCCGGCCGGACTTCCGCGTTCTTCAGAGCGAGCTTCATGGCGCGGAAGGCCCCGTGTCCATCCTCCCGCGGGGCCGTCATGTGATGTGCGTCGCCGCTGCAGCCGTAGCCCCTCACCTCCGCGTAGATGTTGGCCCCACGGGCCTTGGCGTGCTCGAGTTCCTCCAGGACCAGGACTGCCGCTCCCTCCGAAACGACGAAACCATTGCGGTCGCGGTCGAAGGGACGACAGCTGGCGTGGGGGTTGTGGTTGTAGGCTGTGGAGAGGGACCTTGCCCTCCCGAAACCAGCAAAGGTCAGGGGATGGATGCAGGATTCCGTCCCGCCAGCCACCATGACGTCCGCATCCCCAAACGCAATGAATCGCATGGCATCTCCAATGGAATGGGCACCCGTGGTACAGGCGGTAGTGACGGAATGGTTCGGGCCCTGCAATCCGTACTTCATTGAGATGTGGCCAGCGGCCAAGTTGATGAGAATTTTGGGGACGAACAGCGGCGAAACCTTCTTGTAGCCCTACCAGAACAGACTTTAGCTTGGCTTCGCTCGTCCTTCACTGCAGCGAGATCTCACTTGTTGATTGAACGCCAAGCTCGTCTCGTATATCTCCTCCAGATTTCCTATACCGCTGCCAACGCACACACCAGTGGCCTCCATGTCCTCTTGGCTTTGCGGATTCCACCCGGCATCTTTCATTGCCATGTCGGCGCAAGCTACGGCGTACTGGGCAAACCTGGACATGCGACGTTGTTCCGTGGCGTCCAGCCAGTCGCCCGGTCGCCACTGATCGGAACCTGGGCCATGGCTGGGGACTACACCAGCAACTGTGCTCGTCAGATCTTTCCAGCGGTTTTGCGGCTCGAGGTTGGCCACACTGGTGATGGCTGATTCTCCAGCCAACAGACGCTTCCACGTGGCGCGCACGCCGACGCCAAAGGGCGAGATGGCGCCGAGCCCTGTCACGACAACTCGTCGCATGATGCTTCTGCCATAGCCAGGGCCAATCTGTGTCGTGTTGTATTACAGATGCACCGACATGTAAACAGTGGAAAAGCAAACAACAAACTGGAAAGAGCGGGGATGGAAAAGCGGAGCACTGCGCTGGGTCGATGTGTCTATCGCAGGTAGGGATGACGGTAAGTCGATGCGGTAGGGTCCTCCGTGTCAATGGCTAAGCCAGCAGCTATGGTGATGGACCGTCGAGTATTCTGTAGCAGACTTGGAGTCGGAACAATGTTAGAGATGTGGAAAAAGCGCGGTCGGTTCGCTTCTGCTGCGCTGCACAGACGTAGGTTTAGCGCGTCTTGAAGGTAGAGTACGTACCCGCGATAACTGCAGACTGAGGTGTCGTCGGTCTGTCGCTGCAGGGGCTGCATGCAGACACTGTGCTGTCAGGGGCTGTCATAGCGAAGAATGGCTGGGTATTGCCATGCTGAGGCCACAGTGTCGGGATCTCACTAGGTAGCGTCGGTACCTTGCCTTATCTTGCGTTCCATTCACCTTCGCTGGCCCTAAAGGCGGGCAACTGCAGCGGGAAGCGGGGGACCCTAACGTAGCCTCAGTGGGGTTTGGGTCTGGATTCAGCCTCTACCTTAGGGTGTCAGGTAATTGGCTGGAACCGGGGTGTTGGCCTCTGCGTCGGAAACGCAACGCAACGCTGCGCAACGACACACGTTGCGACTGGCGCATGCGCTCTCTCCCTCACACTTCCCGTCTTCCTATCTCTGCCTCCCAGGAGCCGACGAACCTTTCTTTTGGAAGCCTTTCTTAATTTGCTTCTCTATTGCAGCCCCATGAGACTAGGAGGTGACATCCTATACCGCACCATCGGAACATCCTTCTTAACTTCGCTTCAGGAGGTGAACCAGTCCAGCCATTCAAAGATCGCAAATCCCTGGAGGACGACATATCATCTCACCAATCGTTCCATTGAGCCACGTTTCAGACATCAGCATCTTCCCGGCATTCCAAATCGTTATCATAGCTAGGTTGAGCAGCCAAGAGAAACAAACGAGCCCGCTAGGAACACAGGAACAGAGGGCAACTCGGAGGCTTCGCCATCCCACCTTGCAGGGTCTCCCATCGCATCTGCAAAACTCAATATCCGCCTCCATTGAGTCTATCCCCCGCAAACTTGCGGCTCTGTATCCAGACCTCGAGTCGCCACACCACACCGCATCTGTGCTGAGTTGTGCCGCAGCTTGGTTTCAGCGTCGCAATTGTTTCCCTTCTTATCAATAACCACCCGTCCTATGAGAACTCGGCAACCACTTCAAGCCCAGTCTTCTTGTCCGAGCAGTGTCACCAGTCGGGAAACTCGCCTTCCTTGAGACTAGCCCCCTTCATGCATTTGCCCTCGGCTTTCCTCGATATCTCTGGCCGTCTGATCATCTCACATCACACCCTCCACCACCATTCGCTCCAGTCATCGCCTTCGCCATCCCTAAGTCTGATCCCGGTCTGCGGATCGCCCGTCCTTTCCTGCCGAGCATCACCCTGTTTCTGAGAGCACGGGGTCCGCCTTCCTGCGTCGCACGCACTACTAAGCACCTGCGAGGTTGATTCATTCGAGTCCCACGTCCAATCACCCCATACTCATTGTAGGCCTCGAGAGACTCTGTACACAGCATAGGCTTATCGAGTACATACATCTCAGAGGCTCAATTTTAGCCTTTGCTTCATGTTTGGTCAGGGATCGGCGCACGTAGCTCGTACCTTAGCGGGTTCCCATCGTCCGTCTCCCAACGCCATCCCTGAGAAGTTCCGCACTCTCGCTGGCGCTGCCGTGACGCTCGCTGTCATGCTCGTCGGCTCTTTCGTCTCAGAGGAGTCGGCCGACAACAACCGCAAGAACCGTGCTGTTTCCATCTTCGGCCTCATTGTTATCTTGTTCTGTTTCTGGGCGACTTCGAACAACCGCAAGCGTATCAACTGGCGTCCCGTCATTGGTGGTATGCTCTCGCAGTATATCATTGCGCTTTTCGTCCTTCGCACCGGTGTTGGATACGACATTTTCAAGTTCATTGCAGATCGCGCTGGTGATTTGCTCGGCTACGCCAACCAGGGAACGGCCTTCTTGACTGCCGAGAGTGTGATTGACCTTCACTGGTTCATCAGTGGCGTCATTCCTCCCATCATCTTCTTCGTCGCCATTGTCCAGGTCCTGTACTTCGTCGGCTTCCTTCAGTGGTTCATTGGCAAGTTCGCGACCTTCGTCTTCTGGGCCCTCCGTGTGTCTGGTGCCGAGGCTGTTGTCGCTGCCGCCACTCCCTTTATCGGTCAGGGCGAGTCTGCCATGTTGGTCCGTCCTTTCGTTCCTCACATGACCAAGGCCGAGATCCACCAGATCATGACTTGCGGCTTCGCAACCATTTCTGGTTCTACCCTCGTCGCCTACATCAACCTGGGTCTCAATGCCCAGGCCATGGTGTCATCCTGCGTCATGTCCATCCCTGCCTCCATCGCCATCTCTAAGCTTCGCTACCCCGAGAAGGAGGAGACCTTGACCGCTGGAAAGGTCGTCATTCCTGACGATGATGAGCATGAGGCTAAGAACGCCATCCACGCTTTTGCCAACGGTGCTTGGTTGGGTATCAAGATTGCCGGTACCATTGTTGCATCGATTCTTTGCATCTTGGCTTTCATCGGTCTCGTCGATGGTCTGTTGACCTGGTGGGGTGGCTACATCAACATTAACGACCCTCCTCTGACTCTCAACCTCATCACCGGTTACATCTTCTACCCGGTTGCGTTCCTCCTGGGTGTTCCCCGTAACGGCGACCTCCTCAAGGTTGCGCGCTTGATCGCCCTCAAGGTCATCGCTGTAAGTGCAACTCCTCATCCACATGTTGCTTGACCTCTTGGCTTCAGATACTGACCGGTTTTGGAACAGAACGAGTACGTTGCTTTCACCGAAATGAAGAAGCCCGAGTACCTGGATCTCTCTCCCCGTTCCCAGCTTATTGCGACCTATGCCCTTTGTGGATTCGGTAACATTGGATCCCTTGGCATTCAGATTGGTATCCTTGGACAGCTGGCCCCCAGCCGTGGTGGCGATGTCAGTGCCATGGCGATTTCTGCGCTCATTTCTGGTGTTATGTCGACATTGACGTCTGCCGCTGTTGCTGGCCTTGTTGTCACTCACCAAGTGACAAATCTCGCTGCCAGTTCTTGATTGGTTTTGAGACGTGGAGATGGTTTAGCCGTTCCGCTGAGTCGACGTTGAAACGAGAAAACATGAGTAAAAAGATGTACGATGTCGAAGAAGGAGGGTGCTGTTCCAGCGCTGGTTGATGAAAGAGAAGAAAATATACGCAGTAGATAATAATACCCCTCTGCCAGCAAGCGAGCTGGATAATTCAACTCGGTGTACCAACACAACGTGAACCAGGAGTACTCATATACCCAGCTCGAATGTTGCTTGACTGCCAAAGACGTGATCGAGGTCGGTCTTGCGCGATCTCGGTTCTTTAATAATACGATCCCCCCCAAAAGCTCTCCTCAGTTCTAGCATGCTGCCCCGCCACCGTCTAAATCCGGCTGCTCTCCGTGAGTCAGGCCAAGGTAGTCTCCGCCGCCCCAAGCCTCATTGGATCCATTTCGAGAGAAAATTTTTGGCGAGCCAGGGCCACAGGCATAAATCCGCCGGTCTCCCGCGGGTGTCGGCGCTGGCCGTAGGCAGCATGAACGGATTTGCGACTTTCGAGCCTCATTCCTCTCGGCCTGGCCAAGTTTCGGCGAGTAACAACAATTGTTAGACAGTCGGTCCAGGGCTACAATCTCGAATGCTCCATCTATTCGTGAATTCCACCAAGGGTATTGGTCACTAGTCGCGGTTCGATCTTTTTTCAAGTGGACCGACGCGGGAAATGGATTCCGATTCGGCTTCAGGCGCATGAGTATTTCAACGACCTCTGCCGACAACATGTTGATGCGCGTCCCAACTTGGCTGACCAATGTTGTCCATATCGATCCACTTCATGCGATCAAATCAACCATGAATGCGTGCTGATCCTGATTAGGCTTTCGTACCCTCTCACGTCGAGTTGAGTGCGAAAGTTGTATGTTGAATGGCTTCAAAAGATTTGGAATTTTCCGAGTCGGCAACCTTCGATTGTTGTTCTTTCACAATATTACGATCAATCGACCTCGACCTTTTGACAAACAAATCTGATCTTTCTTCCCAACTAGCTCAAGTAAGCTTTGCAAAATGGCAAAACATCTCGTTTCGATTAAGCCCAGTCCACCTGAGACCCCTTATACTCGATTTCGGCAGTACATGTAGGGCTGGAGGTTATGTCAGCTCACACGTTGCTAAGCAGTGGAAAAAGTTTCATTTCTACTATCAATGTTAAACGAACTTGAGTTGCTTGTTTGCGAAAGCATACCACCCGTCTTACTTAGCGGCCCCTCCGAGATTTCCTCTTACCACATGCAACAACATGTAGGTGCAGACCTTAATGTCGATATAGTCGCCTTTATATGGTAGGACGCGTCATCAAAGGCTGAATAGGAGTCGTTGTAACTGGAGCGCCTCATACTCACGACCAGTGACTACTCAGTAAGCTTCTTGAGACAGATAGTGCAAGTTTCAGAGCTCAGCCCTGACGCAGGGCTCTGGTTATCGCCATGGCAGAAACAGCCACTTCAAGCCAAGACGGCACGGGAAACAAGGAGAATTATGTATATGGCCTCGACTTCTTGAGACTGAGGTGGTATACTTAGGCATTTACGGAAGAAAATATGACCCCAAGGGTCAAAGAATGCCTACAGACAGGAGACTTCTCGGAATGGCGAGATATTTGACCGTAAGTGCTCAAGCAGTCCATCGAAAGGAGCTTTGAGGCCTTTCATGCAGGATACAGTTCGAACAGAATATGGCTGTTGCAAAATTCATGCACAGAGGCACTAAGAGTACCACTCATTGGTCTTGACACCCTTGAAGCCGGAGACACAAGCCGTGGCGCCGGTATGGCCAGCATCACCGCACTGAGCCCAGGCGCCAACATTTGCCCCAGAGCTAGCATTTTGAGTCGGGGCGGCGGCAGTAGTGGGAGCAGCGGCGGCAGCAGCAGCAGAGATGGGGGCCTTGGCAGTGGGCTTTGCGGAAGCGGTGATCAGGGCGGCAGAGCCAGCCAGCATAATGAAGCTAGTAACACCTGTGGAATTCCAGTCTAGAACAGAGTCAGTATAGAACCCCGGATACTACGCGTGGTTCATGTTGCTAGATTAAGAATCGCTCATCGTCACATGCCGTGAACTAAGGTATGAAGAGAGGGCTGTCGGCATTTCGCTTTTGAGGTAGGTCGTGAGTGAAAGCCACTTACAGTCATAAGGTAAGTATTAGGTGCCTGACAAGGGTGCCCTCTAGTGGGCCCCTATGAGTTATTGGTGTGGCCAATCTCTTGATGAAGAATATGGGCACTGGTAGAATCAAGAGCGCCGTATTCGTGGCCACTACGTTGACCCCAGCCCCAACCAGCAACGTTGACCCTGATGCCGGTGTAAGGGAAATTTCCACAGCCGTAGAGCTACCTCTACCAGCCTGGTGGGCAGTGTTAAGGGCCTTGACGACTTGATCCCCCCGCGAGTATCCATCATCCGTTCACTTGACAGTCCAAGTACAAATCCTACAGCGTAAAGAGGGGCGCGATGGAAGTCCTTCCTCTCTCGAATGATCGGGCCAGGGATAAATTGCGCCAAGCCTTGGTGAGCAATTCTGGAGCGACATCCGGGCACTGATGGAGAGCACACATGGCTTGAAGATCCGTCCATATGCGGCTTCAAGGGAAACATTGGGTAGGAGGCTAAGGTATCTGCCGCTAAGTACCGTTGACACCGGTATCATGATAGGACGAAGATTAGCTCGTGGAGACTCTGTGTTACATTAACCCATGCATATGTATCGAAGTCATCCCAACTATCACTAAGGTCCGATATTTAAGAAAGGAGGGATTTATTCTGTCAATTGTTTTGGGGTTGATCATCCGACTAAGATGACGAATAATTAAGCTAGAGAGAGAAAGAGATGGGCAAAACAGCAGGCAAGAGATGAGCTGTTTCAAACTCGCCAAAAGCGAGCAAGTTTGAAACAGGCGATTAGAATTTGCGGAACAGGCACCCACGAACCCGGTAATCCCCTGGTCGTTGTAACAACGCCAGAACAACTTTATTACGTTACTTCGCCATTATTAAAAGCTTCTGTCTTTTATGTACCTAACGGTGCAGGTTCGACGCGGTGAAGTGAAAGGGCTTAGGTCCATGGCTTCCAGCATATTGAAGCATCAGGTGCGCCTTTGCAGTTGAGGGCTGAGTCGTCGGACAAATCTAGAACTTCGCAATCGCTCGACTTGTCATGAACCGGTCATTATAAACTGCCCGCCCACAAACCTAGATGGAAAAGCGGCCGATTTGGATCAAAGGGAAGAGGTTAACAGTTCTTCTTGTACCATGTCCATATGGTCGCTGTCAATCAGCCTCATGAAGTCTGTTTCCTCCGGTACTCAGTAAGCATGACGCTCGAAATTTTCCATCTATCAAATGGTCCGGCTCCCTTATACGCTACATGCAAGCTTCTCCGTGGAATACGGAATCCGAGAGTGAGGCGCCACTACTGGTGGAATCTCTTATTGAGGTAGCCACTTCCGTCTACATAGTATGAGCTACCTTGTTGCAGCAAGTCCACTTTCATGATGATAGAATTTGATAACAGCCGTCTGGCAAATCCCCAAAGATGATGAGCTTTGCAAAAGATGAATCTTTGAAATGTACACCAAGGGCCGACGAGAAAGGAGAAACTGTGCGCCGAGGCGTTGGACAGATCAAAAGAACGATGATATCCTTTGATTTGCTATGGCCAATGAGGATCGCTCACTCTGAGCCGCGAAGAAGCCCCAAACTTGGTTGGTTTTGGGGTCGATGGGAGCATCTCCGATCCGACCGCAGTTCCGACATTCGGCACCAGAGGATTCAAGTAGAGTTGCGGACACGACGAACTCGTGCTGTGAGATCATTTTACAGCTTACTTAATCGATACATGCTTTGAGAAAACCACGTTTCATGGCACTTGATCGGCTCTATTTTTTCGGCTCAGACAAGATTTGGTAACAGGTGGAAAGCTGGCACTTGATCGCCGTGTGAGGAAAAGGTTGCTGCTTCCTCGCGATCTCGGCAATCTCTGAATGAGGCTCGCGATTCACTATGAGGAGTGGGAGACTGAATATAGTTTCTGCGGGTTGCGACGTCGCTGGCGGACTTGCGGTTTCGTCATTGCTGTCATCCTATGCCTTAGCATGCTCCTTTGCATCATCTCATGTCATGCCGTCCGATTTATTCAAGGGAACCCCAATATCTCTCAAAAGATGTCGATCTTACTGTCCAATCATATCATTAGATTCCTGCTCGATAAGTCATGTGCCCGAACTTCAAGTTCCAGCCTCAAACACGCTCGTCTGAACTTGAATCAGCCAAAGAGCCGGGGGCACTACGCTGAGTGCCATCTGCCTTAGGGCAATCTAGGCTTTCATCGTCCTATAGACCTCCGCGTTACAAAAGGGTCCGATTCTTCAACTGCTTGGACAGTAGTTCAGCTCGAATCACCCTAAATTTATACTACCTTGCATTCCATCGTTGAGTTGAACTCAATTCGCTCTCAAAGGTTCTGTGAACCACGTTTCCACCGCATTCGTACCTCGTTTCAAACCTATCAGGCTTTCTGTTGTCTCTCACATCTCCGCTATTTCTACTATTAGTCCAATACTGTTGTTCGTCTAAATCTTTATAATACTTTCCGCACGGTGCTCACTTCAAAATGCAACCCACCGTTGCACTTTTCATTTTCTTCAGCGCCATGAGCGCCTCAGCTGCCACACTCAGGCGGCAGGCCAACGACGCCGACTTTGGCAAATGTACCCCGACAATGGACTTTCAACTGGGCCGCGCTGGACGCAAGGCGGACCAAGGCACGTTTTTGCCCACTGACCCTCTCGTTGCCAAGGGACAACAGGATGCGCTGAACCCGAATATTATCACGAACCGAATATGCGATCAGCTCACTAACGTATGCGAGGCGAACCAAGCCGCAAAGGACAAATGTAAGCAGGCAAAGGCCCAGCTCTCAACAGCAGGCATCAAAGATGCTTCGGCTGCAACAACGTTCAACAGTGCTTTGGGATTCTGAGCGACAACAGCCGATTCCCCCCTGCTTATTGATTAGCAGGGGTTGGCAAATGGGGAAACCTTTCGCTCTGGACGTCACCTCCTGCCGCAAAAACGACTCCGTTAATTGCGGGCAGCAATCAACGCCATATATACTACGGCACCTTTATATTGTGGGCACGAGTTGGTTCGAATGACTTTGCGCAGCCCAGCGGCGTATCAGATTCTGCGGAAGTCTGCCTACTTAGAACCTAGAAGAAATCAAACATAATTACAAGTACCAATAAGAATATGACGTAACAAGTTGAATACATCTTTGATGTCGTGAATGTGATCAATCGTCAATAATACGAGAAGATTATCAACACCTCCCGAACCCTAAAGCGCGAATCACGCCACAACTCAAACTGGAATTCCTCAAGACGTTACCCGCGACTGGAGAGAAAACAGTAGGTTGACGTGTTTGAACTAGATCAAGCTTGTATATCACGAAGCGAGGAATCGAGTGAGAGGCATCTACAGTAGTAAGTGGCTTGGACCAGATAAAAAAGCTCCCACAAGGCATAATCAATAGAAACACCGTATAGAACGAGAGCGAGGCCACAGAACGAGTCGTTCTGGCAGTATGCTGGGCAGCGCCACATGTAGCGCTGCGACAGCTTGTTTTTGGCACTACGTAGACAGGTCTATGAGTCTTTCGTACTTGTAAAACTATCTGGCTATTTGGTCTCGTCATTTGCGTCGTTTGCATAATGAAGCCTGGATATGTCCCTCATGACCTGCGAATTTAGAAATATCCTAGAATATCCGTGAAAACGTCATGAGTAATTTGAGAAACTGAAGAAGCCTGGCCGGGAGGGTGAGCAATTCTATGTCGGTGAAGCCCCTCTCCTGAAGTTGCAGAATTCAGATTCCTCCGCCTCTACCAAGAGCAAATGCCGACTAAGGTGGTGAATGACCGGTGCGGCGAGGTAGACTTGATCCATCTATCCAGACTGGAGCTATTTCAGGCCGACCAGAAGTCTTGATGTGATATCCGTGTAATCTCGAATATTTTCAAGGAGATAGTGTGTAAAGCTGCTTCCTCACGCGAAGACTGAACGGCGTTTACTCATTTTGTTTTGCTCAAACCACAGTCAATCAATGTTCAACATCTAGAAAGTGACGAAAATGCATTGTAAATCTGAGCCGAGGCTAAATGAAACAAGAGTCTGATTTTCTAGCTGCTAAAAAGCGCTCAAACGTTTTGAGCGAGGTGACTATGGGTTTTGTAAGGCTTACGGCCATGCACAATGTATCTGCGACTATCGTTAACTTGGGTTCATGGATACCTCCTCGTTGTGCCATGATCAAGTACTTACATTGGCCAATAGGCATGCACTGTAGGATCTTTCAGGACCTTCCTTGCCTTGCTGACCAGTACGATGACTTCTTCGTAGCTCCAGCCGAGTGCTCTTGTCAGAGGCGCCATGGTGGCAGGCTCAAGAGCTTGATCCATGTTTTCCAAACTCCACATTCCAATATCTTTATAGTGTTGATCGCGCGGCCAACGATTTGTTGGCCACTTGTAGACTGTCTCAACAACGTCTTCGAAACCGACAGCCTCCATGAGCTGTTTCCATTGCTGCGCTGCGCTAACAGGTCGACCAAACTTCGTCATGCCTTCCATAACGAGAAGAACCCATTTCCACAGATCAGAATCAACTGTCAAAGTGCCATCGTCACAACCCAAAGGGAGTGCCATGTCTTGGGCTTCGAAGTAGCCACCAGGTTCCAGTTGGCTAGTAAACGGTTTCAGTCACTCGAGCCAAGACGTACATATCCACGATCGAACTCACTTGAAGACCTTCTCAACGATGCTCATATTATCCGCAAAGCTGCCAGTCATCATGCGGCAAAATATGAAGTCAAAAGGCTTGGACCATGTCCAATCTTTCTCGAGATCATCGAGCTTTTCGATAATATTAGCTTGATGTTAACTCTACAAACTCAGACCAAACGGCCTTAGCATACCTCGAAAGAGCAGTTTGGAGGGACGCTTGAATTTTGAAATCAGTCAGACACCGCCCAAAGATACATGGACAAGAAATCCTTTGGTAAGAAAGCTTACAGTTCTGGCTGAACGGGGCTAAGATCAACGCCTATGACCTACGTAGACGTCAGCTCATCAATTACCTGCCGAAGATTGGGTCAACATACCTCTGCTTCTGGATGCGCATCCGCTGCGGAAAATCGAATTTATTTCAGATCTCAGTCACTCTGACAGGAAAAGCAGACTGCAAAGCCGACTTACCATACTCCAGGGACCAGATGCCAGTGCCGGTGCCGAGGTCCAAGACCCTTTTTGCACCCATGTTCTTTGGACAAAGACAATGGTTTCCATTTAATGTAAGGGTCATGACGTAATGCTGTAAGTCTGGTGGTCCAGGTGAGAAGGATGCTGGTTTTCGCAGACAGAGGTGTCTCACCTAATCTATCGACCTCTGACTACAGCGAGATAAAAACTTGTTAGCAATATTGACGTAGAGGACGGTTGCATTCAAACGCTGCCCTACCTCATCGTTGGGAAGAAAGTATTCTATCAAGGCAGTTAGTTCACACAAGAGGCAGCTCATATTGGTGTGAGTAGTTCACTTACTCCCTGCACTCATAGCATGATAGGTGCGGCCATTCTCGTGCTGGTAATGGCGCATACTAGACCGCAACGATGTGAGTGAATCTCGGAAAGGCTGAGGGGCGGGAGGTCAGCACGGAAATAGTGAGCCAGGTGACGAAGAAGGTCTACAATCAGTGCAGGGTGGAAGGAAAAATACGAATGATTCCTTTGGATTCGCTGGTCGCGTTTCTGCCGTCTTCCCATGTCGTCGTAGATCGTCTCTCATTTGGCGGATGAATCATTTTGATAAGGCAAGGGGTTCACGTGATGGGAATAGTGTTTTGATGACGTTCAAGGAAACGGATATACTAACAACGTCCAAAGCAGAATCAGCGTCGGAGGAGTCGGCCGAGTCAGCTTCCTATGTGCAGCTCAAGTTAAATCGCTGTTCATGAGGCACGCGAGAGAACTGGCGCGAATTAGAGGATGGATGGACTGACGATCTGCGATTCCGGCTCCCGGTCAGATGCAAGTGCATGCACAGTTTCCGGTGGCGGCGAGACGGCGTCTGTCCCTGGTGGTGAGGCCGGTGCTTCCTTGGGCGACCCTGAACACTGGGCAGTAGCTGGAGAGTGTGGCGGAGATAACGCCATAGCAGGTTACTTGCAGTCGAGTAATTGTTATCAACGGAATGTTCAATGTCAATGGAATCGAATTCATAAACCCTCCTCCGATCGACGGATTGGGGAGTGTTGAGAGCAGAGTTGACGGTAGGCGATCGGAAGGAAATACGACAAACGAATGGACGAAAAAGAGCAAAGTAAAGCAGGCAGAATGATTTGGTAACGCTCAGCAATAGGGTAAATGTCATATGTCTTATACAACCATACAAGCCTGAGGCAACCCATCATGTGTATATTGATTTGTGACACGTTAATTCTGGAGCGTTGAATGTCTTTGCCAGCCCAAGGTGCGTGCGGATACACGCTACTGCGCAATATGTGCCTCATGTATGCGGTGTGGTGTCATACGAGGGATGTGGCCAGACCGAGGGCTGCAGCGAGATGACATATGTGGAGGCCACAGACTCCAGGTTGCATCGCGTCTCCAGTGTTGAGCTCGCCGGTGGTTGGCCGGCCTAAGGCGAATCCAGACAAATCATCGGTCAATTAGCTGCATAATGGCGACAGAAAGACCGGGCAGGAGAATGCTGAAGCGAGAGGAGGGAATCCGGGGGGGAAGGTGCAAGACTAAGGCCCCAAAGGTCTAGATGCCAGATGTGAGAGCGAATGCAGTAGTTTTCGCATCGTTTTCATCCATCTCTACTATTGCCCGTGTGTGTCCATCAAGGAAAGATACCTACTTATTTTCAAGACACACCGTTCGTTCCTTTTCCGACCATGTGGACAGAGTGACCTACCAGCCAAGCGCAAGTGATCCATAGTTGCTCGGCCGAACCCGTCTGAATCTCTCATGGGACATCGGATAGATACTGTTGCTGGTTGGGCGATCAAAAGCGGGATCAAGGCTACGCGGATGAGACGTGCCCATAACCCCTCCCCCCCACTGAACCCCGCTGTTTGGGCACCGTGTGGAAGGAAATAAAGAGAGCAGTCAGAGCTGAACAGGTCGTACATTCTGTGAGTAGCAGACTAAGATTATCCTGGTGTGCCTCGCAGAACTTGGAAGCAAGCATTGAAATACCCCGTCCTCTCATAGCTAGCTAGGCAACTGGACAAGCTAGGATCTTTGACCGAGCATACTGCGAGCCATCAATGGTACCTGGTCTTTGGCCGCTCCTATAGCCCCTGGCCGTTGGGTTGCATTCCCGGGGCCACGGGACCGGGGTGTACGGGTACTGAGAGATACATTGTACTTCACAGAGCGAAAGAGATGATGGACGCACAGAACATCAAACCATCTCCAATTTCGTCTTGGTCAGCGCGGTCGGATGAAGAGAGAATCGGTGTACTGGCCATATCCTGATATTCACCCGAATGACTGCAGAACACACCGTGGTTGACTCCTTGCCGTGAGACAACATGAGGTATCCTGGATTTTCTGCTCCTAGGCACCGCCCGATTTTAGTTTGGGTCCCGGTGACATGGTGTCAAGTTATTTACTGCCCAGTGCCTACACACCAAAACATGTGGGTGCTGCCCGCCCCGTGATGGCTGAACGCGCCAGCTTGCATTGGGAAAGGTATCTCTTTTCATCTGCCTTAGATCGAACACCTCCAGCTAACTCAATTCTGGGGGTCGGCGACCGATGACTATTAGCTTTGGAATAATCAACTTAAGCCGGCTGGAGGCCGCCCTTTCTTTTCTCTTATAGCCCACCTCTGTTTTCTTGTCCTCTCTTCTGTCTTGAGCTGATCAAGTCCGAATCGCCAATTCACTCGACAACGACGAGCCTGCCTTCGGATAGGTAGGTTTTGTTTCTTTTTCTGGAGTGTGCATGTTGCTGTCTACGGTCCGGCCTACTGCGGAGAAGCTCAAGTCACGGACGCGCGCACAGAGTCTGTGCCTACCCGATCCGAAGAGCCAATTGACCCAGTTCCTGTTTCGCTAGGTTGTCACAGAAGAGAAGCAGCCTCATTATTTGCGCACGCTGAATCTTCTCGGTGTTCCGTCATCAACGATTCGCCGCGACTTGTTATCGGCCAACCCTTTAGCCATCTCCCTCATCAGCTGGTGCCCGTTGCCCGGATTTCGTCTTAAGTCCTCATCTCTAACCTTGTTCATATTCCTTCAAGGACCTTGTGCTTTCCTTTCTGTTTGCTCTGGCCTACTCGGACTTAATCTGTTCCGATATCTCGCTCTTTCGCTTGCTGGGTCTTGACTCAGTAATTATGGTGTGCTTCTCAACCACAGTAGCATTCACTGGCGCTCTGATTCTGACCGTCTATCTTCTCATCTGCCGAGTTCGCGACTATGCACGTCTGAGACACATCCCTGGGCCTTGTTGGGCTGCTTGGACCGATCTTTGGTTGATTCGAAATCAACTGGGGGGCAGACTCAATTTCAGACTGCAAGACGTCAATAAGCAACATGGTGGGTTTTTCTACCTATGCGCTCAACCCCACATCCTGCCTCATCTGGGCCCGTCAAATTTCTCTTTCATCGGCTATTTGCCTCGAAAGCCATCTGCAGGCTGCGCTGCTAATTTTTCTTCTGCTCCCCAGGCTCTGTTGTTCGCATCGCCCCCAACTGGGTCGTCTGCGGCGATGGTACTGAGCTGCGCCGCATCTGGGCGGTTCGCTCGCCATGGAAACGGGGCCGTTGGTATCGGGGCCTACGTATAGACCCCTACAGGGACAGCACCATCTCTACCCTAGACGACAAAATTCACGAGGCCTTGAGGTCGAAGCTTGCGATCGGCTATTCAGGGAAGGATGTTAATGGTGTACATGAGCTTATCAACGAACAAGTTGCCGCCCTTGTTAACTTACTCGAAACTCGTTATCTCTCCACCGATACCACATTCAAGACTGTGGATCTGGCACGCAAGGTCCAGTTCTTCACTCTCGACGTCATATCATCATTGGCATTCGGGGGCAAGTTTGGGTACATCGAGGCCGACGATGACAAGTTCCGCTACATCGAGACAACGGAGAAAACGGTTCCCATTCTCCTGGCTACGGCGCTGATGCCTTCACTTCTCGAATTCGTGCAGTCTCCGCGGCTCAAGTGGCTCATGCCGGACGCCAGGAACATGATTGGTATTGGGACCGTTATGAAGATGGCCCACGAAGCCGTGCAGGAACGCTATGGCGAGGAACCCGTTGTGAAGCGTGATATGTTGGGCTCATTTGTTGCTCACGGCCTTAAACAGGAAGACGCAGAGGGAGAAGCACTAGTTCAAATCATCGCAGGATCTGACACGTCAGCGACCGCCATTCGCTCTACGATGTTGTTCCTGATCACGAATCCTCACGTCTACGCCCGCTTGCAGGCCGAAATCGACACAAGCATCAGAGAAGGCCGGATCTCATCGCCTATCACAAATGAGGAAGCAAAGAAGTTTAACTATCTTCAAGCGGTCATCAGGGAGGGCTTGCGCTTATGGCCACCTGCGACTGGTTTGTTGCCCAAGGTCTCGGACCAGGATGAGGTGGTATGCGGAGTTCACATCCCCGCCGGAACGAATGTTGCATGGGCACCTTGGACCGTTATGAGGAGTAAAGAAGTCTTTGGGCAGGATGCTGATCTGTTCCGCCCGGAAAGATGGCTTAATATTTCAGCAGAGAGATGGCGAGCGATGGACCAGCAAGTCATGATGGACTTTGCTGCTGGGAGTCGATGGGAGTGTTTGGGCAAGAACATTGCCATGATCGAGTTGAACAAGGTCTACGTCGAGGTGAGTTTTGATAGCGTGGCTTTGAGTCTTCCCAGTCCACTCAAGACAGGAAACTTTACTGACGATCCTCATTCCGATCAATCAAAGTTACTGAGAAGATTTGATTTCACATTGCTGGATCCTACAAGGCCTTGGAAGTCCTTCAACGCAGCTTTCTTCATACAGAGCGACTTGCATGTGAAGGTGACAAGACGAGTTTAGGTAGACCACGTTTGTGTTGAGGAGCGGTGTATTGAACTTTGAAGAAGCGGGGCCTTTTGTTTAACTGATTCAAGACGTCTAGCTCTGGAGACCACAGTAGTCTGATGCACAGAGTGATTGGACACCATTGACGCAAGATGATGTCCATGTGAGGAGAAATGTCCAACAATTGACCATGACATGGAGCTCATTCAACATCTGCACGGTACGCATAAGGTCAGCATCATGCCTCGATTTAAGCTTTGGAAGGTCTCGCCCACATTGCTAATCAGTTTCGTCAAGGTGCAACGATGGAACACTGGAAGGGAGAACATGGCTCCAGTCCTATTATAGCACAGGAGGTCGTGCATGTTTGGTCTCCGTACTGGCTAGGCTCAGAATCAGTGCGCAACGTCCGGTCTTCAGTGAAAGATCAAAGTACCAGAAAACATTTTCCCAACTACATTTCCCCAAATATCCTCTCGAGCACTTGGAGAATCACAACAGACAAAGACGATGAAAGACACTGGGGAAATGATGCGGCGCCTCCAACCAGGATCGATTCTCAGCTCTAGAGCAGCAACATCAAATGCTTTCACACAGAATCTGGAGTAGGATATGAAGTACTTTGCTAGGGAGCATCTCGCTCGAGGAGTAGACACCATAGACGAAATACTTCGACAAGAGTCCAGAGATGCCATTGATGACTGCAATGTCGAATGGAACCAGACTGTTGCAGATAACCCGGAATGGTTGGCAAACTTTCGGCAGCTTCTTGAAGTTGGTTGTCAAGCTTCTGCCGTGGAACCAGTTGAATCGCCGCAAAGTCTGCAGTAAGTAATTCGATTTTCCATGTTTGTAAGTAACTAGGTAGTATAAGAACTTTGCATTGTCATCGCCTATTCTTGTCATGCTCGGATGTCTCTGTCAATGATTCGCATCGCTTCCAGACATTCTTCATCGTGGAAGCGAGGGGCAATGACTTGAATTGAACATGGGGCGCCGTCGCTTTCTTCCGGGTCATCTGTGACCAATTCCTTGTCAGTCTTGAAAACAAAAGTTTGGGTTTTTTCATGCAGCACTTACAATCTGCATCAAAGTCTGAGATTGCCTTTTGGTAGTGAGGGTCTTTCTCTTTTGATGATACGCCAAATGGTATGATTCCGGCAGGATACTTCCCAGAGTTAGTTGGACGATTGACTACCAGGAGGTGACGGTCTTGGCTTACATCGAGTACGTTCCACATCAAAGTATAAACGGGGGTACCGTAAGTATCATGGGGAACCGCGGTGCTGATAGCTCCAGGACCAATAACAACATCCAGTCGATGCTCTATCCAGACATCCTTCCAGCTGTTGGCGTAGGAGGCCTGCAGGCCAAGGAACTCGTCGAGTTGGTGTACTGTGTCCAACTCTCTAGGAATGAGAGGCTTTGAACTCGTGAAAGGATGAACGCCCCGACTAACAGAATGCACAAGAGGCTCACCAATCTCACTCGCTAGGGCATCCAAACCGGAAGATCCGAGCCCAAAGTAGTGGAAACCGATTTTTCCGCCGAGACTAGCACTGCAGGCCGGAGTTGCTGGCAATCGGATAACTTTGTGCCCTGCGGAAGTCAGGTTTGCGACTGCATCTTCAAGAGCTCGTCGAACTGGAGGATGCAACGGGTAGTCTGGGTCTTCGGGAAGAACGCCAATGGTCAAGGTCTTGTTGGACCTCTCAGAGTTTCTCCAAGGTCCGCTGACTACAGATGCGTCGTAACACCAAGGGCGGCGTGCAAGCACTGTTTCCATGAACAAAGTGAGATCGTCAACTGAGTTTGCCATCGGCCCGGCAACAGGCGTGACTCCGGGGAGACGGAGCTTTCGGAAAGGATAGTAGGCTTGCCCTCCAAATGGCGTTCGATCGGCAGTAGGCTTGAAGCCATAGATGCCGCAGCAAAGAGAGGGAATCCGGATGGACCCTGCAATATCGGTGCCAACGCCCAATACCGAGCCCCTGAATGCCACGAGAGCTCCTTCACCGCCGGTCGAGCCTCCGGCGGTCAGATTTGTCTTGTGGGGATTCAGAGTTCTTCCGAAAATGTTATTCTCTGAGTCGGCGGTCTGATTTATTTCTCGTCAACATTTGGACAACGCAACAGAAGCGGTTGTAGAAGAAGCAAGGGGTCACGAACCATCATTGTTTGAGGCACGTTTGTTTTACAAAACAAGACGGCTCCTGCGTCCAGAAGAAGATTGACCATTGCCGAATTGGAAGTGGGCAACGGCCTTTTGAGAAACTCGACATAGCCGACTGTAGCATAATGGCCTTTGACGATGTAGGAATCCTGCATCAATCAGTCCTGCAAGCTACAGGTATACAGACGAAAATCTCTCTAGAAACAATACCTTAAGACTGATTGGTAGGCCATGCAATGGGCCGATAAGCTCCCCAGTCCGCTTCAGATGCTTGTCCAGCTCCCGGGCCCTTGCTATTCCTTCATCGAAGAAGATTTCAGTCAAGCAGGAGGTCTAGGAGACGTGAATACATGTAATCAAGCCAAAGGAAGCCGAGCGTCGGAATTGGATTTGTTCTTACAAGCTGTTGGGCGAGAGCAGCACGCTTGCAAAATGCCACGGTGACTTCCTCAGATGTGAGATCCCCTTGATGAATCTTGTGCAGTAACTGTCTTGCGTTGTATCTTCCTGTAATGTCAAGTTCCCTGTCGTTCAATAATGTCGATTTTTGAGCAACATCTCGGGCTATCAGTCGACCCTCTTGGGTTGTTTCCTTGCCTCGAAGCTTGTTTAATTCATCATCAGAAATTTTCCACTCTTGTGGAATGTTATGCTGTTGCTTGGATCGGTGACGAGAGGCAATCGCCTCCCATTCCATGGCCGCAGGCATCGGTGCTGCCTTTTGCGGGTTCAATGCCGGAATTCGAGACGCAGATTTTGAAGACCTCGTGTGCTCGTGTTGATTGAGTTAGAAAATGGTTGCAAGAAAAGAGAGAAGGGCGGATTGAGTTGTCTTCTTTTCAACCCCAACGCATTTTGACCCTGAAGACGTCGCCGGATGTTGGCGCTCACTCAGTTCACCGGGCGGAATTGTGGCGGCGCGTCCAATGACCCAATGTGGAAGGAGATGCCGCCAGATATACGTTGGCCCCAGAGGCGGGTGCCGAGGTGGGTGTGGTGCGTGTAATCTTTTGGTCTTGGAGGAGTCCAGTCGGCACATGTGCTCGGGAGATGGATGAGTGGTTGGTTGCTCTATGAGTCTGTAACAACCAAGGTGCGCAACAACCCCTCTCTTATCAGCCTTCTAGTACGGATATCACGGTTGCAAAACAACTATTTAAAACTCCACCTCAAGCAGTTGGCACATGTTCCAGTACATCGTGCCAATCTACAAAGGCTCTTCCGAGTCGACACGTCCTCTCCGTACTTTGAACCAGTATACTTTTGGCAGGTCGACCCGCGCTCGCCAAACATCCCAGTCATGGCGCCCGCGACAAGCTCCGATCACGTCCCCTCCCCCGGAAACGCTTTCTCGCCGAGTGGAGTCGCTGTGCCACCCATGCGCATGCCGCATCTAGATTTCATTTATCGTATCGTCTGCGACATGGATCCAAACGTGTCCGAGATTGCAAATATCGATAACACCGGCGTCACCCGTCTTGTTCTGCCTATCTTGAGCGGGTCAGTCAAAGGCCCCAGGGTTGCGGGCAAGATTGTGGAGAGAAGCGGCGCAGACTGGGCAGAGCGTATCAGCCCTGACAAGGTTGGTGCAGCTCTTGCAATCAAGTGATTTTCAATATCTAGGCTAACCGCGTGCGCTATCTAGTTATTCACAAGGTTGCACGCTAGGTACACACTTCAGACTGATGATAATGTCTTTATTCTCGTCAACGCCCAGGGTGTCTTCCGCACTGGCCCTGGCCAACCGGAAAAGCTGCCACGATCTGTATCGCAGGATGATGTTGAGTATTTTACGCACATCAGGTTTGAAGCACCAGGGGGGAGCCCGTACGACTGGATGAATGCTGTGGTAGCGATCGGGGTAATGACTATGTTTGAAGGACGCCCTATTATTGACTGCTATCGACTCACAAACTTCCCTGGTATAGCGGCAGAGAAGCTATGAGTACGACTGAGGAAATGTACACATCAATATACATCATCAACTGCATCTACCTATAAAACCTCCAAGGCTTACTGGTGAGATTCGGAAGCGATTCGAAATACTAGCTCCGTCACAAGGAACTTAGATGAGCAATTCTAGAACCACCCTGATGTCCCGAGATTGGAAGGAAAAGAATGTTTTGGCTCTAGCGATGACAATGATACCACACATAACACAGGATAATCAAGTCCAACCGAGGTCGATACTCCGTAAACGTGAAAAAGAAAACTAGGACACTAAATCCGCATGCGTCCCTCTACAAGTCGCCAATACCGAGGGGCCAGAGCTGTTCGAATGCGCTTGCCCCAGATGATCATTGGAACATACAAGAGTCCGATGACAAGAGAAATAACTCCACTGAGAATGTACATATTGGTAAGACCCATGTTTGACATCCAGGGCACAAGCGCCGAAGGGACGCCGACGCTGACAGCATTGCGAACAAACGCAACACCCACGAAAGCCTCGGCAGTCAGCTATAAAATGACACGTTAGTAACAATTCTTTGGTATGGAGCAGATTTGTTTACCTCTCGATAAGTATCGATAACAAATGTGAAGGTAATATCCCCGTTTGCACCAAGGCCAAACGCAAACAGTGCGCCGCCAATGCTGGGAAAGATCCAGTGCATTCCCTGAGGCTGTTAGTCCTGGTAGCTAAAGAATTCTTCATTGGAAGAGTATCAGGCAATGTGACTTACTCGATCCGCGGTGACTCCGAACATAACAAGACCGCCAGCCATCGTAATAACAGGTAGAAACAGGGGGTACAGCCGCATTTCCGGTTCGAAAACTCCCCCATTCCTCTTAGCCAAGCGTAAGACAGTCCAGTCAGCCAAAGGCCCACCATAGATGCTGCCGAAAATATTGCCAACGAAAGGTCCGAGAGTCATGTACCCAATCGCCGCAGTGTTAAAATTGTAGGGGGGCGCAGAGAAAACGACGGATACGACCGACATAAATAAGACGAGCCAGCAAACGCCTGAAGCAAACTGAAGAGCAGTGAACATTACGTGTGGAAGAGTAATGACATGAAGCGGTAAGATGAAAATACGCATCAATGATTCTGAAGTTGGCGTCAACAATCGCATGCGTTCGCGGTAAGAGTTCATTCGGACAACTGTGGCGGGGTTGGACTGCATGTAGTTCAACTCCAGACCACCCTTATCAAGACTTTTGACTTTTGCCATGTTGTTCTCATCTTTTGGTGAATCATTAGCTGCGAGCTCGGCTTCGCCGAAACTCACGGGAACATATTTCGTTTCTTCGTACAAGAAAACGAAAATGAGGAAGAGGATAGTCAAAGCGATAGAGAGGGCGTAGTAAGACCAGCGCCAGCCCTGAGTAACAGCTTGGGAGCCGGCAGCCAAAGGGGTCAAAAAGCTGCCTGTCATCACAGCGGTAAAGTAAAGGCCATTGGCAGAGCCTCGCTGGTGAACGAAGAATAGGTCGGCAATCTGCAGCAGGAGAAATTGATTAGTATTAATGCGACATCGTATTGGATTGCGAGGGTAGAAATTACGGTCATTTGCACCGCAGTTTCGTTTATCGCGCCGGCTAATCCTGTGATTACAGCCGTGACGATGAGCTCTGCGTAAGAGTGCATAGATGATGTCCACCACGCTGCTGCTGCGAGAATCGCCGTGGAAACCAAGTAAGTTAGGCGGCGACCATACTTGATCGTGACTGGGATGAAGAAGATGCAGCCTGTGGCAAGACCCGCAAGCTGAGCAGACTGTGCGTGGCTGAGTTGATTGATGGACACATCGAGATCAACGGTCATTTGCTGCCAGAAGACGGTTTGGATTGAAAGGCTATGCGCAAGCAATCAAAGAGTAAGCCGAGGTTTTGATCCGTAAGAGGTAAAGAACAGATTTGATGATTAGTATTGTTTCAACCTACTTGGTGAAAGCAGCCACAGTGACACCCATGGTAAGACTGTAGTTGAGGTATTTCCTCCATTTATTCCAATTCTAGTTTGAAAAACGGGTTAGGACGATATCATCGACAAAGCGGAAACATGCAGCTATACCAACGGGTCGTTTGGATCTGACGATGGAGTGGGCGAAAGGACGAACGTGTCGGAGTCTGTAGCTTCCCCGTCTAATATTTCAAAGACCGCGTCAGCAGAGGATCAAGTTGACTTCGGGCAATCGTACGATTTATCAAGTGAACCGTCCCTGGGGAAAGAGGAGCACTTTGAGTGACCATCGTCGCTGGGCTATCCATCATGGAATCTTTGCGGCGGCGTTGAAATGCTGCGAGATACTACTCAGTCTAGGGACCAACCGAGGATGTTGTTGCTATATTGCTGCTAAGGTGTTGGATGTGAATCTTTCGGTATGTATCCATGTAATTGAGCCGAGCAGGCGATCAGTGTCTTATATGAAATGTGAATGTAACCCTGCCAAGTGGCCATTCAAAAGGCCTCTGTGCTAACCCTACCACTCAATGGAAGGTCTTGTGCCAGCTGGGCATTCTGGTGTGTGCTGTGCGATAAGCCATGCGCCAGATTAACCCTGTTCAGCCATGCAAGACTGAGACACCGGCACATTCACCTAGATCAAGATAATAATTAATCATTGGAAGCCCTGGTCACCGTGGAAGGCGATAAAGAACATGACGATGATCACCCCTCTGCCATTAAGATCATCAGACTAGGGACTTGATTGCAGTTCATGTGGGTATAAACAGGTAGTCTGACGGGGCAGAATGATAATCATGGCAAGCAATACCTACCCTTGCTGGAACCTTATCCCTTTCTTTCCGAGGGCATTCCGCACGGATAACAAAGAACTCTATTCGTCGTAGCGGCTTCGCCCCCGCATTTTGTCAGCCTCCAACGATTGCTTGGGCCCCGACGTCGAGCGTCTGAGCCATGCCCTATTTGGCATATATTTGCGCTCGCGGCCCCGTCTGCCTGTCTCGGAAAGCAGAAATCTCATTTCTTCATTCATCGTCGGCAACGTCGGCCATTTCGAGAGCTCCGCTGGAACAGATAACGACCACATCAACATCGTCCGCAGGCCGTCAATAGGTCACCAATGGGTCGCTCTAGGGGAGGATGCTCCAACTGCAAGCGGCGGAAACGGAAATGCGACGAGACGCGTCCAGATTGCCGAGCCTGTCAAAGGCGTGGCATTCAGTGCGAGGGCTATAGCACCACACTCAAGTGGACCAACGGAATAGCCTCGCGGGGTCGGTTTGCTGGGGCCGCAATCCCTGACCTTGCTGCTAACAAAGCGAGCGCCAACTCAGCCACTTCCGACAGCTATCTACCGAAGGCTGAGGATGCATCACAGCGCACTGGGTCTCTCTCAGCATCTCCCGGAGCCGATTTGCTGACGCAGCCCGGGGTCGCTCAAAGTTCACACACTCCCGGGTCGCAATCTGGTATCTCATCCCTGGCACAATCACCGGGCGGCATCAATGACCCGAAACAGCTGCTCTTCCAAAAGTGTAAGTTGGATATTTGCTGCCTAGCTCCACCACACGCACTCGAGTACTGACCACGCTACAAGTCCTCAACGCGGGGATGCATCGACTCTACACCACCAAGAGTTCTGATTGGATGAAGTCTCATTTCACCTCCATGGCAGAGAAAAGCCAAGCATTCACCATCGTCTGCGGAGCCATACAAGCATACCTAGACGACGGGTTCTCAGTATCATCCATGGAATACGTCGATCTTGCGCTCCAAACTTTCCGATCGGAATTAGAGAGCCGACATAACTCCTTTGATGGATCCACCGTCTCTGCAGGCCTGCTTCTATGCAGTTTATGTGTAAGTCTCGAATAGGCACAAGCCGATGCGCTTCATTCCAGCTTGCCAGTTGGGTCTCCAGATTGCGCCTAGTAGGGTTCCTGAAATGTGTTACTGACTCACCCACTCTACCTAGTTGCTCCAAGCTCGTCCCTGGACAATGTATCTCCAACTCATGGCCGACCTGTACCATTTAGAGACTAATCTGAGTCATCTGATACCTTCGGCTGATCACGACTTCACCACCCGCCACTGTATCGAAGTTTTGTCTATCATGGACATGGATGTCATGGTGATTGGGCGAATAACACCGAGCATGAGTGTTTGGCGTAAACTACGAAAAGTCCAAGACACTTGGGAAGGCGGTAGGCTCGGTGGCGTCGAGACCGTGTCAGGGCTGCCAAGATCCCTCTTAGACATACTCGCCGATATGAGAGAAAGCAGCGCGAAAGATATCGAAGCCCGGCTCTGGGCTTGGCCGGGAGAAATCGGCGAACATGCACAATGCATCCTTTGGGACTGCTGGCGGTATACGGCTGTTCTGGATGCAAGGCAATCAGACCGATTCAAAAGACAGAAGGCCCCAGCAAATGAAGACGATGGGCCGGGACTTGATAAAGGAGATCCTTCGCCATTTCCGTCAAGAGAAGTCGTCATGTGTCGTTTGGCGGCATCAGTTTATGCGCTCTATAGGGCAGTTGAAATGCCCGCAAACCACCATCTCTTAGTTCACAACGGGCTTATGTATCCTTTGGTGATAGGCAGTCTGGAAGTCCCTATTCTGAAAGCTCACCCAGAGTGGAAGCAGGTTTTTGACGATGTGCGGTCGTCGTTCCTTAGGAAGGACTCATTTCGTCTTATGAATATGGTTAACGAGGTCCTCAATGAGGCATGGAGGGAGGGGACGGATACATTCGATATAGTGGAAGCCGCCAGGGTTCGTGGTATTGAGATCCCAGTGTTTTAACGTGTCTATGACAATTGTATAGAAATCAAAAGGAAAATGGCTTATGCACTTGAAGATGGGCCTCAATGCTACGCTCCATGTCCTTGTGGGGATGCGCCACAAGCGAGTCTTGACTTTCAAAGTTCTGCCTAATACCGCCATACCGCTTACCAAGTGGATGGGATTTAGATAAGTTGCTACTGAGAAGCTCGAGATGACTACGACTTGAATGCGGATTCGACACGGGCCCTCAATCGCAGCAGATACTGACCCGGATTTCATATCCGGGCCAAGACTCTTGACCGAACTTAGTCCCCAAAGAATGCGCAGGAGTCCTTTGAACTATTTCCTTTGAGTTTACAGTACTGTAAGACATGAATCATTGTCTGTAGTCATCGCACTGGAACGTTCCAGTAATATGCGGACCATGTGGGCGTCGGTCTTGGGCCGCTATCTGGCTGTTCTCAGAATAAATAAATGTACTATCTCATTATAGCAACTCATATATTCAAGTAAAGTCTAACACGTATTCGTGAGGGCAGTATCGTTGCCACAAGGTGCTCAGTTCCGGCTCCTGCGATCGTGAGGAACCATCAACAGACCAACAACAGCACCCTCATCCTTGTAAAACCTGTTTGAGTGCAGATTGATATTCCAAGTTTAGTTTTGCGGAAAATTTGAAGGCCCTAGATCATATCCTCGCGTGTTTTATCGTTCTGGATGTCTACGAGACCCCGCGGACGAAGAAGATGGGGCGGGATGTTTTTGCCAAGACTTCAGTATAAAGGAGTCTTTGATACACTTGATCATGGGTACCCAGTCGGTGTGTGGCGGGATTGAGGACAAACGCCTTCTGATTTCAGATATTGCGCCAAGACTCATTGGGTTAATGCCCATCTCGGAAGGATATCTTGCATCTAATTAGCTCAAGCTCCAACCCACTGAGAAATCAAATGGGCACGTATTCAAGTGCCAGTAGGATGCCTAACAATGTCTGCATGATGATGGGAAGACTGAGTGCTTTGGTAGCCAGCTGCGGAGGGCACGTACATGGATCATTAAATACGCAGAATCTTGAAAGTTTTCCCGTCAATACCAAGTTTCTGACTACGCGATGGACGATAGGAATGTCTAAAAACTCTCAGCAATCGAGCACTACAGTAATTAATCTCGCAATTTTGTGAGGTTTGGAACTCTATCAAGGGAATTTGATTCAGTTGTTTTGAAACACCAAGCAGGCTCACTGAAAAGAGGCTATATGTTGATCAATATTCATTAGATCCAATCATGCTAAGGAACTCAACCTGATGGCGAAGATCGAATTTTCACTTGTGCTAGATGAGATAGACCCAGGAGAATTTCTCCTCTAATATTAACTCTAAATTATTGTCCAAATTCGATGATGCCATCAAGTAATAACCCCTGAGTGTACTTTTGTAGAGTACCTCGGAGAAAGTAGCTCAAGAACTCTACCTGGACAAGTTCAAATATTCTCGACGATATTCGAGATTCTGGAAGCTCGATAGCCCCGAAACCATAGAACTGAACAAGCTCGATCGGCTGAACTAAGTGTTTGGGGCTTGTGAGAGCGTCTCCGTAGCTGAATTAATGGGCTCAGAAGGCTAGATGATTATGGATACCAGCTCCTCATGCACAGCTTCCATCCTAAAATTCCCAATGGCTTGACCCCAGCGACTCGAAGGGGCATAACAGCGGCGTGTACACAAAATAGTTAATGGGCCCTGTGGATGTTTGAAATTTCGATCGCTAAGTGGGAAGGAGGGCGGGCGATCGACAAAGTTGACTCAAGCACTCAATCAAGAGGTGTAGTCAAGACCGCCTTAGATTGCCAGCTCATCTGGCAGTCGTATTGCAAGTGCTTTTGGTGTTACACGGAGATTTCCGCTTGCTGTGCGTGACATTTCAATTCTTGTTCTGGCATATCTATATGAACAATTTATCTGTCAATTGTTTGAAAAGATGTCGCAGCGCCACATGTGGCGCCGCCCACATGCAGTATATTGCCACCGGACACCGCTTACCATGGAATGACCGCTCCGTGGGTTCGCTCCGTACGGCGAATAAATCCGCGATCCCGTATAAGGGCTTCACTTAGCTTGATATAGCCACTTACTATTGTATATGCCTTACGCTCGATACCTCGCCTTTTGATAAAAGTTGAGATCTCCATTTTCCCCTTATCCAGGGGATTCAAATTTAAACCTCGCGTAAGAAATGTGGGCCTTTATATAAGTTCAGCAGCATACGCTGGTTCTCAGCCCAAGCTTCATTAATTCTCCTCGTCTTTATTCAATGATGCAAGTGCTCACTCAGTGAAGTAGTGATGTCAAATTTCTAAGGGCTTCAAACCCCTCAGAAGCATTGGTGAAAGACTAGCGGAACTGAAGGACTCTATGGAACACCGGAAATTGCGAAAAACGTCGGGTTTCCAGGACCACCCTGCCTCAACATCATTCGTCTACAAGCCGAACCTTTCGGTAAGGATCACTTCAGCCTTGGAGGCGTCTTCGCTAAATCAGATATCATGTGGCTAGGCAAGCACTGGTGGATTGTTGGTGTTGTACGCACGAGATGTTGGCGGCGGTGTACTTAGTACAACTGCTAGGCTTGGAATGTAATCACAATGTCTCTTTTGACCATTGTAATGTCATGATGCACCTTTCGGGTGAGCTATTATGCACTTTGGAAGCCTTTGCGAGGGAGACTTTTGTTTTAAGCCCAGTCAAGTCAAGGTTACTGGGACCTGCCTAATAGCACCGCGTTCTCGCGTCGTTTGCAAGACTGACTTCGCGGATCACCATGGCATGCGTATCCTTACTTCTTGCCGCATTCCAAGTTGGCATTTAGTGACTGTAGAGAGAAACCTTAGGTAGTCCTTCATTGCGTTTGAGTGCCAGACCAGGGCTATGGAGTTATGGAACCAACGCGTATCAATAACATCCCCTGAGGTCAAAACTAGGGGGCATCCGTCGAGCAGCCCGATGGCCAAACATAGGTTCTTGGAAGCACTAGGAAAGATCCATCGAAATAGAGGTAGATTAGCGGGGCAGGCACAGTTCTAGGGCAATGAGGTATCGGTGCAATCGGAGCCCCTAAAGCAGACTAGAACATAAAGTCGTGCCCTATTTAAGTTAATCAGCCCCGGCAGATAACGCTTGTATCAATCCCGAGGTCACATATATGCGTCTGGAGTAGATATCTACCGTGGCACTGCCCGAGAAATCAGTCCGCATGCGACCTTGAATACGAGAATTTTGACAGGATGGATTGGAGCATTCATTGTGCGACGGGCTCACAAGCCTTGATCCCATAAGAATTGGGCATTTAGTGCAGGAGTTACGAGAGCCAAGCTGTGAATATGCTTCTAGTCCACATATGAGAGCCTGGCGAAAGTAATTATGCATAAAGTGGGCCAGAGGGAGATTATTATGATCGCATATAAACTTTTTGGCTGGTAGAGTTTACATTACCAGTCGACCTCCGCACTAATTTGTTGTCATAATGGGACGAGAGATCAAAGAGAGTGACGGGGAACTTAGCGAGTGTCCGCGGTCCATCGGCACGTGGAGAAGAAACACGATGGTAAAGTCACTTTCTGAGTCGTTCGAATATCCAAAAGCTTGCTGTCAGCCGATCTCATTGACTCTTGACTAGTATTTAAAGCCAGTCTTCCGTCGTCAATTCATCCAGGAAACAACCCCATCCTCGGTCAACACCTTGAATAAACCACAACCAAGACGAGAATTCTCGCCTCATTCGTTTAAATTTTCAAGATCGCCAACTTCTTCCTCTCTACCCTTAATGCTGCCACGGCTGTGTCTGGCTTCTCAGTTGCGAAGCAAGGGGTCAGGTCCATGATGGCTGCTGGTGCCGCCGAGTGGACCATTGAGGGCTTCACCCTTACCTGCAATGCCGGACTCATGCCCTTTTTTGTCACCGACCAGGGACTTATTATCTGGTCCGCCTACACCGAAAAATATCTGGCCAATGGCCAGGCAATCAACCCCGACCAGAGCTATGCAACCCAAAAGTTGCCTTTGAGGGTGAAATGCTTTGATAGAGAGAATGGGAAGCAGCGTCCGTCACCCTGCTACAATTAAAAAGAGCATCAAAAGATGAGTTATGACGATATTGTAGTATAATCATAAGTCTCAATTGGCAATATCAAATATCTTTGAGATGTCCCACAAGAAATACAAAATCTCCATGCTTGGTCCAAAGTTCCTTCTGCATCGTTGAATAATGATGTTGGCATGAAGGAAATTGACTTCGTCGCCCCTCAGAGATCTAACAAGTCCAAGCGAGGTGCCCTTCCAAACATATTGACACGATATACTAGCATCAACATACCTAAGGTAGGTTCGGTTGTCAATGTTCAAAATCAAAAAGCTTCGCAACTCATGGCCGCTGCATGTGTCCGCTGATTCGCAGGCCAGAACCATAAAGTGGGGCCCCCCGGGACCTAGAACGCCCAAAGACTTTGGCTTTCGCCGCGATTTTTGCTTGGGGTGGATTTTCTGCACGTTTTGTATCCGTAGTCCGTTCAGTTTGATGGAACAGACCAGGCATGAATTTGAATAGTCTGTGCACGAAACTCTCAACTGAGACACCGAAGCAGATTGAAATATTTGATTCAGACAGCATTTTAACACGGTATAAGCAGGTCTCTTATTCTTCCTCCTGTTGCAGATCAGAGCGTAAAACCCTCGAACAATAAGTGCAGTGATCAATAAAGAACAAAGTGTGCACGAGTCTGACTCGGTCGGTGAGATGTTCCTTCAGACTATGGCCCATAGATTCCAGTATGCATGGAACATTGCTTCCGGTTGGTCCCAGTTGACGAACCTAAAGATCCTTTCCACGTAAAGCGCACACAGGAAGCCGCTTTGGGTTCGAACAGTAGTACTACCACTCTTTGTGATCTTGGTTTGATGCCGAGTCAACTCCAATGAGGTATTAGATGACAGGAGCTCATGTTGATTATGGTCTGACTTACAGTAACAAATAAAGCATTGATGTTTAATACCCTCAATACTTAGTAATGGACGGAATCGAGGAACTCAATAGCAGGCTCGGCAGCGGCCTCTGCCTCCTTCTTGTAGTGGACTGATTCGACGAATGAAATGGCTGGCTTAGCGTCCGCCTCAGGGGAACGCTTGTAGTGGACAGACTCCAGGAAGCTGATCGCAGGCTTGGCATCTGCCTCGGCTTCGGGACTTCGCTTATAATGAACCGAATCAAGAAACTCAATGGCAGGTGCCGCTTCTGCTTCGGCGTTGGGAGACTTCTTGTAATGAGTAGATTCCAGGAAAGAAATGCTGGCCTCGCGTTTATCCTCATTCAGAACGCCGGTAGGGGCAGCAATAATCAAAGAGGCTCCCCCGAGGAGCAGAATGACGGAAAGCTTCATTATGACTGTGTTGCTAAAAGTAATGAGAATTGATGGTCTGACTTAGAAATTGGGACGCGGCAACCCTCTCTCTTTATAGATTCGTCCTTACGATGTAGGTAATGCCTATTTGAAAACATATTCCTATCTTTGCATGTACTTAACTACCAAAGATGAGGTAAGAAGACATGTTCATCACGTTCATCACTGCAATCTAAACCGGAATGGGGACTTACGCAAGCTGACTCTAGATAAGTGAACGCTCTCGTTATCTGTCCCAGTCGCATTTGATGATTGATTGCTCAACATTGACATGGGTTTGCCCCACTTGAACTGGAACTTCTGCTGTGGACCCTGCAGGGTTTTGAATGGTGGTTGACAATCATTATGAGTCTTTTCGAAGAGCAGGTGTTGTTAAAGTTACCACATGCCGACGTCTGGGGCCCGGTGGTTGATCAAAATGAACGGAACGGTCCATGATGAGTCAGTTTGGCAGCGTCAAAGGTCGACTTTGTGCATAGACTCAGTCGAAAGACCCTGCTTCAGTAAATGCGGGTTCAATGCTGAGCTTGGTGGCTGGGCAGATGGTCGAGCTCAGTTCATCTTAGCTCTCTACTGGAGAAATAATCTTTTGGGTATCCTTATTAGCTGCTGAACTTACCTGAGCAAACTTGGTCAGCTGCGTGTTCAAACTCGAAGTGGTAGAGTCGCGTTGAAGGAGGAAACAAGCTTGGGAAGTCGGCTGACTAGACGAATGTGGAAGGTCAATCACTCGGTCCTTACTACTGACTCGTTGAAGTTTCCCACAGTTCTCGAAACTGAGCAATGCCCTCACTGTATCCGTAGTGGACTATTTTGCCCCATAGATGATCGAGGTCACCTTGTCAATGGCGAGTCATGACCGTAAGGAACCCCTCGCCTCTAACTTCATATCAGAGATAAAGGCAGAGATAACAACCGAGTCGCGGATTCTATGGGCGACTGCGAGTCCGAGGAGAGCATTTCGACGCTTTTATTATTTCACATTCGTCGCACTTTGATCTTTGATCTCGAGGACGATTGATTCCAATGATGTTCGGCATGTTGGGCCAGTTTGGCCGAGGACGAGACCACGATGCGGAGACAGAAGGGTTCATCTTAAACGAAGAGAGCACGCAAATGCGTGTCAAAAGAAGCAGGACGTCATTTGAAAACTTTCAAGTTCCCTTCTTTTGGATTAATTGTCTATTTCTTGGGTTGTCAGCTTGGCTCCACTTCAATCCAAAAACACCATCTGACTTGGAGTGTGTCAGAAAGCTCAGCGTTCTGTGTAAGTCAAACGTCGCAATGCCGGTGAAATTTTGAAAGTTTATTGGCTCATGAAATCGACAGCACCAGTCCAAGATGCTTTAGAATACGAAGACGTTCAGTTCGACAATGATTTCTGGAAGCCAAGCCCTTACAAGGGAAAGCCGACCCCAGACCTAGAAGCAAGATGGAAGGATTTGTGGTATTGTGAGTTGCTATCCTGGATGTATTCGTACCAGCTGCTAATGCATGTTTGATAGATGGCTCGTTTGATCTATCAGAAACTTACTTGCCAGCTTTGAATAAGACATCAGTTGCTGCCGGCGGTGATTCTTGGGCACGCACAAAACCCGGCTATCTCCTAGCTGGTCTCGAGGTCTTCCATAATCTTCACTGCTTGAATCTTGTACGTCAGTTCGTGCACAAAAGCGACTTCGATTACAGTAACGATCCGGCCTTTCATGGTGACGAGGATCTCGTCCTTGCCGTAAGCTGTTCCAATTTCAGAGTCGTGAGCTCAATTCTGCATTGAGCTACGTGATAGTTCCCTAGCAGTTTGAAAAACAAAGCTGATCATTCTAGCACGTCGATCACTGTATTGAGGCATTACGCATACGTCTACAGTGCTCTGCCGATGTAACCCCATTTTTGCACACAAACGGCTCTCGGGGCATACAGCCAGATTTCAATTCTCAGCACAGGTGCCCCAAGTATGACCGTATCATTGATTGGGCGAAAGAAAGGCAGATTATGGTAGATGCCCAGGAGCCACATGGAGAAAGCTAGTGACTGGTGATGGATGTGGGTTTTTAGGATAAACTGGTCCAACTGGCATCCTTGCTAGGTTCTCATGTAGCGGACTGCGAGTCAAAAAAAAGGAATCTAGCTATGATACGTACTTTCAACGCGTGGGAAATTCAAAAATGAGCAAGTCCGTATCAACAGCTGAGTTGGCTTAGCCTACCAAACCTCCTTAATTTTGTAGCGGACTCAAAGAAGGAATTTCGGCACTAGCATCATAACCAAAATACCGACCAGTCAAATTATTAATCATCTTGTCAGAATTCTGTCAACGATAGCTTGATGTAAAATTGTTGTAAAAAATTGTCTCCGCGTCAAGCCAATATTGACAGCAATTGCTTTAGAAACAACGCGAAGTAACTCCCGTTGCCTGCTTTCCTGCGCGTTACCAATTGCGAGCAAGATTTACTCTGAAATAATTCAAAACCACCATTTGCTTGCAAGCGCAATGCTTTGATTGCCGTGCGCCATTTAATGAGAACACTTCCCGACTGACCATTTGCCACGTCTCCGTCTCGGTTTCTTCTGGTCTTATACCACACTCTCCTCAATACAACCCAACTAGAATGTCACCACGGACGCGAGCAGTCAGGTGAACCTCAGCTTCAAGGTCCAACTTGATGCCAACCATCAAAGCAGCTTTGGTCAACTTCCCATTCTCATCGACAGGACCCCGCAGTAGGTTGCCTAAAATAACGTTAGTGAAAAGAAAATACAGTACCAAAGTATATCACAGGCTTACCAACAGGGCCGTTAGCGGTGCCAGACAGGTTGGGCATCGGTACAGGCAGGCCTGGTGCGGGCATATTTCCCCTCGCACCTGTATTGGCTGGAGCGTAGGACGTGGGATAGGCGGGTGCACGGGACTGCTCCTCTGCGGTTGTCTTTGCCCTGGATTCATCGTGAAGGTCAGATATCGAAGGAATCAGCAGGTAGCAGGTCCAAACTTACGGGGAAGACATTGTGGTTAGATATCTGACAACTTGATCTTGCAAAGAATGATGGAGCTCTTCGGGTGAGCTTGTTTCGTTGACTGGTTCAGAGTTGAGAAGTCCACGTTCTTTCAAGAATTGTTCTGAAAGTGAGTGAATAGCTAGGGCCGAACTGGTGACTTGGGATTTTGTAGGAGCTTCTGCCGTGGGTTTCTCGCCAATTGACGAAAGCGAGCCTCGTTTTGGATTGTGGCGTTTATGGCCTGGGTCGTCAGATTGTTGTTCCTGTGGGAGTGACTGGGCACGGGAGCGATTGGCGGGTGAAAGATTATCTGTTGCGACTCGGATGGGGATTTTGAAAGAAAGCGATCTTCTGAGGGCTCCTGGCACAGCAGAATTGTCTTCAAATGGCTTGACAGGGGGTTCTGCCGGGACTGCAGTAGCAGAGATGCGCTTTGCTGAGGTGCTTAAAGATCGCGGAGCGTGACTTGGCCTCCTTGGCACAAGTGGTGGTTGCTGCTGTTGGGACTCAAGTTTCGTTGATATCGTGGCGATGGGGGAACCTGTTCCCGCTGGCTTATTTGTAGTGTTAATCGCGGTGCTCTGTGACTTGGATTGAGATGAGGCCTGGTTAGCCATCTTGGAGGGGGAGCATGGTGAGCTTTAAGCTTCGATCCCTCGGCTGACAGAACCCAGTATAGTTATTTGATGCTAGCCCTCTTCTCCGTCTATGCATCTTGGATTACATTTGCTGCAGAACCAGCGCTGATTTGGGGAGCAAACTGACATCGTCTGATGTCGAAACCAGCCGCTCGGATTGTATCTTGCGTCGTGTTTTGTCAATCTGGGCTAGAACGCGTCGGTCAACGCTGCTCGGTCATGCGGATCCGCGCCCGTGTTTCCAGAACATCTGAAAAATGGTTAGCATGGTACGATGTGGGTGAGTCGATAGAACGTTTGTGGGTTGGGTCGGGGCTCGTCTTTGTCTCAGGACGTTTTTATTGGAGCTTTGACAAGGGTCCTGCAGCCACCAGACCCTTGCAAGAACCCTTATCCCGTAGAGTTCCAACCACATCAATCAGGGACAACCAGGCATCACCGAAGATCTGCAACATGGAATCGGGTCTGACATCTCTGAATCAGACCAAAGAATGCCGTCTTCTGTGAGAGGCTGTTGCATAGCTCCACATGTATCAGCCGATGATCCCCAATCTTTTTTCCAACGTCTCTTCTGATCTTTCGAGGTTTCGAAGTCTGAAACTCACCAAGCAGCATTCTGACTTATGGGGTTGAATCGAATGATTTTGGATACTGTTGCTTCCATGTTATCATCAAAGGCCTGACATAAGGGGAGATATGATTACCCTTTCACCCGTCCGTCCGCGCGAAAGGGACACGTTGTTAGGACTGGCGGGGAGCGCCGCATCTTGCCTCCTTCCCTTCCCAGATGCATTGATTCTGGCATCCTACTACAAGCTATTCATCCAGCATTCTATTAATCTTCAAGTCGCGTTGTACTTCTCTAGATATTTAAGACAGGCAAGGGTGGAGATGGCACTCTCACTCCTCATCAGCTTCGGCACTGCCGTGGGCGCTTCTGAAGGTATCAAGGCTTCCATGGCCAAGTCACGTCGAGAGGAGCACCGAAGTAGAAAGAACAACCTCATAGTGCATTGCCCCAAGTCGTCAGAATTCAGCCCTTACCTTGAAGGACGACAAGTGGTACTATCCGGTGACAGAGTAAGCTCTTGCCATTGTGTTGCATGACACAAACACACAGACTCTGACAACGACCGCACAGCTCTTTATCGACACTGGTACGGCTCACAATATCCCATTCGGTCACCCATTTGAAGGTTACTATCTTCCATATCCGGATTCTCGCTTCTCGGGACTGGTGAGCACTATCACTCATGAGGCACCCATCATGAATTGGATCTTCGTCGACCCAGTCACTTTTCAGTTCCGCTTTGGTAATCGTGCCATGGCTGACGGTAATGTGACCGGGCCGTGGGATTGCACTCGGCAAGATCGTCGCCTCACATTCTGTGGATGGGAAGGCTTTTGCGCAGTCTTGGAAGATAGCGGTATATGGGGGTTGTATTTTGACTGCAACGGTGATGGTCTACGGCAAAAGTTGGGCGATGAGGGTCGCGTAGTCATTGAAATCGAGCTGATAAGACGGGAGATGAGAACTACTAGGCCGGACTACATCGATCTTGAGAAAGAAAAGAAAGATCAGGCAGAGTCAATAACACCACAGCCGGCAAGAGCCGAAGAAGGCTCAACATGTGGACCTGATCGCCCGGGGACAGAGGTCAAAAAGGAAGAAGTATTCAGGGAATCGCAATCGGGCAAGGATAACGCTAAAGCCTTGCCTGCCTATGATTGGATCTCACATGGAATGGGAAACAATGTATGATCTCGAGAAGAATGGCATATCAGCTTCGTAGGCAAATATGGTTGTCGCAGCTTTTCCTTGTGTCAAGGTCTCTACGGAATTTATTGCGTTACATGTGGAGGTAATGAATGCCAGCTATATTTGATGTCACAGATCCAAACATTACCCAGTTCGTGTGAGGCGATTCACATAAGTCGGCATGGTTCTTATGGCTTGCTTGGATTTTCGGACGAACTGAGATGTGCAAAAATAAGGAATGTTTCGGACAGGGCCCCTGGTACTCTTGTCCTTCAAGATAAGCGAACGACACACGCCAGGGATAAGGCCATGGAAGTGATATTTGAAAGAAGGTTTGCATTAGACAGCTTAAGATGTAGTGCGATAGCCCAAACGACGACTAGGATCTTGTCACAGGGACCGCTGCTTTTCTATGTTGTCTGTAGTTATCCAAGTTTAGAGGGCAATTTAGAACACCTGAATTGATACCTGATTGCTGGTATTTACATGTATTTACGAAACATTCTAACATCCACTCGAGGATGCTATCTTTGTCTTGATTACTGATTTAGCCGAGAAATGAGATGACTAACGGAGGCAGGAGCGAGAAGGAAGTCGTTGTTATCATGCCAAGGAAATAGTGGTTTCATTCTACCGCACGTTGACTTAGGTTGTCTAGTGGAAGCAATAGTGAGTAGATCAAGATAGAGCGCCAACCGCTTGGACCTCGACCATCCAGGCCAAGCTCGGAGTCTCCCAATAAATGAGACAGATTTCAACATTGCAAAAGTTTCAATTTTCCAACTCTTACATTACATGAATTCTTGACCATAGATGTTTCTAGGATCGTTGCTTCAAGCATTGCTCAATAGAGTTTTGCTCCCCTGGCGGTGGTTGTTGGCCGTCCCAAGATCGTTCCACTATTTACCGGTTTAGGTTAACAAGACCGACACTCCCACCACGCCTACTGCCCCAAAGTCAACGCCGCTAATTGCCCTACCTTTAATTACGGTGCTTATACTGATTACATTACTTTCAATAGCCTTACTTGCCCTACTGTGACTTGCCTTGATATTGTTACAACGGTTATAGTAATTACGATAATTGCGATGCTCTTGATTACAATATTTCAATACAACAGCAAAGTTGAGGATAAGTAGACAACCTCCCAGATAGTAAAACTCGCTCGATAATAGCGAATTAATGCCAATTCCAATGTACTGGGCTTGAGGGACTCGTACGTCATAAGTGAATTTTTTTTTTTCACATCCGCGTAGTTCATAAGAATAAGTAACTATAGAGAATCTCGCGAAGCAAAGCTCAAACACACCACTAGACCTTGTTCTGCAATAAGCCTTTTCAGACTGTCCGAATGCCGAGCAACTGACGGTGGGCTTCTTGACTGTAGGCTAGATTTTGCTGAAAATTCCGCCGATTTTCTCCAAAGTAGCCTTTCTCGCAAGAGAGAAGGATAGCAGAATCTTGGCTGCTTGTGGGCTGAGATTACCGGCGGCAATGATGCCCACAGCCTTGTGGTCTTCGCTGTCGACAACCTCCCCAGAAAGAACTCTTGACGACTGAACGACAATGATGCCCTTTAGACGCGCTTCTGCAAATGCCTTTTCCTCTCCCGGAGTTCCTAATCCTGGTGCAAAGCCCGCAGATACAATGCCCTTCACCCCCCGTTTGATCGATTCCTTGACCTGCGTGCCATCATTGCCAGCGGAGCTGTACACAATGTCAACCTTTGGAAGGTGCTTGAGCATATCCATCCTAAAACCCAAATCTTCGGGAAGCAATGGATCCTGGTCGAAGCTGACTTTGTCGTCATTAACAGTGCCGATTGGTTTTGAATCTGGTGATTTGAAGGCATCGAGATTCCCGGTGTGAGTTTTCGTAACATATCGGGGCAGGTGTATCTCCTTGTTGAATACCACAAGAACACCTGGGGACTTTTTGTACGTGCGGGCACCGACGCGAAATGCAGCAGTAAGATTGGCCTCTGCATCAGAAGATTCCCCATTGAACGGGCGCATGGACCCCGTGATGATTACTGGTATCCTCAGTCTCAAAACCAGAGACAGAGTGAACGCAGTTTCTTCAAGGCTTGCTGTTCCATGGCTGATGACAATGGCACGGACTCTTGCATCTTGAGATAATTCTTCGCAACGTTCAGCAATCTTGTGCCAAGTTTCAGAAGTGATCGCAGTGCTGTCGAGAGGTTCAACACCCTCAACTTGGATCTCCATACCGAGGTCGTCTGCGAGTTCCTCCACGTGGAGCTCCCGGCGGAGTTCAGAGATGCCGGCGTACTCTCCGTGTCCTTTTGAGCCGTAGTCTAGGTCGGATTTGTTGAAGGCTCTTGTGCCGATAGTGCCGCCCGTTGGAATGAATGCAATTATGTTGGCTGTCATTGTGATGGTCTCGGACATTTTGTTGACGAGAGTAAAGTAGTAAGGGGATGATTGCCTTGAGCTGGTTGAAATTCAATGTAAGCTTCTTCAAATCCAGGAGGATATCGAGAGATGAGGTCAAATTTATAGTTGGATTCACCTTGAACCAAACATATGTGAGTCTTTCTGTTCGTGCTTAGATCATAGATCATTTGTGTCACTACGTAGTGGGTGATTCACCAGACAGGAAGTGCTGTTCAACCAAGTTCTTTCACTCACTTTCAGATGTCGATTCAGGTGGGTGCAAACTAAAGTCGGTAGATACTGCAGTGCGGTGAGGTTGTTGAAGAAGAAAAAGCAGATGATCTCGCGAACAACTGATGGAGGATCAACGCCTAGAGAACAAATTTCGGCACAACAGTCTTAAAGGCTGGCCGGGTCTTGCATCCTTTGGAACAAAACAAGATAAATCAAATGTCATTTCCAAGGGAGCGCGGCAGTGAAGGTTGGTTTGCGAACGAATGCTAGCCCGGGTGAAACAGCCCCTCTAACCGCCTGTGGTGGGTTGGAAGCGCTGATACGCACCCCCAAAGAGCATTGCTTTGCCTGAAAACACAGTGGCACTCTAGTGTAGTCGATATAATTATAACTATAGCCGTCGGTGAAGGGCTTCTTACTCCATTGTGAAAGCTATCGGGGAGGTGACGCCATTAAAGCCTTCGCAACGTTGAATATATTACAAGCTAGGCTAGATTTATTTTAGCGCCTGACCACTCCCTTTAGGCGAACAAGAAACCCCAGTCGATCGTGTTTAGTAAACACAATATCTCCTAATCGCAGGGAACAGATTGCCCTGCTGCTTTGTCTTGAACCACTAGCGGCGGGACAGGTAGATGACTAGGGACAGATGAAGTGGACAAGGATGAAAGCTCGTGAACAGCTCCTCATTAGTCGTGGAAAGGCTGGGCTGTCCTTTGCTGAGGTACCTAAGTATACCTATGTGTCGATTTTACTTGAGGGCTGGGTGTTTGAGGTGGCGCCAATAGGCTTGACACAACAGTGCCTTCCACCTAAACATACTGATTGTGTGTCTGTCTCATCGTCTGAAAACGCCGGGCAACTGATTGCCTGCAACTAAGCCATAAATTTGATTGTGGTCACTCCTCTTTTCCATCTTGATTGTCGTACCTTCCCAATCGTCCAAGCGGGCTCACCATGAAGACGTCCTCCCATCTACCGCTTGCAGCTTTCCCGTCCCAGTCGCCGCCGCTATATAAAGGCAAACGAAGTTTGCCCGTGCAGTGCTCATCGATGAAGCGGCAGACCTTCTGCATGTCGCCGACAGTGAAGTCGTCCATGAACCATAGCATCGTACGGGGAACATCTGCAGGGCTGAGGCGCTGGGCCTCGATTGATGTGGCTGGCTCAACAGAGGATCCTCGGGTGCTCTTCCGCCGGAGAAGAGGCTTTGTCGGCGCAGGGGACGCGCCGGTATTTGTGAGCTCATCCATAGTGGCCCGGGATTGTTTCCGAACTGAAGTGGTGGGCCTAGGCGTTGTCTGTGATTGAGAGACGTCTGGAGGGAGTTGCGGCTGTCGACGCTTTGATGCTGAGGATCTGGGCAAAGATCCTTTCGTGGCGGGAGTCGAATCATGCCTGGATGCTACGGGGATGATTAGCGAGGAATACATCAACCGTCATCAGTTGCGATAAAGAAGGACTTACGTCGTCGGCGTTTTTCGCTGGGAATTTCAGGCTGCTCGACTAGACTGTCTCTCTTCCTCTTGGCCGAGTGCCTGGCGGACGCAGGAGTTGCGACAAGAGGCTTGGTCTCATTTGATTCTTCCACGTCGCCGTTCCCCTCCGCTCGTGCCATGGGTCCAAGAAGCGCAGCATCCACACTCTCATCGTTTACGTAGCCGCAGTAATCTGTCAGAACATCCGGCGCATCGGCACGCATCTTCACAGCTGGCTCCCAAGAGACGTCCTCCCCCTCGTTTGTATATCCAAGCCATTGCACCAGTACTTGCCATTGCCCTCGAACGCGACGGTGTCGTAGCAGCCGGAAGGGGTGGTAAAGCTCTCCAATCCCTAGGACGTCTTGACGCGTCTTACCCCGAAAGCTAGCCCAGTAGTCGTATAGTAAAGTCGGCCGATGCTCCTGGACATCCCATTCGGAGACATCTAAGCGGGAGCCTTTGACGAGGACAGTGAGGGTCACAAGCGCGGTATCGGGATCGAGGGTATGCGCAACAATTTTACTTATCGCGACATAGGGGAAGTCTGCAAAGTATTTGGGACGTTAACGAGGGCGCATCAAGTTGGACATTGGGAGACATTTGATGACGGGATAAGAGGAAAGCATGATTGAACCAGTAGAGAGTTTGGCGATATACAATTGCTCTTACCTTGCTGAGCAAGCTTAGACGAGGGTCTACCTCGAGGCATAGGTACGGGCGTAGGAAAAATACACCTAACGAGGGAAGGGACGTGCAAACAATGGAGTCGTAACGAGCGAGCAAGCAAGCAAGATGCTGCGGGAAAGTTGAGCTGCCTTTGAATTGATCGCGTGTGGGACGCGTTCGCGTCGGGTCGAGTAGAGGTAGGTAGCACTGCGTCAGTGGTTTTTTTTTTCTGGGTCCGGGGGCCCAGCTCCGACGTGGGCCTGTCTCTTTGGTTGGCACCCGACCTCCCCGGCCGCCTGTGGATTCTCCCACACCACCAGTCCAGTACGGATACGATGCCTCACTTCACAACTGGAAATTTGTCTGGCTCGGCACGGACACGGGGGCTGTTCACGGCATGGTACCGGGATGGCGGTGTCGCGAAGGAGGCACCCTACCTATAGGCTCCGGAGCTGCACTGGCCCAGGAATAAAGCAATCCCGAGGCATCGTCGCACGTACTTAGGCTGGAGGTGAGATCAGCTTGTGTGGACGGCGTCTCATTGGGTTTTGGCGAACTTGGAAAGACGGCACCGTCTCACAAACATGCCTCCCTGGACTACCTTAGGTAGTAGGCATCCTGCGGGTACGACAATAAGTACGTAGTTCTACTTTTATCTACCATAAAATCGAAGCTTTAATTGCCGTTGTGGTTGCATTCTGTGTGTGCAGGTTCTGTCTATAATGCTCGTCTAGTCAGTCTATCATCTATGTAGTCTCTATTGTCTATTCGTGAAGAATCTCGTGTCTCATCTTCATGCCCATGCTCGTGATGTTTAGTGGGCTAGGCCCATTCAATTCGGAGAAGCTTGTAGCCACTCTCATCCCCTCGTCCGACTCCGCTGCGTTTCTGCAGTTCTTCCGATTGCAGGATGGCAAGTCTTTTGCCGTCTGAGCGCTTGAGACCATTGTTGGCCCTAAAAGCAGACTCGACGCTGTCGCTGACGCCGTTGAATCGGCCGTTTCGCCGCACTGTGACAAGAAGCCAAAAAATGCCAGAGTCCCCGAGCAAGCAAGTCGCACAGTCACGCAGCCAGATGGCATGCTCCGGTGCGTAGACGACGTCTGTCGCGATGATGATGTCGGCCGGAACATCGAGCGGTGCGTCCAGCACAGGCGCAGCCCAGTCGAGGGTAGTGGTCTGTACGTGGCATGGCTCAGCAGGCGGAAAGTTGAGAGCGACATTGGACCGCAGGTTTTCGAGCACGGCCGGATGGTAGTCAGTAGCAACAATGGTTGGACTCGATGCTCCCAGGTGAGGCAGCATGTTGCCAAGCATGAGACTGACAAGCCCCGTACCGGCACCAAGCTCGATGACGCGTGGCGAAAGACCCAGTCGAGGTTGTGTCAGACCAAAACGCTCCGGCGAGGAGCACATAATCTCGGACAAGACGATGGAGGCGCCCCAGCTCTGGAGACCGACATCGTCAGGGTCAGCCGAGTTCGTACCTGCCAGCCTATCGTTGAGTCGGACGGTGACGGGCACGCTCGCTGGCGGTGTTCCTGAAAGCGAGAGCTGGAAAGCGAAATCGCGCGTGAAATCCTGATCCTTTGCATCCGAGGCATCGTCGTCTCGAGGTGCGGCGAAGAAAGATTCGAGGATACAAGAAGCCTGGTCTAGAGCGTGTTGACAAGCTTCGTCGGATTCAAAGCAGGGGAGGGCCTCGGCTCTGGCGATGAAGCCAGTCAACCAGCGCTCGGCAAAATTGCGCTCAAAGACGTCGACTTTGAGGGCTGCAACATGATGGTCGACGCCGTCAATCTCTTCATGATCATCGTCTGTCTCTGACACATAGCCAGAGTCAGCGAGAGATGTCTCATGGTGAAGAAAATTTTGAGTTTCGGGGGTAAGCTGGAAGGCGACGGACACGGCCAAGGGGCAGTAGATTCTTGACAGGTTCTGTAGGGCAGCGGCGACATCGGCTTCGGTGAGCTGGGCCAGAGTGCGCAAGGGCGGAAGGCTGCTGGAGGGCGGCAGCGGATGCGCAGCGTGCCCCATGGGACGCGACTCGCCTCACTGCGCGGAGTTTGCGAATGGGGGTTGTGCTCGATGGTAACTCATGGGAGGTCAAAAGCACGCACGAGGGGGTTTGGGTTCTGATGTGAAATGGAATACCCATTGAAATGAGTGATGCGATGGAGCTTGCAGACTCAATCTACACTAAGAGGGATAAAGCAAAAAACTGCGGGGGGCTGTGAGTCTCTTATCTTAGCGTGTCTGACACAGACACGGTGGACCCGCCTGCCTTTGCCTTAATGAGGGCATCGTGAAAACTTTTGCAACTTTTGGTAAGGTGGCCCTACCCTTGACCCTTGGTTGATGGGTTGGGTCGCGGGGTGGCACCGTGACACGGGCAGGCAGGCGGGTGCTGGCTGGCGACACGTCCGGGACCCCGCGGTCCAACCAGGCCGATTCCGGCCGCAGTCCACTTGCGTTTGGGAACTGCAGGACATTAGGTTGGTAGTGTAAGTAATTGCGAACAATGCTGTCGTTTATCCGTAGATGTCCTGGTATTCCTGACCCCTCGGAGAAAAAAGAAGGGTTTTCGTGCTCCGCAAAAGTGTTCCAGTAAATCGGTCGCGCAAGGCGGCAAGCCACGAATGGGACTTGGGTTTCGTGGGGGTCAAGTTATCAACCCATCAGCAAGCAAATCGAAGGCGGCACCATGGCCACCACAGCCCCGCCCCGTAACCCCCCTATCCACCCTTGCCACCCCCTAATTACCACCTGTCTGTCGGTGACGAGTCAAAAGCGGACACCGCCCACTCATTCATTCGTCCCTCAGCCTGCACCGGCTGGCTACACCTGTCAATCCATCGTTGCCATTCAACCCAAGTTGTCGGCGCTTCCCCCTTCGCCAGTCTGTTCCTTTGTTCCACTGGACGAGTTCAAACAGTCTAGCTTACTGTCCGGTGAGGTTGCCCAGCCTGTCACAAGGCCTTTCATTCGAGGGTATCTGGCCTCTGTCGGCGGTAAATGTGTTGAACAACGGGGCCCTTGAAGATGAAGCGCGTCTGCTACATGGAGGCGCCTCTCAATTTATTTCTCTGCATCCCCTTGGTCACAGTCATCGATACTTTCCTTCATTCACCGCCCGGCGTCATTCGTCATAGATCTGGAAGCTACTATGGCATCCATGAGTGAAATATTGAAAGGTGAGTAGAAGCTTGTTTTTCATTTCGTTGATAAATAGTAGCTTGGTGAAGAGATGATATGACGAAGAGATAGAGAAACATGTGAGAGATCATCACTCGAAAGGCAAAAAGCAGACCGGATAATTCCTTTACTCACCTTACTAAAAGCAACTCCGTGGCGACCTATAACTCTTTTACAACAATAAGAATACCATATATCACAAACTGGACCCACGTGGCGGAGGTGTTATTGCTTGACGCCATTTGTGAAGGAAGCAAGCTAACGATCTGGAAAGAATGGAATGAATGTACTGCCTGAAGACAAGCTGACTGTCTGGTCTGTCTGGTCTCTCTGTGGTGTGTGTGATGAAGAGAGAAGTCTAGCTAGCTACAGACTGGAGGTGACGTCAAGGTGTAGCTGAGGTGGAACCTGCTGACTAATCACACATGACACCATTCATGTTTTATTTAAACAGGCCATGAATGTACCAAACTTCCTTGATTCAGCAAGACGTCGGGAAATTCCTTTCGATTGACATGCTATAAACCATAGCGCCTTAAGCATCCTCAAGCCTACAAATCTTGGTTGTCTCGTGCCTTTCTTCCCAGCGTAATCTTCCGCCCTTTCCCATATGAATCCCACATCAGCTCAGCTTAACCAAACCACCTTGCCGTTGCTAATGTCCAGGCTGCGATAATTTTTTCCTTCAAACCTGCATTATTCACTGCCTATCCTCTCCAGACCCTCATCTTGTACTCGGTTGCACTACTCAGAATCATCTACATGCTGACCTTCCCTAACTATCCAGTCCTAAGCGCGGCTCCTAAGATATAGACGCTCTCATTCTATAACAGAACATGATAATCAAAACGCGACGTTGGGTCGTCCAATCCTACACGTTTCCAAGCGCCGTTGTAGGGCTGGCCATATGTTGTTTTATACTTTGTGAACAACAAGGGCGTTGTCCGCTCTATGTTGAAGTACACCAGGTTTGTTAATTTACAGAGAGAGTCCTTCTTGCTTGATAGATCACAAGGTAGACGGGATCTGTCGAGCTGTGCCTTGGGACTGACATAATACTGATGATCCCATCCCTCTTGATAGTCAGGCGTGCGATGAAGCGTGTGCTTAGGCTTTTTGATGCTTGTCTATGGGTTGAAAGCAGGTAGGTTTTGACATCCTTGAGGAGTGATTGCACACGGTCGACGCCACGTCAATCCTCGACCACGACTATCTACAAAAAAGCTTCTTTGGCGGGTAGACTCGTAAAGTAGGCAAACATCATAATGATCTCGGATTTGGGTCAAACGACTACTTCGATCTCGCCCTTTGAGGCCATAGCTAGGTTCAACGTGGCGTGAAATAAGAAGGAAGTTTTAGATAAACTAAACAGCCCACTTTTCACACTTCAGAAGAAGCAAAGGCCAGAGAAGACTCAGGGATTTATGGTCGCTGCAAGTTGGTCACACTACAATCTCTAAGCTGCAGACTTGCGGCGCAACCACCAGGGGCCTGGGAATATAGTCATACTAGTCTTAGCCGAAAACAATCTAGCAAATTTAGGCAGGTAGTGCCTTTTCGCCGGACGTCTGGTAGCGGGGATTTGCGATCACTTGTCACCAATAATCGAATCTAAGATGCATGAATATGCGCTTACTTCCGGCACAACTCGGCCTGGAACCTCGATCATACGGAGTTCGCTTTATAACAAAGACGACTAAAAACGCACAGTGTTCTCAGCCAGGTCTTGTGGCATCATTTCTCGTAGGCCTTTGTTATAATGGTGCTCCCAAGTCGAAAGCTGGCATCGACCCTGTCTCTCCCATCCCGTTTCGCAATCGTCACACCCTCCCTGAAGGATTCAGAAGAAGAAGAAACGTAACTCTGAGCGGGCCGGTGTTGTACGGCCCGTTAGCCGCTAGCATTTTAGTCGCACTTAGTAGGACTTGTCGAGTTGGTGGGTTTCTATTTTCAGGTGCTAGGGTGTTATTAAGATGCAGGGATCTGGTAGAAGCATATAAAGAGCGTTTTATGGCTGCGGTGAGGTTATCGGTGTTGATTCGGGCAAGTTATTGATCTGCGAGAAGAAAGACTTGAATGGCATTTTGAATGACTTGGCGAGCTTGGTCGGGAACGGCTTAAGGATGAACGGAATATAGAATCTAAATCTCAAGGACGATGAAGATTCCTAGGGTATGAATGAAGCCCTTTATACCTCGAGGTATAGATAGTGATAAAATCGGCCTTACCGTTGACTGCTGGAACTTGAGTTGGGTTGTTGCAAGTTTTATCTGTTTTGATTTTCTTTGCAATCAATTTGATAAAAACAACATTCGAGCATCTGTCAATAGTTGAGGCCTGGCTTAATGGTGACATGATTCAGATTGGTACATACTAGTGTTGGTAGGTCAGTCGCGTGAATCCTTCAGCGATGAAAGAGTAGTGGAGGGCCACTGGCGATGATAGAGGCCACGATATGCATTTAGATAAAGCATCGGCAAACTAGCACCTGTTCTCAGCTACGCAATAAGGCAAAGAAGACTGCGGAAGCCATGACATATGTACTCTCTGCTGATGTTCTTGATCAGGCAAAAGTACTGAAACATCGGCGGCCATAGAATTGGCTGAACAATCTCTAAAAGAAAGTGCTCAATCACTTATTGTAGCATATCCAGTCACATGAACTACTGAGACTTTTATTTGTTATACCCAAAACCTCGAGAAAAAAGCATGATGTCTATTGAAGTATAGAAAAGATGGGGATGCGCGGGACAACCAATAGTCTTGCAAAACTAGACGGCACGCTGACCATGAATTCTTCATGTCTTCTCATTATGAATGGCGAGCCGCTTGTCTGTATGGGCTAAGCGCACATAATTCTCAAGAAGATGTCTGGTGGGCAAGGAAAGCCATATGTGACGGAGTCTTAAGGACGGACACAATTATGTGCACGGTGACGACCTGAAAACCGTTTCAAGCCTCTGTAGTTCTACTTCGAGTATCATTATTGTTGGTGGCAGAGGCCTAAATGTGGATACGAGAATTGAGCTGGCAAATAGTCGGGATGGGCTGATTGAGTCCCGATAGATCCTGAAGATAATTTACTCTGGTCCCTGGATCATGTCTTGTGTTCTCTAGTAGTCTATAGTCTTCAATATGGAGCCAGTACACGCTAAAAAGAGATGAGTAGACCAAAAAGTACAGGCTCAGAGGCCAATGTCACAGCCCAAATGTGACGAAATAGATATTTCTGAATTCATCATCTATCGATTTGTTCTCGACAAGGATGCAAGAAGATCCGAGACCGAATTGAAAGTGTTTAAAAGAAAGACTAAGCCAGCGTCCCCTGAGTTTTGTCGCAGTTTGAATACGACATGGTATTTGAAAATATGGATGGTCCAGGATGAGTGCATCATTCTGGAGCTGTGACCAAGTTGTCGTCTGATGAGATGGCTCTAAACTCTGTATTGTAAGCCACACGCAGCCAACCAACCAATTTTGGTACCGATCTCACATAAACAAACTCTAAATGCGATGACAATGCTGAATGGGAATTGAAAAGCTGGGCTTACTGCAGTCGAAGAATGACCGCTCAGGCGTAACCGAGCACATGCTCCTATGGCATGATACTATCGGCACCACTACCTAGGTTTAAGAGACGAAGCTTCAGCTCCGATGACCACCCATCTGCTTTGATGAGGCGCGACATCAAACCATTTTTGTTTGGTTTAGAGACCGAGCGCATCTGAGAAATCCTGATTATTTCAAGTTCAGCCACCTTAAGTTTTGAAAGCATGATCTAGAACAAACGCGTCAAAGCTGGGTTGAAAAACCCAATATCATCTATGCTCTCTATCAAAGAAGCCAACAAACATCCTTCAAAAATTGCAAGACGCTGATTGTTGTATGTCATATCGGATGCATCTGCCAAGACCTGCTGTGAACTGCACAGCTGTGCTGCACGTGTGTGAAAGATGCCGTCTCATTCAAAAACGGCACAGAAGTTGAAGGGTCTGTCTGAGAGCGCCATGAAGAAAAGGAAATTTTGATAAGTAACATCCACGACATCTTTTACATGCTATGAGCTCTTCGCGTAAGTTAAGTTAGCAAGGATACCGTGGCGTTCGGCAGCCCCAAACACATTTTGTGCTGCAGGTTAAACCCTTTCTAGGGATGGCCATGAAACCCTGAAACCAGCATACAGGGGGTAAGACATCATTACAGGTACCTATGAGGAAACAATCGTGATGGATTTCATGTGGTGAAAGATACCTGGTGGATGTCTAGCAGGAAGGTATTCAGGTTCAGACGGTTGCCAAGGTTCATGGAATGCTATCAGGGCGGATGCCTTGCATGCCCGTTGTATACTGTCCTATTTCTAGTATTTATCCCTCAAATGCCCCTCGACTTACAACAAATTCGTTATCCCTCATCAAACATTCACATCGATCACAATGCTCTTCACTAAATCAACCCTGGCTTGCCTAGGAGCACTCGCTGCGATGGTGATCGCTGCTCCCTTAGACGAGGCTCCAGGCCCTGCAGCCCGTGGTCGTGACGAAGCTACCGTCTTCATGTGTGAAGATACCCATTTTAGAGGCAACTGCCTAACCGACGTAATCCAGATTAGATCATGTTGTCAGTCCTGTTCTACAATCCGGCGCTTTTCCTCTATACCCCATCTTCCCTCAGAAACTGACTAATGCGAGGGACTTGCGTAGATAATACCCCGCGGAGTTTCGTGGACCGCATCAGCTCAATTCGGAACGAGGACAAGAAAAGAGACACCTGCACCTGGTACCGGTAGGATGACCCGAAATATCATAACGCAGAACATTTTTCTTTTCCTGAATGAGTACTAAAACATATTTACTTCTATAGAGATAGTGATTGCCGGGGAGAAACATACCACAACCAGGAGGATGCCAACCTGGCTGATGGTAATGGTCACTTCAACGATGCGATCCGGAGCTACGAGTGCAAAAGAAAGTGAGGAAGATCAATATAAAGGCAGCGTACTGCTCAAGGAGCGAAGTAAACTTGCTTGATAGCACATCAAGGCCAAAAGACAACCAACACCTAGGGCAGTTCTTATCACCTAATACAAGTGGGATAGGCGAGTACAATACGTATATCTCACTATAATACAGTATACTGTTGATTTTTTCAATCGTGCCATGAAACAAAATAAATAACATGTTGCACCTAAGGCAAGGGGGAAACATGCGGTGATAATGAACTACATCAACATGAAATTCGAGACGTCCGTCAACTTTTAAAATATAAATCGTTTATGGAACTGCGACTGCGTCTCTTTTTCAGCACAGCTAAAAACCTTATCAAGCTATACATTGATATTTCCTGTTTACTATCTGAAATTAAAAGCAGTAGTACTTCTTGTCTATGTTTTATACACACTATTAATCAGCCATTGCGATATGGTTACGCACCTATGTAAAGTTTGATGCCGACTAAGGAGCGAGAAAAATAGTGTCGAAGCAAGATACTACATAGAATCAACCATTCATCTCCAACGTGGGGAAGATTCGTCAAATCCAGGTAAGGTTTTTGATAGCAGACGTACCGTGAGGACGCTATACGTAAACAACAAGTAAGACTAGCATTTTAATACGGCTTGAAAAACATGGGGCTGGTTATCACTTTTGCGCCCGTGTGTTCCCGACCTACAAAGTATACAGCATAACTACGTATCTCCCCTTGCAACTCCGGCGATATTGTGATTTCCCCCTCAACCCTTCGAGGAAGAGGCACGTCCAATAAACTCTCAACAGCCACAAAGAGCTCCACGCCGCCCTGTATCTCCACGCTCTTCCCCCCCTGGCTTCTCAGTTCATCTCCTTTCACGACTATGTCGAACTTGGGTTGGGGGCTGTGAGGATTCCCTGTTAGGATATCCCCAACTTTGACATATCCCCCAAGCTGTCCAGAAATCCTGATTGAATGCGGATACTGGTCATCCTCCAAGAAGATATCAACGCCGTCAAAATCGCCGCTGGTGCGCGTGTCAAATAATATCTGTGTTTGAGAGGTGAGTTTGATCGTGTCTTCTGGGTTGTCTAGAACGCCTCCAAATGGCTTGACGTGTGAAATGGGAGTTCCTGAAACGATGACTGAACCATGCCAAGTGGCCTCTCGATATCTGTCAAAAACTCTCGCACCACCCCATTTGACGCGGAGTTTTCGTCGCGTTGATTCTGGTGCGCGACGAGAAGATTCTTCTTGGATGTCCCTGCAGAAAAGCCGGCCATTGTTGTCCCATGCTTCTATAGTGGAAAATCCATTCGACCCGAAGAATCGGTATCGAACTTCAATGGGTTGACCACTCTTGATGTCCACGTCATCGCCCTGTAGATGGCCTTGGCTTGTACTGGCTAGACCGACTAGTCGCTCTCCTGTAGTCGCAAATGTTCTTCGGGCTCGAAGAGCTATCGCAACTTCACGGCGGTGCAGGTTCGGCGCCACGACGCCGGTCAAACCACCTTTGGTACCGAAGACCGCAGTTCCAGGCACACCGCCACCACATCGCCCTCGGTGTTCGTCGGAGTTGGCTGAGACACCTACTTCCCAGCCACGCGCAACGGCATCTCGTAGGAGCCACTCGAATAATCCCCATGCACTACCGATCTCCACGAGGCGCTCCAAACGAGGGTGATGCCATGCCAGATTGCACCTGCGACCCCCTACGTGTGGAATCATCAAGTGCTGATCTGCCGATTGAGCATAGGTAGCGTATACCTCATCGAGTGGCCAGGCGCCGGGTACCAGCTCCGAAGGTCCGTCTTCATTCCACTCGAAGCTTCTGACCACGTTCCCACGTTTGTCTACTGGGAACTCCGGATCTGTCGTGCTCGGATCATCCAAGAAAACAACATTATGATCACCTCCCACGGCTGAATTGCCGCACCATTCTGTCCCCGGGAAAACAACGAACTCACCCGGACAGTTAATCTGCTTGATGATCGCAAGTGTTTTCTGCCAACGCTCCTTCGTAATATTGAAATCATTTGCGGTATACCCAACAATATCTAGGCCTGCAATTTCACGGGCATATGAGAAATTGTAGGTGGTCGAGTTGGTGCCCACTGTATCATCGGAATGAACATGAAGATCCGCGAAATATGGCCGAGAAATCGCAAGGGAGGTGTCCACGGTGATGAACTCAGTCGCTTCGACAATCACTAAGCCGGCGTGATCTCGAACCTCTGCAGATATCTCGTAATCTCCATCCGATTCGAGAGATATCGTTTCGCTGACGGTCGTCCAGCCGGTATTCGGAAAGTCGAAATGCCTTTCTTGCGGGCCCACAGGAAAGCCACAGGCCTTGGTTGTAAGTCGTACACTCAGTCCATTCACATCCGCCGTTACATTCCCCCATTTGTCTTCAGTGTGAATATGCACAGGAAATGACGAACCCCTGGAAACAAGCCGAGGGGTAACAATTTTGACCCTGGAAATAGGTCCAGGCTTGATGGGAAAAGTGACGTCGGGTTTGATGGGCGCAAATCTGGAAGTGCCAACGGGGTCGATGTACCATCTCATCAGAAAGCTGTCCTCTACGAACGTCTGCGCTCGTGTCCCACGGGACCCCCATCTTCTGTCGCCGATGCGAACGGTGATTTTGTCACCCGGATTCATGTAACCGTCGACAATATCGATGATGATGGCCTTCTGAAAAGGCCTCTCGTGACCCTTCTGATCGAAACGAACATAGAGCGACTGGACTGTTGCCGGTGTCTGGCCAGGATGCAACGGACCAGGAGTGTGTTCTGCGGAAACGTAATTGTCTCGTTTCGGGTCGGATGTCTGGAATAGAGCCCAGTCCGAGTAGAACTTGAATGTTCCTTTAATCCAAGCGCCGTCGGCGAGCCCGCTGGACCCTACGACATACTCGACAATAAGCTCCGTCCATTCCCCCGCAGTAAGTGACGAGATGTTGCAATCTAATCTTCCGAGGAATGGCAGTTTCTTGAGGTGTTGATACAACCCAGTGGGCGCGAAGTAATCGCCTGCTAGGCTTTGAAGCTCGCTATCCGACAATGTCTTCATCCTGGGAGGTTGCCTCGAGAATGCTTGCGTGAGATGCTTTTAGATTGTTCGGAACTGGAATATATGAATCATATTAAAATTGACAGGCTTCTGTGCACCGACGTCTGCTGTAGGTGCGACAATTCTCTGAGTGAGTCACGTAAATAGAAGTCCGACCTCGGCGTGGGCTACAAAATGACGAATTTGGAAGCGAAAATGGCGTGCGAAAGACTGAGTGGTCAGTGGCACTCAGCCGAGAGCTCAGAGCGCTAGTTCCTTGCCCCCCAACTTGACCTTGCACTCGTCTTCATTGCTGCACTCGATGTCAGGCTTGGAATTGTTAACGGTATTATAGCCTCGCAATTGTGCATGGCTGCCCAAATATATTGTTTGACCTGAACGCCTTTCTGTTGCTCCATTCCGGGCCATTAAGGAAAGGTGCGTCCGGGAGTTGACGAGCGTAATGGAGCTCTCCATTAGTAGACCCTAAATGGGTAATGCTAAATCGATGTTAGTGGGCAAACGGTTTATGATTCTGGGCAGCCTTGGTGGCCTGAGACTTTTTTTGAATGTCCCGAAGAGGATATCGATGTCTACGACGCGGGTTGAGGTGATAGTTTTACTTCGCGTGTCAGAGCGGGCAATTGGGGCTCTTTCCTTTTTTTAATTATCGTGTCTTCTCCCGCCTCATATTTTTTTAATCTTCTTATCGTTGACAACTGCGTTTGATATGCGGATCTTTACCGGAGAAATGTTTTGTGATCGTAACCGCTGTTGGTAAAGTTACGTCCCGCGAGATATATTTATTAGTAAGGTAAAGTAGCTTAGGAAATCACTTAGCGAAACTCAACTTACACGATGCTTTGAGCCGTCCGAGTAGATTGTTCAAGAAGCTGGAACGGATGGATCATAATTGCAACTAAGCGCAGGGTCTTTTTCTGGTGTTGAAGACCGCCTGGAAAATTGTCACGTCAATGGCATCATAATTGAGACATCAGGTGATTGTATCAAGCTCATACTACATGTTATCAATTTTGGGGCGCAGGAAGATTTGATTCCTGCATATTTTTGATATTTTCGAACAACAGTACTACAGAAATTCCAAGTAGGAAGGACCTGAAATGCCACATCTACCTACATAAGAGACATCGGACATGTTATCTCATTGATTATTGTACTACATCAGGTTCTTTGTGACATAAACGACATTGAACTAGCAGCCAGATCTAAAGAATCAACAACTTCTATTCTCTCTCTACTTCGATGGTCTGCAGGGTTGCTAGTATTACTAACCACCAAGAGCCACCGACGTCTGCGCTCTAGGCTCCCTCCTAACACCTAAGGTACCTTAGCATTCGTGCTCTTCAAGTTCCACCCAATCATCAAGTATGCAACCATCGATGTAGTGTTGAGTGATGTGCTCTGTTCGTTCCGCCTCGCAGTTATTGTGGGTAAGTAGCTCGTCGCTGTTGTTAAGAAAAGTGTGGTTCTTGCCCAGATCCTCACAGAAGCCACACCAGTATGAGGCTTCGGCCTCCAGACCTTCCTCGATGGCTATTATTTCAGACTCCGTTGCATCATGCACGTAATACAAGTGATTCTCGAAGTCATACTTGTCGAGGAGGACTGTGGGCCTCACACATAATCGGCATATCCAGGGCCTCTTCACAGCACGCTCTTCTTGGTGGCTTTGTTCGCATCGTGCCCACCCTGGTCTATCTTGCCCCCAATATAATGTGCAGAATGTGCACCAAAATATGACGCCGCCATCCGACGTTGCGGAGGCATTCCCGTTGATGACCACCCCCGGCATGATGCTTTTGTGGTACGGTTAATATCCGATTCCAAGGTCAGAGGCTAGAGGAAGAAACAGAATAATGTACCTAAAGATAGACCGGTAGCTCGAATTGAAAAATCAGACGTCAAACCTCTAGTTGAAAGATGAAGTCCGTAGAATAGCTCTAGTCAGTGCAGGTGCGGTAACAAAATTGCAAAGTCTTCTTCTTTGCTCGCAGGCGAGTGTTCTCACCTTTGAGTATATGTACTTATGATTCGATACACAAGAGTTAGAGCGACACTTCTCTGTTGGCCAAGAGTTCCCAATTATTTTCTTCTAACATTTCAATGAAAGAACGGTGGTCTGCCAGTGAGAGCTGTCTAGGTGGCGTAGGATTCACTTTCTTTGAGTAAACGAACACATCCTTTCATGTTGAGAATGGTGCCACACGATCTGGCGAGGGTGAATAGAAGGAAATAATTATCGCCGCCATTAGAAAAGCCACACTTTTCCAGCGACGTTCTAGCTATGTTCCCGCTGCCTCGAGTCGAGGAAATTTCTAAGCCAATCTTGGGGGGGGGGGGGATCGAAGCGACCTCCCCAGTCTGCTTTGTTAATACCATACCATTAATTAATGGGGTAAATGGTAGAAAAACTAAATAAATTAATGAGGTAGACTGTTCAGACTCCCTTTGTCAACTTATAGTGCGGCGGTATGGTGGCATTTACCATGTCCCGGCGGCAAACACGTGCGTATTTGTCAATGTCAGCAAATGATCCCGATCGACGCTTTGAAAAACCGTTCTCGGCCAATTTGAGAATTTCCCTGAAATTCGATGCAAAATTATTAGGCTCATGAGTCTTCCACGTCATTGGGGAAAAGAAAACAGTCTAATCGAGACTGTCGATGGTTAATGGCGAGGGAAACTAAGCCGAGCTGAGACTCGAAGTTTGTTGCAGTCCCCTGCTTGAATTCGCTTACCGCATCCTTTATTGAAGAAACAGCGATTCTTGCCGACTGACGGAAAGCATCTCGGTTCTACCTTTGGCCAATGAAACCCCTGGCCGTTGCCGATGGCCATTCTTCATGGCCGGATATCACAACATTCGGCTCTTTGTCCACTTATTCAACTGTTCAGCATCTTTCCAAATCATTCCATGAGAAGTTAGTGAATTCCATCGCGAACACAACAATTTTTTCGTCCATCCCCGATGATGTCATCGCGCCTTTGAGCCTTTAATTGCCTAGGATAGCGGTCTGTTACACACTGCCACTTGATGAAGGTTTTGACAAACAGTCAATGAGAAATTTGGAGTGATCAAAATTTCTTTCTCCTAAAGAATCTTAAAGTTGACTAGTAACCCCGTGAGAACTCACCAGGATCATCTGTTCAAAACGGCAAAGCCATGCTCACCGCCGCCAAGGAGGTAAGTGGACAAGTCATTTCTGATTGCTGACTCCCTGGACAATTCTACAGCGAATCATCAACACTTCGTTCAGGATTTCCAAGCGAGTTTGAAGTGTTGACCGGGTTGACCTTCTGCAAGCAACCGTCTGGACGGGTCTGGGGACGTTCTTGGGGATCATGAATAAATCTCGCGACACACAGCATCTCTAGTGGCCTTTGATCTTGAGAATTGATTCATCAAAGAAGTTCATTATAATCTCACCAGATTATGCTCAGTTTTCCGTTAGAAATGGAAAGACCCAGTCCATTGACGTCGCTCGAGGAAGATAAATGCTTAACCGCTTGGGCAAGTAACTTCTATTTACGAGGACGGTAAATGGAGTAATGTCGAGATGTGTCGTCCATTACGAAATATAAAGTATATAGTTGAAGACATGAAGATTGAGCTGATTTGACCTCCAAGTAGGAATAGAGCGTGTTACGCTACTTTTGCAAAACGACGTGTTCTATAAACTTCGCAATTGGATTGACTATAAGCCCGACTCACCACTCTCTTCGAATCCCAGTTCGAAGTACAGATGATATCAAGGTACTAAGCCATCATGTTGCTTCTTCTGATTAGATGGTCTCGGGGTTAAGAATATACTCACAATTTATCTCTAGAGCATCATGTCTTCCGCAAACGGAAATTCGCACGCAAACGGAATTTCGTATACGAATGACCACAGTCACATACTGTCCAAGTGCTACTATGGACATTGCGGCGCAGAATTTCATGGTCAGACGGCTGCAAACGAGCTACTTCACCACGAAGTAGTGCACAATATTGAGGACGCCTTATATCATTGTACCTGCGGCAGTTGCGACAACGTGTTTCCGGGTGATCCAAAGGCTTGGAGAGATTGTGAAGAAGCGCATAGGGTGCATGGTATAATGTACAGCATTCACTGGATTTGTGGTCAACCGATTTCTCCGGACAGCTCAAGCGACTCAGGCAGCGAGGAAGCTCCTACTCAATACCCACCCACGGAATTGTGCCATAAACCCTTTACCTTTGCAGAAAGCAGAAACTTTTTGACTCACATCTCAGATGTCCACTTCGCACCACCAACTTGGGTGGATATTTCCGGAATTTTCAGATCTTATTGGTATCCGGGGGATTTTGAAGGATTCTGGTGCGGGTTTTGTGTTAAGGGTATCAAGTACGAGTCCGCGGAAACACTGCAAGGCCGTGATAATATCGCAGGAATACACATGCACCAACCTCTACGTCTGGATCACATACAAAAGCACTACGCCGATGGCGAGGAATTTGAACATTGGAAATGGCCTAGAGGACTCATTGACAACAGAAATTTTATAGAGTAGATTGTATCTAGCTATTGGCCACTTCATAAGGGGAGAAACAAATGGTTACGTACAATCTAGCTACTACCGTACTACTTAGTAGTCAGACGAGCTTTCATCATGGAGTTTGCCTAGAAATCAATTCTTTAAAGTCATTCAGAGCAACATCTCTAGAATCTTTCCTAGAGATGATCATCTCGTGCTGCTTTCCCTACCTCCCTACCGTACTACATAGCCCTCAATCACGCAACCAGAGACCTGCTGTAGCCCTTCACATCTTTCCTAAGTAGAGATCAGGGCCTATCACGCCCAAGCCAACCTGTGTTCAGATTTCAAGACCGACACCTGTTCATCAAGTCATTGAACAGTATCATTGATAAGGCATACATTGTTCAGGTGTTTCTCAAATGAGGGGAAAGCAGTTTATCAAAGGCGATGATCGGGATCATCTGTTCAAAATTACAAAGGATGGGTGTTTACCACCAAAAAGTTTTCAGTGCCACCTTGACCGCCTGAGGTAGTAATTCACAACGAGAGAGAAGTGAGAACAGCTCAAAGATCAAGGGCCACACAAAGTTGGATTTAACCAAATCTGTCAGAGTTAGGGAAGGTATTTAAGGTTTAGAGTGTCCAGGCTCGAAGTGAAGATATGAAGGTGCGTATGACAACGTCAACAACACCAACAGACCAAAAAGTCCTTGGTACATTAAATCTGAAAAGGCCACTTCCCATCTCTCCCCCTAGATTCGCAACACAAACACAACCATCTACATTTATTGAGGTATTGACGACCATACTGTTCTCACTTACAAGATACAGCATTCTGTGACTTTGGGTCATGCTAACAATGCTGCTTTAGAAGCATTATGTCCGCGAACGGGCATTCCTATACAAACGGGGACTCGCACACAAACGGGAATACACCCACGAATCGGACGTGCTATTATGGTTATTGTCGGGAGGACCCAAATACCTGCAGCCATAACGCGCTCGGTGGAACCTTTTTCTGCACCTTCGACGGCTGTGTTTACTTTACCGAGAATGCAGAAAGTTGGAGATTTCATGAAGAGAATCACCACCCTGGTCGTTTTGTCACCGGCATTCATTGGGTGTGCCGAGAGCCAAATGTCGACTCAAGCAGAGAATGGGAACTATGTCATGAATCATTTACCTATGAACAGCAGAACGACTTCATGCGTCACTTGGTAGCCAAGCACTCTTCCACCGTGCAACCAACTCTGTTGGCGGTGGATGAGATTCTCAAGAGGGACTGCGCCCCGGGGCATTATGAAGGATTCTGGTGCGGATATTGTCTTAGAGTTCTCAAATTCACTTCCAACGAAATCCAGATGGGTCTTAACTCCCTGGACATGTTCCACAACGTGCGTTTGGATCACATCCATAGTCACTACCTTGTACAATCAGAAATAGACGCCGATTCGTGGATAAGTCCTTACCAGGGAGTTATGGAATCTCCAAGATAGAGGACAGAGCGTATTCCAGCAATTAGGTCTACCATGGACTGTCGAACATGGAAATTGAAAACAAATCATAGGATCTAGATATCAGTTGAATGGTATCTACTTAAGTCAAAGTTTAAATCTAAGTGGACGTTTAAGAATTAAATACTCAATTGCTGGCAGCATTTCTTTCAAGTTTTCTCCACTTCATTACATAGATTTCTTTCTTTCTTTTTAAACTTCTTTGGCCTGCGGTTCTTGATAGATCTTGCGCAGCTCTACTCCGGCCTTTACCGGTCTTCTTATACTGAAATCCGGATCCATTAGGTTAGGAGGCTAGGCAAGAATGATTTCAATTAAGTTTACAAAATACTTTCTCTTTCATAAACCATCATACGTATTATTTCACCAATCTACTCATCTCTATCTATTAGATTTGGCAGGAGCTTACTACTTAGAGGACATCCAATAATTTCCAAGAGGCCGCAGCAATATCTTTCCATAGTAGCCATGCACCGGAATGGACGCGATCCAGGCTATCAAATGAATATTCAACAAGGATTTCATAGTTCATAGATTGCCTTCATGATGCTGGGGCGTTACTTGGGTATAAGCGTTCTAGGCGTCCATTTCCAAGTGCTATTACCATTAAATACATTACTCGCCAGACCTCATTTCTCGGTCAAGATGTTTTTCCAATGGAGATTCAAATTTTCTAGCCTTGATCCAATCCGAAAAGGTACTCCTTATCATCCTACTCCATCCGATTGGTCCGTAGAGCTCAGCAGCGCGTGCTAATGATTACAAGTTAGAAAGTCTCACTTTGAAGTCCATGGCGTCAAAAGCTTCTAATATACCCGCGGGCGACGATTTCGAGAAGAAGTGAGAGTGCCGTCAGGGGCCGGGGCCCTTGAGGGAGCGCGATTCCACAAAGGAACGAGGGCAGAAATGCGTGCGCATTGATTTTTGCATTATTGAAGAGCCCATTATTCTTACGTGTTCAACCTGTGAGGAAGACGACAGAGGCGAAGGTGACTGGGAAACCTGTGAAAAAATTGACCATGTCGAGATCTTCGAGATCAGGTGCTGAATATTAGAGGCGCAGATAATAAGAAAAAGAGGGTGGCAAACCTTAGTTGAGACAGGTAATCTAATCAACTGAGGCCGTAAGTGTACGTCCCTCCCCTTAAACATACTTGAGACCAAGACTGCGCCTTCTATGCCGACGATCAAAGCCATTTTGATTTATTTTAGCGACTTTCATTTTACCCAGCACCAAGGTAAACAACCCGAGCCACACGCAATAATTAACAATACCAACAGCAATCCTTTCTCTACTGGTGCTGAACTCCTTGCACCACATATTTGAGTTCCAATCGATGATCAATGTCGCATACGGAGGACAAGTTTCCCCCCCCCCTGATTTGTGCTTCGAACACGTCCTTCAGCTGCAGGTGGTGTACCAGAACTGCGTAACCTTACCAAAAAGGGCGATTCTCCAGATGTAGACTCCTGAACAGAGAACTCTTCGACAACGAGGCTCTCATTTACGACCGACTGCGAATACTGCGAAGAAACATCATACCGAGATATCTAGGCCTTACGAGTATAGCAGGCACGAGACCGCACCTTCTGTCAGACTTAGGAGGCATGGCAATGATCAAGGAAGAGATGCCGCGGTTTCAAACGACGAAGTGACAGGAAATGCTTTTTCTTCCTGTTCGTCTCATCCGTCGACATGGTGTTCACCTAGGGGTTCTGTCAATGTGCAACGTGCATTTGTGTGGAAACGCATTTTGCATCGTGGACTCTTCGCATGGGAAAACAGTCACGCCAGAAGTCACCAACGAGGAAGCCTACGTCCATGAGCAGGTACAAATCTTGTGGAACACATTGAGTCACGGCAAGATGCTTTACAAAGAATAGCAAAGTTAGCGAGGCATCGTTGTGGTCGGCGATTTAATAAACGATTAAAAGCCACTGGGCGGGCGAATTAGCCATCAGAGTCCTAACATATACGATTCTTAAAGTTTCCAACAACTAACCTTCCCCGCTCGCTCGCTTAGCAAAGGCTTCTCAAACAGCCAAAGCATTTCACCCACCAACGCTGCTTCCACCGATGTGTGCTGAAGCCCGCCCTAGCTCCCGCATACCTGCTCTACGACTCCTAGCCATACGAGCATGGTCTTCAGCGCCGCGTTCCATATGTCCCCTGACTCTGGGTTGCCGAGAGGGATACTTCTAACAAAGGACATCACAATTCCCAAGATGAATATATGTCTTGGGGCCCTTCGCTTGCCCTTGATGGCACATTCGGGCAATTAGAAGCGAGCTGCGTAATACATGAGGTGACTGCTGAATGTTTATAAGAACTGAGGTTTGGGTTAGTTGCTTATTGTTTGACGACGCAGATAAGACATTCGGAGCGTTTCCGCTGTCGGGCAAAGTCCTTGATGGCCATGTGACGACAACCTCTGCACCCTGACGGGCTCTTAGTTCATAAGGTTGAAAGACCGTAGGATCGGTATATTGGGGCTGTGATGGAAGTTGGAGGCCGAGAAGTAGAAGGTGTTGTCTGGCCCGATAGAGACGCCGTTGTCGGGGTAGTTTTCGTATAGGGCCGGGCTCTGGAGGGTGCTTTCGCGGCACTTCCTAGGGCTGGCGGCCGATGAGGTTGCGAGCAGGAAGCTGGCGAGGGTCAGAAGAATGCGTGTGAGTTCCATCGCGGGCCGGATTGTAAGTCGGTGGACTCAACCGTGGAGGCCAAGCTCTTGCGACATCACGACCGGAATCCACCTCACTTGTTACACGCCCCATTCCTTCGCTGAAGCCTCATTTCATGATGGTTCGTCTCATTCGAGGTAGTGTCATTAGATCTAGTTGCATGCGCTTGTTTGGCAGATTGACGTCCGTCATCTTAAATTGCCTAGGAATCAATTTCGGAACAATTCCGGATTGTTGAGAAATAGACCGGATCTGAATTTGACGAATCTAATCGAGAACCAATCACCGAAAAGTTGCCTTAGCAGTCGTAATACCAGGCCATGTTGTGCCCCTTGTTTTATTGATTCAGTACCTCGGTCGCAGATGACTATAGCTACCACCTAACATCGACAAGCGCAGTATTTACTAGAAAAAAACGAAGGACAGAGAAAAATATAGTATTTTTCTCAGAATGTGAGATCGTAGGGCTCAATGAAAGCGGGATACTAGTCTTCTATGATCCTTCTTAGAATAAGTAACATTCATCAGCAAAGGTACTTGACTGTATTTGACGAAGGGGCCCTGGAAACTCGAAGTGGAAAATAAAGTCCCAGTACACTTCGTGGACTTTTCTCTACGTGTAGCTTTAGTCTATTACTAACTGAGCGCCAATGTAAAATCAGCTTTGAAACCAATGCAGTAGTCACATTCCCCTTCACACTAAACTGACCAGCAACAAATCCAGTGAGTACTAGCCAGACAAAGAGATTTAGTACTCATTCAAATATCATGGTGTTTGACAGGACTCCGATGTTATCAATTTGAACAGTAACAGTATCCCCATTCTTTAGCTGATGGGGGGGATCCGAGAAGAAGCCAATACCTGGCGGAGATCCAGTCATTATCACCGAGCCAGCAGGCAAGGTTGTGCCTAGACGCAATGAGACGAAGAGTCAGCTTGTTATCTTGACTTGAAATCCAGATCGAAATTGATCAATCAAGCAGAAGATGGTGGAGGGCCTTACCTTGCGATAAAAAGCTGACCAACTTGGCTGGACCGTGAATCAAGTCGCACTCGCTATCCTGGAAAACCTTGCCGTTGACCTTTGTGACAATTCTCCTGGTCGACCAGTCGCCAAACTCTTGAGCATTCACAAGGAGCGGTCCAACTGGAGCAAATCCATCGAAAGCCTTGCACCGCGTGAACTGATTCCCTCCGCGCTTGGGGTCTTGGTAAGAGCGGGCAGTCAGGTCGTTACCAGCCGTGAAGCCGAGAATGTATTTCGAAGCATCCTCAACACTGACATTCAATGCGTCCTTTGATGTAACGATGCAAAGTTCGCCCTAACGCGATTGAGCATGCCAGCACTTTGGGGCCATGAGGCCACTGAAGAAAAGATTTCCACGCACCTCGAAATCGGGGAAGTTGTTTGCCACAGTCTTAGGAACCTTTAAATTTCCAGGACCGCGGAGCGCTCGACTGGGCTTGTACCACATTACGGGATCAAGGGGGACGCTCAGCTAAGCATCCTCGCTGTCAGTCACTTATGCCATGTCTTCAGTCGAAAGCCCGTCGGTCATGCCTCACCTTCGCCTCTTCGGCATGCTTGCTATAGTTGAGACCAATGCAGATTATGTCTCCGTTGTAGGGAACAGGGGCCAGAATCTTAGCCGCATAGTAAGGTAAGTAACTGGCGGTCCGCGGTGGAACTCATGAAGGCTTACCTCTCGTATGGTGACAGAACGCCCCGACTCCCCTTTCAAGAGGTCCGCGAAGACAGAGAAGCCTGTAACAGACTTCCCTGTAAGTAGAGTCTCATCCGGCTTCGATTCAAAGTAAGAAAAGTACTTCTCGCCGTCGTCGGCTTGGAAGCGGATAAGATGACTCCAAGATGGCATTGCGAAAGGTTCAATGTGTATGGATCACCTGAGGTTTTTTTGATAGAGTAAAGAGCCCGAGATGAAGTATACACCCTCGTGCGTAACGTGAATGATGACATGCAAATATTCACGTCTTTTTATTGTTGTGTTCCCACTATCCACCGTGGCGTCTAAAAACGACTCTCCGCGACGCCATGTGCAGCCGGCTTGCCCCACTCCAGCACCCCACCCTTGTGGGATGACCCGGAGCAACCCACCGGAGGAACTAACCGGAAGAACCGAGATACTCCGCGGATGCTCGGAGGAATGCAAAGAGGGTTGTTTTCACTCTAGAGCACTTCTGGTCTCTCATAGAGCGGACGCACGTTCTTACTGTCGTCGATTACTTTGACGAACTTGCACGGTCGCATTGGGGTTGTTGCAAGTCTGCTGAGTTTATTAATTCTCAAGAGCAGCATTGATGTCACACCTTACTAGGCGCCAGTTCAACGGGTTAGGGCCAGAGTCCCCCCCAGCCGGAACACGCCCTTGTCCGGAGCAAAATTGAAATTTCAATGTTTTTATAAAAACTTATTAAAACTAAATACTCTTATAATATTATTAATAAATTATATATAAAATTAATTACTTTCACTTAAAATAGGTTTTTAATTAATAAATGTTTTAATTATTTAAAGTTTTTAAAAAATGAAAACCTATAACTAATATAAGTTTCTTAATAAATATAAAATTATTTAAAATAACTAATATTAATAATTTAATAAGAAAACAATATATTTTTTTAATAGTTTTATATATTATAATTATTATTTACTTTCTTAAAAGAGTTCTTTTTATTAAATATAATTTAAATTTATAAAACTTATATAGTTTTATATTTTTATTATTTATATTTTAAAACTATAATTGTGTTACGGCTAGCTAGTCGTAATAAAGTTTATATTAATAAAAGTCGGGGCTACGATATTTATAAATAATAATCGTTATATAAATAATTTTAGTAATTAATCGTAGTTTTATTAAATAAGTTTTTAATAAAAATAATTAAAAGCGATCGTTAGATTTAATATAAGAATTAATTATTAAAAAAGCTATAAAAATCTATTTTTAAACTTAGCTTAAGCTATTTTATATATAAATCTTAATCGTAAATATATCTTTTATAATATTTTATTTATTATTATTTAATTATTTATTAAGCGGTCGTCCGTTTTATATTTTTATAATCGCTCGTTTTATTTATTTATAAGCGTTTATTTTTTATTTTACTATACGATCGTAGTTATATAATTTATTTATAGTTCTTTTATTTTGAGGGGGGCTATCTAAGTTTTTATTATTATATATATAGTATAGTAGCCGCTGTAGGTCTTATAGGGTAGGGCCCTGGTTTAGCAATGCGTGTTAGGTCGTAACAAATTAATATAAATCTTTATAATAAAAAATAGCGCTTAAAATAAATTAATATTCATTTAATAATTATATAAATAATAAACATATTTAAATATATTATTTTCAAAATATATAAAAAATAAAACCTTTAATACAAAATAGAAATTAAAATTTTTAATTTAATATGTATTTCTTAATAATTTTTAACATAATAACTATAATATCTATATATTAACTGTTATTCTTTATAATAAATATTTAAACTATATATATTTTATTTGAAATATGTTTTATATTATTAGCAGTTTAAGATCTAAGAGTAGGGATTTACCGAAAAGAATTCTTTAAAAATAAGTAACCGGTAAGAGGACTATTTTAATAGTGCGGGAATAGTGGCTAATAGCTCATCATACCCTAAAAGTCGGCCTTAAGAAGGGCCTAAGGGGGCCACTGTAGTTATGAAATATATTCTCTAGACCCAATAATGATTTTTGTACTTCTAGCTCCAGAAGTGGATTATTTGAGCCAATTCTTATTTTTAAGATAATTGAATATTAATCACCAACTTTAAGTACAGTATAATGGCTGGAGCCATATTTTCAATTGTGCAATCTAATCCCATCTATTTCGGGCCTCGCGCGTACGGAAAAGGGGCTTGTGCAGAACTATAACCACTCCGACCAGGCTCCTGAGAGCCATGGAATGATTTCCTTCAGATCCTTCTGCCTGGTTCAAGCCGCAGTGGGACTTGTGCCGTCCTTCATCATCTCGTCCGTCATCTCAGGGCCCCAAACATGTAACGCTCCAGCCATGCTTCTCTTGGTTCCAGTGTGCACATTGACAAGATCGCCATCAGCATAATGCTCAATGGTGAACCCCGTGGGGTCTCTCCAGTAGTCAAAGATCTGAGATCCCAGAATATGTCTGCCGACACCCCAGACGGATGTGTAATTCTTTCCAGCCAGCCATTCGTGCCCGAGAAGCTGCGTATCAAAATCCTCGACCTCGAATGAGGCGTGGTGCATCCGGTCACCCTCTCCCGGGGTCGCGCGGGACACAAACAGAGAGTGGTGGTCCGAGTAGCGCTCCCCTAGATCGAGGTGCATGAATGTGACAACATCCATATTTTCGTTTTGGGGGGCGTACTGGACGTCAGAAGGAACGAAGTTGAAATTGCGCGTGTACCAGTCGACTTCCTTTTCCCACTCCGACACTATGAAGCCGTAGTGGCCTAGCTTGTGCACAAGAGCCGGACCAGGATGGAATCGCTGGAACTTGCCTACCATGCCACCCCGTTAGTGGTTGGACATAATCCAGGAAGTATTTGAAGTGATGTGGAAACTAAGAACTTGGTGAACCACTTGCCAAAACGGTTTTTGTTGACACTGCCATTCAAAGGTCCTAGACTTTCTACCTGCGCAGAGGGAACCGGCCCTTCGCCTTGCCGGTCCTCTATCCCGTGCACGACATGAAAAGGAAACCCAGCCGGCGACTTCAGGGTGATCATTCGACCGCCGCCAGGAAGTCCCGACAAGTCTGAGATGACGGCACTTTCAATGGCAGCGGCCTTGTCGAATTCGGCTTCAGTCTGAGCGAGGAAAGCTCCACCTCCAAAAGCTGGTTTACCGGTCTTGGACCTTCTGGCAACGTAGCAGTATGGGTCTTTGCCGTAGCCACGATAGAGGCGAAGGTCCTCATTGGAGGTCTCGACAGGTGTGAGACCGAAGTCGATGGCAAAAGTGTGGAATTTGTTCAGGTCCGGGTGGTCGAAGAACACATGGGAGATGCGGTCCAGCTGGACCTTGGAAGAGTCGTTACGGATTTCTGGAAGTGGATTGAATGTCATCTTGATCGTGAATGTATTTGGTGTGGGACAGTGCAATTGGCTTGGAGCATGCAGTCTGGGTTGACCATGACATGGGCACGGCGTGCTGACAGCTATTTATCGAGTCAGGAAACTAGCGATGCCAAAGACAAATCTCACCCTGTATGTCGGACTTTTCAATTCATATCATCCCCGAGCCAGCCGAGTAGGGTCATGGTGAAAGAATCCTTGCGTAGAGGGCTGTGCCGAGCTGTGGATTGATCCGGAGCATATAGCTAGCGCCCGCACCGGAGAATCTGGGATTTCTTCTCGGCATAACTGTTCCGATCCCCAGCCCGTGCGCGACTCCGGATTTTCTCCTCTGCGTCATTCTTTCGCAAAATGTTCGGGCAAGATCGGTCAATAGAAGGAACACTGTAATAACCCGTGGAGTCCGTGGCTCCGTGGGGTCTTTTAATTTAAAATTCGAGCAGGATTCGAATTACCAGTGCCGAAATCTTCAAAGGGTTATGCTCCATACTGATCAGTCCTGGACTCCACAATGGCAATCTTATACTTTCTAAATGCATTCCATGTCGGAGGCATCATCTTCCTGGCCTGGGGGATCAATCTGGTTTATGTCGCCTTTCGCCAAGGTCTCCGCGACATCCCAGGCCCGCTGGTTGCGAGATTCAGTTCTCTCTGGCGTCTGTTACTCGTGAGAAAGGGGAAAGCACATGATGAATACCGGAAGCTACACCAGACATATGGCCAGGTTGTACGGACCGCCCCTCATGTCGTGGACATATCCGATCCGGCCGCCATTTCTGCCATATATGGCATCAACAGCAAGTTTTTAAAGGTATCCGAGCATAATCGGCTTTTTACGGCTTCAATTTCAAGATTCATCAGGCTAAACTTTCTAGTCCCCCTTCTATCACACGCTGGACGTGATGATCGATGACAGTTTTGCGCCCAGCATGTTCACAACCACTTCACCCGAAGAGCACAAGGCCCTGAAGCGGCCCGTGGCGCAAAAGTTTAGCATGACATCTATTCGTACCCTGGAGTATCTGGTGGACCCCTGCTGCGAGATATTCACAACAGCCATGAAAGAGATGGAAGGCAAGGTCATCGATCTTGGGGTTTGGGTGCAGTGGTACGCATTCGACGCTATCGGTGCCATCACTTTTGCGGAGCGGTTTGGTTTTATGGAGCGCCGCGAAGACATCCACAACGTCATATCTGGGATAGAGACTGGCCTGAAGTATGCAGGACTCATTGGACAGCTGCCATGGCTTCATCCTTTCCTACTCGGCAGCTTGACTGTCCGCACAATCATCCGCAAGCTGTCCTTTCAGGATCCAGTGGAGACTGTCACCAGAGTAAGTTCCCGTACCGAGCCGTCCGAGATTTTTATTCAACAGTCGAACACAGATGGTGCTAGACGCGATGCAAAGGTACGACGATGGCGACAACTCTACCGACCGAGTCGATTTCCTAGGCTTTCTCCGGCAGCAGCAGAAGTCAACCGGCAAACCGATGCCACGAGGAGAGTTGATGAATCACTTGACGAACAATCTGTAGGTTTTTCACGCCTGTAACCACGCTTGCGAAGTTGTCTAAATCAGGACCGTCTAGCCTTGCCGGAAGCGACACAACCGCAATATCACTGCGGGCTGTATTTTACTATGTCATTCAAGATCAGAGAATCTACAAGAAATTGCAAGAAGAAGTTGATTCGTTTCAAGCTGCCGGGAAGCTTTCTCCCGTGATCAGCTTCGCCGAAAGCCTTGAGATGGAATACCTGTAAGGATACCTGACAGGACACGTCCCCATCGGCCATTGGGGTGAGCTCCTGCAAGCATTCATTACTGACATTTGGGCCTGAAACAGCCAATTGTGCCTTAAAGAGGCTATGCGGATGCATCCCGGAGTATCGTATCCCCTCGAAAGATTGGTGCCCGCCGGAGGAGTGCATTTGGGAGGGCAGTATTTGCCAGAGGGAACCGTGGTAGGGATGAACCCAGCTGTGGTCCACCGTGACCGCGAGGTATTTGGAGAAGACGCGGATGTGTTCCGACCAGAGCGGTGGTTGGGCGAGGACGACGAGGTCGCCAATATGGACCGTCATTTGCTTACCGTGAGTCTTCCTGCGTCGCGTGCATCGTTCCCTCCCGATTTGACGTGAAGTTGACTTCAAGCAGTTTGGGGCTGGCGCCAGGACGTGCATCGGCAAGAACATTTCCATCATGGAGATGGGGAAGCTCGTGCCTCAGGTTCTTCGGCAGTTTGAGCTACAGTGGGCGTCGGAGAAGCCGGAGTGGGATATTGACACATACTGGTTTGCCAAGCAGAGCGGTGTGCAGGTGCGATTCAAGGAACGGTTTCCTGGTCGGCAGAGTGAGATGTAAGTTCACGCGGTCACAATTTTGGCTTTCGTGGGCAGATCTGCTTGAGGATACAGCTACATGGTTCACATTACCTTCTTTACCTGTGCATGCCTCTGCATACCTCCACAACCAAGAATATAGCAACATTGGATCGTCGCGCTCTAAAATATACGGATGTGCGAAATGAAGGATTCCGATTGCCGAACGGGAGAGTGGAGAGTGCGGGGAACGGGGGTGCAGTGTGCGGGGAACGGGAATGCTGGTCCGAAGCTACATGGGTCACATGGGGAAGATGGCCACTCATATTGTTTTCGCTGCGCCCCATTCGCTCTCTGATGTCATAACAATGACCCTCATTCGCCGTCTGGCTGAAACCTGGGGAAGACGCGGATCCACGCACCTCACAACTGGACCGGGCCGAGCGGCGTGAACCTATAGGGGTGCATTGCAGCTCCCATCAATGCCTAATAAATAGCCCTCACCCTTTATCCCAGCCTTTCAGTTCCTCCATCCTTTGCCCGGGCGTGCCATTCTAGTCTTGCGCAACTTCGAACCCCCTCACCATGTCGCCCGATACTGACTCTCCCAGCCCCGCCCTTCCGACTTCGCATGCCAAAAGAAAAATGCCCCTGAAGCTCCGTGTTTGCGATAGCTGCCGGACGTAAGTTGGCCGTAGTCCGTGTCCGCGTCTACGTGGACCTTTCATCGGTTTCCAATCTAACCACGTGACAAGCAGGAAAAAGACCAAATGTAGGCAGTACATCCGCACTGTTGCGTCACCGTCTCCTGCTGATCGATACCTCGGCTTTTGGTAACAGGCGATATGGGAACACCTACCTGTTCGGCTTGCAGCCTGCGCCACACTTTGTGTATTTACAGCAAATACAGGCAGAAACCAGGTATTTCCATTGAATTTACCTTGGGAGAAGACTTGTGCCTAATCTGGTCTTCTCGAGCAGGCCCACCAAAACGACGCCTGAACTCGGTGGCTTCGGATGCAGCCTCAATTGGTAGTGCAAGAACGCCTGACGACACAAGCTCACCCAGTGAACACCCCCAGATTCGGGAGTTTCATGAGGCCGCGTTCAATCTACCTGCGATTCCCGAGTCTTTCTCACAAGATGAAAACCCCTTTAGGCTCGAAGCTGATAATATATCTTTGCTCCATCATGCTACACCGCCTTTGAGTTTATCACGCTTCCCTCCGGCGGCATCAGAACGGCATTGTTTGATGTCAGATGTGACTTTTGAAGTTGAAGAATTCTTGTAAGTTGGATAATACTCACACTAAGCCTTGACAACCCTTCTTGTTCATTCTTACCTGTTTCTTCCAGACTGGCGTCGTATATGCGGCATCTGCAACCCATGTATCCTCTCCTCCACCCGTCGAAACCAACATCTAACAGGGGTTGGCTTTCGCAACTGCCTCTGCGTCTTCGAATGGCTATATATGCTGTTGCGTCTCGTTTTGTGGCTGCGGACTCCCCAAAGCTGCCGTTGTCGCCTGATGAGTTTGCCAGACGGGCAGCCTGCTTCGACAAGCCCACCCGATTGGACTTAAACGAGCTCAAAGCCTCCATTCTGCTCTGCTTGCATAGCATTTCCTCGGACCTCAACTGGGACGCAGTTGGCGAGATTGCCCGAATCAGTCGCATGGCCGATCAGTATCACCAAGTCGTTTTGCAGGAAGAACGGAGTACTAAAAGGATGTCTCCTTGCGGCGCAGAGGAGTGGAGGAGCGTATGGTGGTGCATTTACTCTCTCGACACATTCTTTAGTGCAACATCGTGAGTTCTGCCCCCAAATTCAGCAGCCCATTCTGCACAAAGTCCCTAATCTGTGGGTTCAGGGTTATGTCTTCTACCATCGCAGACCATACTCTGGAAGCAATGTTGCTACCCGCAATGTCTGTACACGATTTCACGAATCACTCATGCGCGAACTCCAGCCATCACGATACCAAGGCTGACATACAACTCAAATTATCACCCACTTCAAAACACTGGGAGATCATGAGTCTAGTGTATTCTAGATCTCAAGGCCGGAGCAGAAATCTCTACCTCGGCGCTGTTTTCCTGATGAGATCTGTCACGAACCTCAAATCTCTGGTTAAGCAGGGTTGTGAACTCAACGGGTCAGCGCGTTTCCAGGAGCTAGAGAGTGACTGTGCCGCCGCAACGTTTTCACTGCCCACTTGGATCTTCAATCCGACGCAAAATCTCGCCGTCCATGAGACAGATTTGGAGCACCGTGACCGACTCGAAACTCTAATTGTCTGGCAAGGGTAAGCAGGGTCTATTGTTCCAAGTATTTGACCGCAAGAAGTGCTCACATCGCTCAGTGCCTGCTTGAATCTAGCCGCTTCCGCAGGACAATACGTTTCTTGCCGTGCAGCAGGACAGGAGTCAAGTTTGCATGGGCGATGGCAAGCTACTGTGTCCAAAGCAAATGAGATTCTACGGATCGTTCAGAATTGGAAGCCAGATTATTTCCAGGCTGTTGACACGCAGAGCTCGTATATCGTGCTCATCGCCGGCTTGGTATTGATACTCAACCGCAATCTGCAATCATTTCAGGCGATTTCTGATTCTTCGTCCGAACACATTGATATGTTGATGTTATTTCTCACGCAAATCGGTCGTCATTGGCCTGTCTGTAAGGCTACTTCGTTTCCAGCCTCACAGAATTCCAAAGCTAATATTGTCTGTAGCGAATCGACTCGCAGGTGCGGTACCATCTTTTTGGCCTCCACGCCACTTTTTACGCAAACGCAAATTGGAAGTATTCAGCTGACTCAATGTAGGTATTCTGGAAGAAGCAAGGGCCGGAAATTCATTGTGCTTAACGGCCAAAGCCGCATTAGACTATCTCTCCGAGTGGTTCCTAGAGGGGCAGCTTGTTGATCGTGATTTGTTCAGACGCAAAGGGATAGAAAATGGAACGCCAGAGGGAGGGTTCGACATACCCTCAGAGAAGGGCTCATCAAACAAGGAAAGAAGGTCCAGCAAGCCGGAATCAATCGACTGGTTAACTGATGATTTTGTCCCTGAATGGGAATTGTTCGACGCACTCGACTGGGGGGCAATACTCGCAGAATCTCAGCAGGTGGAAAGTATACTTTAGATGCGGACGGCTATATGCTTAGCATTGCAATAAAAATAAGTATGCTGAGTTAAACGAGAATGATCTATTTAAATAGCATAGCTCAGTCAGGGAGCATATCTAGCGAGACTGCCGGTTTCTCATACATCCCTCACCATGTTCCCAGCACGTTTCAGCTGGGTTTCGAGATCCTTCAGAGAGGCTGCTTGAGAGAACACAATGAAATCGGAACGCATGAGTACATACTTCGTCTGCTCGCGAAATCTGCTCCTAAGCGTTACAGGATCATAAAGCGGACGTGGCACGATACCCGCTTCTCGCAAGTCATCGAGAGTTGCTGGCTCCAACTCCTCCAACTTCGACTCCGGCTGCCAATCCGGCGAGCCGATATTGGGCGAGTCCTTTTGTGTAAGAAAGACGATGCGATCCGCGAGAAAACCGGCAGGGAGCTTTACACCATCGACGGCGCGACGGATGTTCGTCAACTCGTCCCGCGCTGGCTGACCTAGTAGCAGTAGAGTCAACGTCGTACCAGTCCAGAAAAAACTGTCCGATAACTTGATGTGGCCCTCTGTAGCTTTGACAAAAACCTGAGCGGCTTTGCCTCCACCGCCCTCGGCCTCCAGGAAGAAACCATTGTCGACGCCGATGAATCCAGAAGCATCAGAGAAATGATTCTGTAATAGGTTTTGTTGAACGTATGGCACATAGCCGAGGACACGGCTGGCGAACTGGACGGCCGCGGAGACAACTCTAGACTTGTTTCGCAAGAAGGATTTGTTCGCGGCGGTCAGCCTCGCGCCATCATCGACGCCGCGACGTCGCTCGCGGGTCCAGGCATTGAGAAGATCGTCGGATTGTCGCTGCATTAGGCTTGGGTCCTTGCAATGGCAGAGAAGCGCGAGCCGCCATGATAACGCCAACGCGTCTCTAAGGCCGTTGGCAACACCTTGTCCACCGAAAGGAGGAAATACGTGTGCCGCATCGCCAATCAAAATGACTTTTCCGTCATGCCATCTGTTCACCACTTTCTGAGTAAAACTATGATGAAACGTTTTCTGTTAGTTCAGCGGCGGGACGATTTTCGTTTCGGATACCTACTTTGCCGGGGCACACCGCAAAATCTGCACGCAATCCCACGGAAATCGAACGGAACCGCTCGGCTGAAGACCTCCACGACTTTTGTTTCTTAGCCAGTGGATTAAATGCAAAAGGCAACTGTGACGATGACTTACCGCAGGCGTGCTGGCGGAAGAGTTAGGTGCTTCTCCATCTGTTGCTCCAAGTGAGCGAACAGATCGTCTGGAGTTTGGGAGTCGCGTGGCAGTTCATACTCAAACCTGTTCGCAAATTATCAATCACCGCCTACATTCCGGGGAGCGCAAGATGTACCTCCAGTATTTTTCATCGATGGGACCAAAGCGCCCAGTGGCCACGGGCATCGCAGCGTCGGAGCAAAAGCTGCGCAAAAGTGTGAGCATTTACCTCATCCCGCTCTTCTTGCAGGCGACTTCGGGAAGTCTTTACTTACTGGAAAGCTGCCGGCCAGTAAAGATCCCAAAGCTCCTCCGGCTCATACCCAAGTTCCCAGAGAGGGAAGTCAGGATGGGATTGTGGCGTGGGCATGTTGACGCGCAAGTTGGCCGCGATCCATGTTGCGGAATACGGGAAACTGGAAGTCTATGTCAGCTTTTCTTTCTTCCCTCCGATATTGGGAGCTGAGGCTGATAGAATTTGACTCACAGTCCTGTCTCCTGCTTGATGCCTCTTTCTTCGAGGTATCCCTTTCGAACGACTCCGCGTTTTCCGTCGGCCCCAACGAGGTATTTGCCTCGAATGACGGACTCATTGTTTGCTCCTCTAACCTTATATACCGCTTCAACGCCACTGTCGTCTTGCAGAATGTTAGTCACGGCGCAGTCTAACTTGAGCTCCGTGTAATGCGAGGCATGGATTCTATCGCGCAACATCTGTTCTGGAAGTTATGTCAGCTGATGCGTCGCACATACTAACCCGTCTTGTCCTGAGCGTAACAGATGGAGGAGTTTGGACACCCACCCAGGCCTGGTTGTAGCATTAGAAGCGTTTCGAGTACTGCCTGCGAAGACCAGTCCGGTACAATGTCGACCGTAAGATAAGGCGCAGAGGTGAAATTGCCGTTGTGGAAGTTGAGCGATGGAATGGCTAAAAGCTTCAAGTCAGTCGAACAGCTAAATGTCAAAAAAATAAATAACGAGAACTATTTCTGCTTACGCTGGCCAATTCTGTGCATGTCCTCGTCGGATACGTCGAGAAGACTGAGGATACGAAGCGAATCCCCCGTGAGCGCGATGGCTCGAGGGTCCTCGCAAATGTCATGCTCTTTTTCGAGAATGACAGACTGCAGTCGCAAGTTAGCAGGCTAGGACAAATCCCCCCCCTCAGTGAAAAGAAAGGTCATGGCGCGGAGGAAATGATATCTGTTGAGCTGTACGTACGCGGATCTTAAATTTGCTTAGGCATAAGGCCAAGGCTAGGCCTGACGGTCCCGCGCCAACGATAATAACGTCGGTTTCAAGCATGATAGAGTCGGCGGTGGAACGTTGATAGATTACTGTTGGAGTTTGCCCTTGGAAATGAATCAATGCAGTCTACATAATAAATCTCAAATCTCAAGTATTTCTCTTTTTGGTAGAGGAAATTCTGGTGCGCGGACGGCAAACTCGCATCTCCGACGCCGTCCGGAGGATCTGGAAGTTCCGGGGAGACTAGCAATATTGGAGATGTTCCAGGACACGGCAGTTCCTCCGCAACGACAGGAAAATATTGCGGTTTGAGGATGTTCCGCCCTAAGAGGAAATACGGAATTACGCTGAGCAGTCGAACGTGCATTCCCATTGCTGGATCTAAGATCAACTTGGCGTTGAGTGTAGTGCGCGATACGCTTAATGGCTGGCCGATGCAAAAGAGCCGAAAACTATGATTCATTGCTCCAGATTTGCTTCTGAGATGCAGTGACATAATTAGTGGGTCCCGTTCGCAAGCTGCTGCCGAGGCGAAACTTCAGGGCACCTTTGGAAAAACTATTGCTACCCGTCCTCCTGTCGACTCGCGCTTCGGCTTTTATGGACTAAGTCATGACACCTAGCGTATACGATTCCTAAGTTTCTAACTACAATATTTATCTATTACCTATAATCTGCCCAGCTATTCCGATAAGGCCTTAGTACCAAGGTAAGTACCGTCGACTGTTCTCGTTATGAAATTCGCCTGATATATCGCGCCATTCCCACCCACGCCTACATACGCCGTCCAACTAAAACATGCTCATATCGCCTCGCCCTATCCTGCCAGCTCAGGGGTATGGCCTCGCCAACATTTCCAATCGCCACATAACCAGTCTCTGCTGCAGGCCTGATATCGCCAACACATACCCTCACGCCCTTTGCCCAATGTATCTGGTCGGTCTTATCGTCCATTGAGTTCTGCCGGCCTATGTCGAAATAGTTGCTGCCCCTCAAAAAGAAAGTAGCCCGCTTTAAAACATCAGGCCCTCGCCTCAAAAAGTTAAGGACACCAGCTGCAACGCTGGAAGCAAGCATGACCGTAGAAGCAATGAACAGAATCGATACCCAGAGCTGGTTGACCTGCATTACTAGTTGGTCTAGTTGAATCTTCCCTGTATTGTTTTGAATAAACATAGATTCTGTGTCGGATAGACACTCTGCTTTTAGTAGTTAAAGCTCCTGGTGATATTCCTAGTGGCAACCGACGCAAGCCAGAACGTATTCAGAAGTTGGGAAAATGGGTGAGAGAATAACGCATCCCGAATTGGGTAAATGTCAGTTTCATCCGACCTAGCAATACTAGGAGCTGAAAAAGGCCCGTTTTGGGTTGTGAAGTATGTCTCTAACGGCGAAAGCCATAGCTTGAACTGGTCCAAATTGACCTCTAGACCCATGACGGTACTGTCAATCAACGTATCCATGAGATTTTCGAAAAAATCTGGATTACGCACGGCCTAGTGTCTCCCTCCGCTTTTGTGCCGCCAAGCACTGTTGTAACCATCATGTCATTAGACTTTGGTGTTCTTTGAATACGACGGGCGCAGCAAATAGACCTGCGACAGGCAGCATCGACCTCGGCGTGCCTCATTGTTAAAGTTCATGTAGTATTAGTCGATGTCTCCTGCTGGTGGTAATACGAGGTGAAGATTAAATATTTCGGTGTCTTCCTGAATCGGTTGTGAAGGATGTTGTAGCGGGTGACAAGATTGGTGCCGGCCGCCCAACTTAACCCCCCTCGGACGCTTCGGAGGAAGGAATTTCATCCTCTAGCTGTCATTAGATCTCCGCGCATGACTGAGCAGTTCGCAGTCATTTAAGAAATGTTAAAGGCAAAGGAGTAGTTGAATCCACCGGCGAGTCCATCCAGAGTGGCCACCAGAAGGCCCGTTAGGGCCGACCAGGCCATGTCGGCCCCATCGGAGCTAACATCATACCAGCCGTCGGCATAGCCTGTTATGGACGTTGAATAGTACTCGAGCTTTAGGATCTTGATATTACTAAACGCGTCTTAGGGTCGTACTTTGATTTCTTTAGAACTGGACAGCGCCGACAGGAAGGATGCCTGAATCGATGGCATTAGAGCATGCCCCATCGAGCTTACTAGGCCGGCATAAGAGAATTGAGGAGTTAAAGTTAAGGTATTAAAACAGACAGGTTTCTAAAGCGTCCAAAGGAACCGTGTCCATAATTCGTAAAGCTGCTAATCCATTTAGAGGTGACAGGGCCCAGAGTGCAATAAGCAAAGATTCTAGAATATTCCCGCGTCTAAAGGATAGCAATATAGTAACGTTTAGATTAGCTAATAGGATAGATCTTACCATATTACTAAGCAACCCCTTTCGGAAAAGCGTTCTTTGTAAAACATAAACTATATATAAAAGGCTATTAAATAATTTTTTATAAATGTTTTAGCTTTGAATATTATAAAATATAAACTTTTATTACGATTAGCTAGCCGTAATTATTACGTTTATAACGTCAGTTCCTTATTAACTAAACTAAAAAGTAGCGCGCTTAGCTAAATACTATTTACTTATATACATATAAAGCCTTATATAATAATATAATAAGTACCCCCCGTAAGTAAAATGCTTATCCGGAGGACACTTTTAAAGCTCTATTTAAGCTAAGTAGCTTATATTTATATAATTTTTAAAATATCCTTAGGTTTTATAAAGTTTAGCTTTATTAATTACGTCTTTTTAATAAACCGTATTTTAAAGAAAAATAAATTATATATAATATATTATTATAAAACTACGTTATAGTATTATCTATTAAATTTAAAACGGGTATTCTTAAGTAATTAAATCAAAAAATATTGTATTTAGTTAAATATTATTTATTTATATGTGTATAAGGGTTTATATAGGAATATAATAAAAATATTTAATGAATAATTTTTAATAATTAATTTGAATTTAAAACCACGTTTTAAATTATAATCAATTTTACATAGTTAAAGCTTTTTATTTATTAATATTTAATTTATATTACATAAAACTAATTAAATTAATAAGCGTTTATGTCTTATATATCATTCAATTATTATAAAATTACTCAACTAATTAAGTTTTTAATTTATTTATAAATTATAATTTCTTTTAATAAAGTTATTTTATTGAATCTATAGAAGTTTTATGTTATAAAAGTCTTTTATTATATTAATGATAAAGTATTTTTTTAAGATTTATAAATAAAAACAGTTTTATTTAAATAGTTTAAAATATGTCTTAATAATTTAAATTATAGGAATAACACAAATCTTGCTTAAATTAAATTTATTATTATTTAAAACTATAAACGTCTCTTAAAATAAAAAATAAAAAAGAAAAAGAAAGGGAGTGACTTATCATAATAAGCAATTCGCTAAATATATATTTTAAGTATATTTTATTATTTACTTAACTTTTAATAAGTTTTAAAAAATATTTATTAATTCGATTTAAATAGTTTTTAATATTAATACCTTTTTATCTAATCATAAATATATATTGTGTTGACTAAATTTGGTTCATTTAAAATTAATAGCTTGTAAATAGATTTTAATTAATTTATATTATTTTTAAATATAATATTATTCTTTTTATAATTAAAGTTGTTCCCTTAAGCGTTTAGGCCTATAGTTACTATATATTAATGACGACTAAACCTCTAATGACGCGGTAATGAAATAAGTTTATGATGGCTTCCAACCTGCCCATACGTTGTGTAGCGGCTGTGTTGTCCACGAGCTGGTTCCTATAACTGCAACCTTTCTGATGCTTATAAAGCGGCTGGCGCTACCGGCGATCAGGGACCTCTTAAGACTAACGCTGGCGCCAAGGCAAGCAGGGTACATAGTCAGGGGAGGAAACAGCTGGACAGAGAGGAGGCTCATATCAGCTCAGCTTCGCGTCCGACATCGTAATATCTCTGCCGTGGGGACACACTAGCTCATCTTGTACATTGTTTATCCGATGCCAAAGCTAGGCTAGCAACCTCCCATGCTCAAACTGATCTCATAGTATAAGCTACGTGGTACATATCATTTCAACAAGAATTGACTCCCTTTCGGAATCAATAGGCCGGATGCTATGATAAAAAAGGGTTGTGCGCTATATAGCTCTCAAGACGCCATCCCATAAGCAGGACATTGCCTTACCAGCTTCAGCCTCGGAATTCGTAAGCTCGGTTGGCAAGAAATCTGGCGATCCGCTGTACGTTCTGACAAAATGTTGTCTGTAAACTAGGCAGCGAAAGACAATAGTGGTGGTGGAGAACGTGTGTCCCTCGTCATTCTTCATTAATAATGCAATCTATCACCTATGAAGAGCTTTGGACTGAATTTTCGGTCATTCAGACCAGCTCTGCATACGGCAACTTCTGTGAACTTCGATGAGGCACAGGTGAGGCGCAAGTCGGACGTATATAGGTAGCCGCGTGCAAAAACGAGCATGTAGACATTTAATTGAAAAGCTGTCTGTCGTCATACAAAATTCAGTGACTATTGAGCCGTCTCCTACCTACTTCAATCGTTGGCTTGAAACGCGGAGTAAAAACTATTCCCTTTGACAACTAATAAAGTATTAAAGATAAGAGACCTCGGTTCAATGAGTTTTTCATCTACAACTCCCCGTAGTCATCATCGTAAGAACCAAGGACCAGATTGGTGGCAGCCTGTTTGGCAAGCTGCTGAGTGCCACTAAGAATCTCAAAGAGCTGAACATCCTCAAGCAAGAGGGTAACACGAGAGTCGATTCCGTAGACAACATTGCCGATGAATTTGTAGACGGTCTCGGAAGCGCTTACCCAAGTAAAGGCTATCTCAGCAGAGACGCGGTTGAAGGCTGTTCCGAACCAGTTCTTCTTGAACTCGTAGCTGAGCAAGGTGGCTGTCGCTCTATAGGTACCGCCGGTCAGGGCATTGATGCGAAAAATATGAACGTTGTTGATGCTTTCGATATAGGCCTGGATCGCGAAATTGATGGCCCCGTTGACTACGACGTGGCTGCCCTTGAGGGTGATGGTGAAGAGGTTCTTGTGATTCGAGTAAGGAATTTGGCGAACGGCCATCTCGGTGTTGGGAGCGACTTCATCCGAGTCGCCTCGCTCGAGAATCTCGATAGCAGTCTCGTCGGAGGCAGCGCGGTTGAGAAGCTCGTCAGAAGATGAGTGACCAGAGAGATCACCCGCTCTGACAACGAAGTCACGCTCAGCGAAGTCGACCGTTTGATCTTCGGTAGGAAGAGCCATTGCCATGAAGGCCACGGCTACGGCGGCGAAGATGGATGCAGAGAGGCGCATTTTCAAAGTTTGTAGAATAGTCGGATTCAAATGATTATGTGTCCAAGAAATGAGAGACTGTGCTGATGAGGTTGATGAAGGTGGCTCCTGGGAGGCAGATGAGACCCCTTTTAAAGATAGGAGCCACTCGATGATAACTTTAACAGAACTCGCTCAACTCTCGACGATGAAGCAACTCCTACGTGAAGCCATGAAAAGTCCCGAACATACCGAGGCATTCTCACTCACCCAGTCGGCTGCGGACGGAACTCGCTCAACTCTCGACGATGAAGCAACTCCTACGTGAAGCCATGAAAAGTTCCGAACATACCGAGGCATTCTCACTCACCCAGTCGGCTGCGAACGGAACGAGTTTAGAAAGCACCCCACTGGGACCTCGCAAGTTCGGGTTCATAAATCTGGGTTTTTTTTCCCCAAAGAGTTTGCCTTGAAAAACCTTACTTAGTAAGACGACCGACTACTAACAACGCTAAAGAAAGCTTAATTAGCGGAACTCGGGGCTCGACTATATTAAGATAAATAACACAAACAGTATAGCTCGCTTTTAGGTTTCTATCAAGTTGACACTAAGTAGCAACTTCTCTCCAAAGCCGTATAAAAGTATCCCGTCGGGGTATCGGTACCTTTCTAACTAGCTTAAGAAGGCGGCCGAAATCACATCCTACAACGGAGTTAAAAGTTCGCTTTAAAGCTACTCACTTAGCTTATTCGTATTCATTTAATATAATTTCAATAGCTGTTGCCTCTTATGCCTAAGTCTTAGTAAAGGAAAGTATATAGCAAAGTTTCCTCCCTCGTTCTCATTAATTAACGTATTCCGGAACTATCAAACTAATTCTATCTTAAAAGATAATTAGATAAGATATTTCTAGAAGGCCGAGATAAAACGAAAAAAACTTATAAAAGATTCTTTAAATTACGGACTAGCTTATAAAGTTAAATTATTTAATGAAACGTATTGAGAGAAGAGGAATCTAATAATCTTTGAAATAGCCTCGGTCCAGCTTTGTCTAAAGGCTAGGGAACTTATATATAAACCCAACGACTGCGGTTTCCGAAATACATGTACACTTAGATTTCCTATATAACATCCTTTAAATATCGCGAGACTTTTATAGTCGCTTTTTCCATCTTCATTCTTTATAGACAAGACAAGCTCGTCTAAGCCTTCAATAGTACCTAAGCCTTTGCTGCACCTCCGAGCTCCGAGTCTAACATGTATATAGTGCAGTTCAGCTCTTTCACCTTTACCGTCCTTCTCTGCGCAGCGTCGGGCGCTCTTGGCCAGAACCAGCCACAGAGCAAGTATAAGTGCATTGTGCCCTTCGATACCTGCAGCAAGCCCATTCCACCTGAGCTGAAAGCACCGATGGCCAAGGCATTCGGAACTAGCGTCGAATGCAACTTGTCAGAAGTTGTTTACTACGGTGCCCCTGACGCCGCGATTGAGGGCGTGTACTGCGAGCCTCTTGCCGTTCGTAAGATAGGAGACTCGTTTGAGTACCAAGTCGGGCACGTTGGGGTCTCTTGCCCTGCAAAGTGCGAAATCTGGGGCTAAATATAAATAAGAGACTATACTACTCGAAACGATCGAGTTTACTATATAATATTTAAAAACCTAAGTAGTTTAAAATAAATAGTTTAAGTTTTATATTATTGACTCCGCTACTCTCTTTAATATAAAAATTTTATCTAAAAAACTATTATATTAATTAGTATTTATTATTTTTACTTTTTAAAGTTATAACGTTTATAATTATTTATTTTAATATGTATTATTACTTTATTATTACGGTTTTATATATATAAAAATATCGGATTCAAAGCTGAATTCGACCTTGAATTAATATTAATATAAAAGGCATTTAAGCGTTTTAATATTAATGTTTAATTAACGGTTTAGCCTCTTAGAAAAACTTTTTTTTTATATTATACAAAAGGTAATATTACAGTTAATTTATCGTAATAAGGGTTTAAATTATTAAAAAATAAAACTACGATATTTATATAATAATCCGTATTAATTAAGACCTAAAGGGTTAGGTTTTAAAAAAAAATTAATTTATAAAAGTTAAAAAGAATTGAAAATTAAAAAATAACTTTTATATAATTTAAAATAATATTAAATAAAATGTTTAATTATATATAAAAAGTAAAATTAAATTTTATTTATTTAAATTTTAAAAATTATAATTATATAAAATTAGTAATAATAAAAAAAAAAACTATAGCTTATTTTAGTATTTTAAAATTTTAATCGCTTTTAATCGATATTAACAATTAAAAAACCTTATATATACGAGTTTTAAGTTTTTAACTAACGTATATATATAACGAGCGGGCCATTATAGCGAGCGGGCCACTTTTAACTACCCTCCTACTATTTATATAAGTTAATTAAGCTATATCGTACGAAATTAATTAGAACTACTTATCAGCCTCTTCTTTAGAGGTCTCCTAAACTACTTAATATATTCGTATATTATATTTAGTTTTTCTATAGTTATTATATTACCGCCCGCGCGATTTAACCCTTTTTATATAAATACTTTTTTAATATATATTTTCGTTTTTAATATTAATAACCCTTTTTTTTACTCGGATTACCTCGGCCTTAATAATATTAAATAAGCTTTTAAGATATAGTTATGTTTTTTTAGCTTTCTAATACTTATTTAATATTTTATTTACCGTACGAAGCCCGCGGTATTTAGTTTTAATAAAAGCTAGTTTATATACTAACTTATTAATACCTTTAGTTTATAAATTAATAATTTTATATAAATATGTTAATAAGTTATATTAATAATTATAAATACATTTTTTAAATAAAATAGAGCTTCGTACGGCGTTATGTACTATAGTTAGTATTTTTAAATCTTAAGAGCCTTAGCTATTTAGGCGTGAGTTAGATAGTATTAACATTTTTAATTTAAAATCTAAATAAAAAATAACTACTTTTAAATTAAAAAGTATAATTTTAATTTATTTAAAACTAATTCGTACGTTTTCTTCCCCTATTAAAATAAAAAAAGCTATTTTAAAAATAAGAAAAAAGTCGTCTTTAATAATATATATAATTTATATTTATATTATTATTACGACCCAACACGCATTACCAAACCAGGGCCCTACCCCGTAGGACTTACGGCGGCTATTATACTATATATATAATAATAAAAACATAAGCAGCTCCCCTCGGAGTAAAAGAATTATAAATAAGTTATATAACTATAATTATATAATAAAATAAAAAACGAACGCCTATCAATTAAGACCCGAAGGGTTAGGTTTTAAGAAAAAAAAAAAATTAATTTATAAAAGTCAAAAAAAATTAAAAATTAAAAAATAATTTTTATATAATTTAAATTAATATTAAATAAAATATTTAATTATAACTATATAAAAAGTTAGTATTAATTTAAAATTTTAAAATTATAATTATTTAGAATTAATAATAATAAAAAATAAACTATAGCTTATTTTAACGCCCTAAAGTTTTAATCGCTTCCGATCGATATTAGCGATTAAAAGACCTGTAGCTTATTTTAATAGCCTAAGGTTTTAATCGCTTCCGATCGATATTAGCGATTAAAAGACTTATAGCCTATTTTAATAGCTTAAGGTTTTAATCGCTTCCGATCGATATTAGCGATTAAAAGACTTGTAGCTTACTTTAATAGCCTAAGGTTTTAATTACTTTTGATCGATATTAGCGATTAAAAGACCTATAGCTTATTTTAATAGCCTAAGGTTTTAATCGCTTTTAATCGATATTAGCGATTAAAAGATTTATAGCTTACTTTAATGGCCTAAGGTTTTAATCGCTTTTAATCGATATTAGCGATTGAAAGACTTATAGTTTACCTTAATAGCTTAAGGTTTTAATCGCTTTTAATCGATATTAGCGATTAAAAGACCTTAGCGTTTAAAAACCTTTATTTACTTAACTTTAATAATATCCCCTATTTTAATCCCTTTTATAAAAGCTAATAATAGTAATTTTATTACTTCCTTTTTAGTTTTTCCTTTATAAATCTATTTCAAAGCCTTTGTTACCTTAGGATTCTCCTTAATTAAAATCCTATCGATAATATTTACCTTTGCTACTTTATATAAGTTATATAAAAACGGTACTTTTTTAATTAAAAAACTATATATTAATTATATTTTCTTTTTTTTTAAAGACTTAATAGCTTTACGTTTTTTCTCCTTTTTTAACTACTTATATTACAATTTAATATTCTTTAATAAGAATATTAATATTTTTAAACTAAGTATATTAATAAGTATCTTAAGAGTAGTAAATTAATAAATCGTATTAGTAAACTTTTATTCGTCCCTAAAGCCTAGCTCTTTTATAAAATAATTAATTAAATAGCTATTTACCCTTTTCCCTTAGCTTATAATAAACCCTTATTCTTTTAAAAAACTTTATAATCGTAACGCCTTAGGCCTTCCTTTTTAATAAGTATCTTTTAAATCTATTTACCTTTTTTAAAGTTTATATTGCTATATATACGTACGTATCTAGGTAGAAGCCGTCCTTATCCTAATTAACTTATTAATAACACTCCCCTATTACTTTATAAACGACGTTAGTTAAGGGTATTACTATTTAATAAGCTTATTTACTAATCCTTTAACCTTTTAAATCGTATTACTTATTAAAAAAGTAATAATAATATTATACTTAGTTAGTAAATAATATAATCGTTTTTTAAACGTTGCCCTAAATATTTAATAGAATACTAGCTCCTTAATATAATAATAATTATCTTTTTTTAATTTAATATTATCTTTACTTCTTAGCTCTTTTATTATAGTTTAGAATACCGTTTAAAATTATAATATTCTTTTCGATATATTCGTATTTTCTATTCGTTTTTTAAGGGTTTTGAGTATCCTAGGTGTCCGGGGAGCAGCCGTTTTTATTAACTTAGACGGTTTACTTTTAGTAGATAATCGCTTATTAGCATTTTGTTTTTTATTTCTCTTAATTATAATAACTTTAGACGTCTCTTTAGTCCCTATATCGTTATTAATATTATCTATTTTAATGGTTATATTATTTATAGATATATCTTTAGATCGTTATCGTTCGTAGTTTATAAATAGGATCGCGGTAGAAGTATTATCGATAAGCCGGTAAGAGTTTCCGTCCGACTAGGGCTTTAAGTTCCTTTACTAATGACTTTCGATAATCTATCGTACTTAGCCTTCTGCTCTTAATATATTAAAAGCCTACTTAAATAATAATTAATATATATTTATAAATAACGTCCTAGCCATAACTTAAATTATTTAAAAGCACCGTTAGCTTTGTAATATAAACTATATATTTATTAATTTTTTAAAAGCGGTCCGGGTCCTGTTTAAATTTTAAAATTAATCGGCGAAGACGATTATTATTTTATAATAGTTTTAGTATTATGGCCTTTGTTAATGAAGAAGTTTATTAATTTAATAATATAGCGGTCGTTAACTAAGCTAAATTTAGTAATATAACTCGTAATTTCTTTATTATAAAACCTCTCTAAAGGGCCGGCTCCTTTTTAAATACTATATTATTAAAATACATAATCTTCCGTTTTAAAACTATACTTAAAAGATTATAGGATAATAAAAGAAAATAAAGAGAAAAAAGACGAGAATATAGAGCTTAATATAGGCCTAAACTTATTATTATAGCTTATATATCTTAAAGCGTCTATATTACTTAAATACGTTATTATTTTAAAAGATTATTTATAATAATTACGCTCTTTTATCTAAAATAAAGGTAGCTATAAAAACCCTATTTAAATTTTATAAAATTATATATCCGTAATAAGTTTTCTTTTATAAAACTCAAATAGGTTATTTTTATCCTTAGCTATTTAAATATACCTTTTATATTAACTATACTTAACTATTATTTTATTTAGTATTTAATATCTATAAACTAAAAAACAAAACGCTTATCTTTAAAAACTCTTTTAGTTAAATAAAATAAGGGGGTCGATAAGAATATATCTAGTTTTAAATATTAGACTTATAGCCTAAAAAGGCATCGATTCCCCCTTTATTAAGGTGTTTATTAAGGCTAGTATGCGTAGCCAAGGCCCCCCTATATTTTAACTAGTAGTAGCTTAGTATATTATAATAACGTAAACGTTATAGATTATATATATATATAAAAGGGCGACTAAAATTAGAGATATAAAAAAACTCCTTTTAACATTTTAATAAGAAATATAAATAAAAATAATAAAATAGCTAGGTTATTTTTTACGCCCTTTTTTATAGTTTAAGGTTATATTTAAGGTATAAAATAGGATAAGTAAAAGAGAAGGATAAGACGTTATAATTTTAATAGCTTAACCCTTTAGCTTAACTTTATAATCGTAATATTAGGGTATAGGATAAAAAGTATAAAAAAATAAAAATTAAAAAAGTTATAAAATTAGGAAAGCTTTTAGATATAAAGACTAAGGATATATAGTGTACGGCTTCTAAGGATATCTCTATTTAGATCTTTATTATTTTAAAAAGAATTTTATATTAGCCCTTTTATTA